TCTTCCGCCGCAAACTAAAGACACACCTCTTCAGACTCTACCTCGACTAAAGACTAACAAATTGTAGCACTTAAATTGTACTTGTAACGTCACTCATCTATAGCAAATTGTAAATTGGCTTATTTGAGGAAATTGCACTTTCTTGTTCTCCTGAGTTTGTACCCTATGGTTGAATGCACTTATTGTACGTCGCTTTGGATAAAAGCGTCCGCTAAATGACATGTAATGTAGACCGAAAATAATTCACCCCTCAATCATCTAAAAGAATGACAGGTGGGTTATGCTAATGTTGTGTATTTCTGTCACTGATGTTAATTCATGCAGAATCATAAAAAACTAAAAAAAAAATTTTTTGTTTAGACTCGGAAATCTCAGGGACCCAGGGGGGATGGACCCCGCCCACTTCTCCTTCACCTCCAGCTCTGATGGTTCACGCCCCACCTCAGAATCCGCCTCCCGGACCGACGGCCACACAAGAAAAAGAAGAAAAGAAGCTCTGTGAACCACACAAGGTGTTTAAGGATACTGCACGGTTCATAGAATACCTTAGAATTGGGGTGCTACATCTGTTGAACAAGGTCTGGGTTAAATATAATATAGAGATCTGCTACGGCTGTCAAACAAATAATCCCAGTCAGAAAAACCATCCGTGTTTAAATCCATGTGACTGGTTCTACGAACTACACTTTGATCCGCTGATGAAAAGGCTCTGGAATGACAACTTCGTATTCGCCATCCTCCTGCTTATGGATATGAATGACCTTCAAGTCGATGCAGAGCGCATCCAGGGGGGTGCGGAAGTACTTCTTGACGAGCTGAAATCTGGAGGCAATGCGGCTGAAAGTATCCAAAAAATACATGATACACTGATCGGGGAAGATGAACTCAAAATGAACCAACTGAAAAAGCTTGGCAGGTTGTGGGGAGAAGTATCAAACCCGTATGAAGCATGGGAGGTACCCGATGATGATGATGATGATGATGATGATGATGCGACAGACATTGATGTGTAAAAACAATCAAACATGCTAAAAAAAAAAAAATTAAATCGAAAATGAATGAAGTTCTTGAGTGTTTTTATAACTGAAAATGTATTTTGCTTTTGCAATGGGGCGAAATACTACTATACTATCAATCTGCTTGTCACATTTTGTACAAGAGAAATAAAATATGTTGTAACGAATTAACTGTCGGTCATTTATACTTTGGTATTATCATGGAAGGGACTCTACAGAAGATTTATCTAGACCTAGCCCATCCGGGAGGGTTAGGCAGTGTGTCTAAACTTCGCAATGCGGTTGGAGAATGTACCGGGGTGACGCCGACACTATCTAGCGTTAACGAATACCTACTGGCGCAAGACGTGTACACATTACACGCCAAGGCAGCCGTACATTTCCCGAGGAATAGGGTTTTGGTGAGCGGCATTGACAAACAGTTTCAGGCTGATCTAGTTGATATGGGTGAATATGGTGAGGAAAATGATACTGTGCGGTATTTGCTGACGTGTATCGATGTATTTTCCAAATATGCGTGGGGTTAGATGTATTTCTAACAAATCTGGCCTCACAGTCACAAAAGACATTCTGAGTGACGGACGCATACCTGTGAAACTCCAAACAGATGAAGGTACAGAGTTTTATAACTAACACTTTCAGCGGTTAATGTCACAGCATAAAATTACGCATTTTTCAACATCGAATGAGATCGCCAGCGTGGTGGAGCGCTTTAACAGGACTTTTAAAACCCGCATGTGGAGATATTTAACATCCGTTTTTTCACGAAGATATGTGGATGTAGTACAGGAGCTTGTCGAGGCCTATAATAACTCACAGCATAGGTCCCCTTAACGAGCAGCCGTCACGCAGTCAATAAAGGCAATGATAGGACGGTCTTCATCCAACTGTACAAGTTGTACCCTCAGAAGCCAGTATGCTTTAAATTTAACAAGGGCGACACCGTGAGAATATCAAAACTCCGCGGGGGGTTTAGGAAGGGTTTTAAACAAACATGCACCGATGAGCATTTTACAATATCAAGGTTTATAGCCAGAGATCCTCCGGTTTATAAACTAACTGATTGTGCAGGGGAATTGTTGAAAGGTACGTTTTACGAACCGGAGTTACAAAAAGTAATTATAGGTAAAAACAAGGTGTTTAAAATAGAAAAAATTATGGATAGAAAAATCTCCAGAGGCAAGAAGCAGGTCTTTGTGAAATGGTTGAGATGGCCCGAGAAGTTTAACTCCTGGGTCTCAGAAAAAGACATAACGGATGCTTGGTAAAAGACACATGCATGCATCTTGAGAGTTCACTCTTAAACCGGCCACCATAGGACACGGCACGATGACCCAGAATGGTTTTTATGTTACACTACCTAGTAACGCGTCGGCTCAGGTTTATCCTAAAAATCAGATATGGAACTGCAGGACAAAATTAGCCAAGGCCATTGTTCTGAGCGAACCACATGAGGTGGGGTTGGTAGAATTCCAGTATCCGAGAGTGTGGTACAGTTTTCCGAAAACAGATGCGGTTGTAAAAGTGTACAATGGTAAAAATAGGGTTAAATCGGCCTTTACTATGGACATTGGGGTTTATGACAGGCTATTGTTAAAGCGTTTAATTCTCGAATCAGCATTAACACGCAGCTGGAGGGGGTATCTATGCATTATAGTAGTGTTAAAAACCGCGTATACTTTCTGGGGTCAACAGAGGATTCAACTATAACCTTTGTTGGACGGCTCGCGACAATATTGGGTTTTAAAGATGGGGAGGCTTTTCCCCTACCGACTACTGACAGATCCCGCCGATATATATGCAGGTTGTTACACATTTTACATATATAGCGATATTGTTGACTATCAATTAATGGGGGACAGCCATGTACCTCTTCTAAGATGTATAAATGTGGCTGCCGAACAACGGCGCATACCCACTCTGACTTACGACATCTCTCTCCAAAAACGTTATTGATGATATTGAGATATCCATAAAAAACGATCAGAACGGATACATACCCTTTTTATACGGAAAGGTCATAGCGAAGCTACATTTCAGACCTATAAAACAGCGTTTCTAAAAAGAAGAAAACAAGTGGAAGATGAGGAATAGCCACTACACACACGATGACGGCCGATATATGGCATATTATATGAACCAAGCCGGCGGAGAACTACCGGGATTTATAGGATCTCAGACACAATATGGCAATGGTTTGGGGGGTATATTTCGGGGGCTGCTCAGGATGGCCCTTCCTCTTTTAAAACGGGGGTTCAGCCTGGCTAAACCACATTTGAAAACAGCCGCTACTAACATCATCGGAGACGTTGTATCAAATATAGCCAAAGGACAGTTCTCTGGGGCTCAACAACAACCAGAGCAGCAGCAGGGTCACGGCATGCTAATACACACCCGCAGGGCTTTGAAAAAACCACCCACAAGCAGGGGAGGTGCGGGACCAGGGTCCAAAAAAAGTCAAAGGGATGGTAGGAACAAGACAGGAGTCAAAAAGAAATCTGGCACAGCCCGAAGAGGTTCCGAACGCGCCCAGATTTTGGCTAAAGACTTTAGAGGTAGAAACTATGGCACTCATCCATAATCAGTCGGCTGAGTGTGTCAAGTCTGAACTGGATCTCTTTACTGTTCCTTATACACAAACGTCCATATAGAAATATTCCTTCCTCAAGATCCCGCCAGTCTCATCCATTACAGACAGAGGCCCTTTGGAGTTTCAAATTTCGGCCAGCGGTGGAGAGCGAGCGAAAAGCACAGGTTATTATCAGTATTGTGAGGGGTGTGCAGAAACCAACCCTTCTTTGATAATATCACATCATATGGGACATTTGCTAATTTTAGATAGCCCCCCCCGTTTCTATTTTTAGCTACGGGATCACTAATTCCAATTCATCATCCGTTATAGTCTCATCATTGCTCTGTATCACTTGTGCAATTTGCTCCATAAACAAGTCGGAGTTGTACGACTCGCTTACACGTAGAACAGCTTGTATATCACTAGCCAATGAAGGCCCCCGTAACGAAACGTTCAGCACACTACCAGCCGGAGAGGCCTCTACAGCTCTATCTGAATGAAGGCATCTCTCTCATGGTGCCTGTCCTTCTCTCTATGCCTGAGGAGGTCTCACCCCCCCATTATCTCCCCCCCTCCTCCTCCTGTTAGTGTATCATCATGCCCCCCTTCTGTTCGGGCCTGCTCCCCTGACCCTCCCTCTTGACACTCAGCAGGCCCCCCCAACACCCTGTTCATGCTCCACATCTCCATTTGTCCCCATCTGATTCAGCCGGTCGTCACATATTTCTGCCAACATACACCCCCCAGCCCCTGCATCATTGTCTGTGTACACACGTGGGCCGTCTGCATGATCCAACACGTGGCTATTTGCGCCTGTGGTATTAAACCCTGGGTCTAAAACACTGACCAAGTCTGCATACCCGCTATCTAGATACGCATATGCAGCAGCAGCAGCAGCAGCAGCATCAACGCGCTGCTGCTGCCACTGGTGGATCGCAACGCGCGATCCACCAGTGCATGAAAGGCTTTAAAGCTGTTCCTCTGTATTCTGTAACAGGCCCCTATACCCATCATCATTATTATGGTTATCCCCTGATCGTTGTATATCACCCGTGCCCCTCTTCAAAACCTTTCTGGGGGGAGGCATACTACACGTCTGTATTGTTTATTTAGACACCACCCCTTATAGACACCATGCCTAGTTGATTACCTTGGATAAAATTTATTTGTAAGTAGAGCTATGATAGCTTCACTGGATGCATTCTGAGCTATCAGGTATTGTTTTATGGAGCTGCCGTTGGCGTCCTGTGTTTGTCTAGCCTCCTCTTGTTTCTTACATAGATCGGTTACTATCTCTTTTAATGCGGTGTTGAAACAACGCAGTTCATTGATTTCATTTATCAACTCTACATATAAGGTGTTAGCGGTGTCCCTCGGGTGCACAATCACCACCGTGGGTTCTGCGGGTATACCTGCTCTGTTTTGTTGAAATGGGGTTACACACTCTGCCGATGTTGCTTCTACTGTAGTACTCTCTTCTATTTCATAGTCACAGACCACCTGCAGTATTTCCTCGTCAGTCAAGCATCCTAGATAGTACCATGTGTCCTTTGTTGGTGTAGACAGGTCAAGCTGCTCCCTGCTGTACAAGCATACATGTACAAAATATGTTATAAAACAATTGTCCATATATATATTTATATATATATGGATGATGTCACATACCTTGTAGAAGGGCTCTCAGACTGGACAACCGTATGTACTTTTTTTTTTTCACTGGAGGGGCATACAGGTCTATTATAAAAATAAAAAAAAGGTTTAACAACAATAATCAATAAAATACATAAAAAATTGATATTGATATTGTTCCAGTTACCTGCAACCCCTGTTTGACAGCGACGGTCAGATGGCTTTTCCCGAGATGGCGAATCTTTCAAGGGAATTATAAAATCACCATAAATGATTAGTCAAATAATAAATATATAGAAAGCTTATATCATACTGCCATTTTCCCTACCTGTGCCAGCTCCCTTTCAAGACTCCCATGTATAGGATGCGAGCTGTCATCTATTTCTAAAAGGTGTAAATACCTATTAAAAATATATAAAAATATATAAAAACAAATACGAATCACTCGACATAGTACAATCTTTAAAGCTTTTTATTTTTATTTTTTATATTTATACCAATGTATGTGTAATATATATATATATTTGACAATGAAATAAGTACTTACCACATATCTGGTCCATTGCTCCCCCCTTGTAGTACATCTGGCTCTCACTGGAAATGTCTTAAATGTGAGGATGCACCAGTCTGCCAGGGTGTCAAGAAGTGAACCGTGGCTGTATCTATATAGGAGACCCATACCCCCCGAAGGCAACATCATTACTAACTAAGGATCCTGTTTTTCACACACCAGGGTCTCAGTGGGGGTGGGGGTTCATATGTTGATTAAAACTAAACAAACTGCTCACTGTTTACCACATAAGGACACTGTTTTTCTCCATCCCTGGGGGCTCTCAAGCCATTTAGGGTTTAGCACCGTTTGGGTGCTGCGTCACATTATGCGGCACTATGTCGACACCCGTGTTCCTCGTTAAAACTGTATGTTTTCCTGAGGGTTTTTCCTGTTAGGTTACAATGTGTGTCCTGTTGGCTAAGAAGAAGATAGCCCCCTAATTCATGCATTAAGCTGTTATTGGTGAATCTGAACAGAAGCGCCAGTGTCTCACTGTTTTGTGGAGGGGCCTCTCATACCATTGAAGAGAAGCAGAAGACGACGTTTGGGGGTTGGCCCCGGCTTGTGTGCTGTGTCACATGATGCTGCACTAAGTCGACATATGTGTTCCTCGTTAAACCTTAAGATGTATGTTTTCCTGAGGGCTTTCCTCTGTTAGCCAACAGAAGACAATTTGTAACCTAAGAAGATAGCCCCCCTAGTATATGCATTAAGCTGATAATGGTGAATCTGAACAGAAGCACCAGTGTCTCACTGGTTTGTGGCGGGGCCTCTCATACCTTTGAATAGAAGAAGAAGACGCCGCCACTGGGACCACACTGGGATAGGCCTCTGCTGTTTCACTAAGAATCCTGGAGCGTGAACCCCATGGATGAGTCCAAAAAGAAAGTTCGATCGAGGCGCCAAATAACACCTCATATATATATATATATATATATATATGATGAAACCCCTCCTACAGTGTCGTGTTTCTGGTCAAAACTAACGCCCATCGCATAAAACAACCCCTGAAATGGCAAATTTCCAATCAAAACCATGCACGTCAGTCAAAATGGCGTATTTATGCTTAAACAGTGCACGCCCCCTACAAATCACGCCCCAAAAATGACATATTTCCTTTTCCACTCGTAAAATGACGCATTTCCGGGCATGACCTCAAAATGCCTGTACACGCCCTCTTGCACGTGCATGAGGTCAAAGGTCACATGCCCACCCCCCAAAAGTAGGTCTTTATTACTACTTGCATGGTCAAGCAACAGCTGGCTAATATCTAAAATCATAACTGTCCAATTTCAGTGACGGTTTATATATATATATATATATATATATGCCTTCTGTATATATACATTAGGTACACGCATGAGAGAGTGCACACACACACACACACGAGGTTTAAACGCACAGAAAACTGGTCATATTTATTGTAATGACTGGACTGACTGGAGACGCTTTTCAAAGGAAATGCATAGATTGGAGCACAATTTGCAACAAGCAAGCTCTACACACACAATTCAAAGTACACACACCTAATGAGTGTTATTGACTTTGGTCCTTAAAATAAAGAACAAAAATTCTGACATTGTTGCACGTCACATGTTTTTGCAAGGATGGGAAACAAAAAACGCAAAACCATTAAACATCAATCAACCCTCGTGGGTCAGAAAAGGGTACACAAGGCCAACAAGAGCATCATGGGAATGATATTGTGTGGTGTGAAGCAGGTTTTAGTGTTCCTACTCACCAGCCTTACACAAAGTGTTACACGAGAGCATTGGACCTGGTGTGGCTCAGACACACTGTGGGCGCTCAGCATTTCAAAAGGAGGAATAGGAATTACAGGTGAGCTGGTGCTTAAAGGCTGATCTCTATTGCCCTGCCAGGTGGCGATGGATGAGGTTAGGACCACTGGCTATATCCTTCCACTGGGAGATATGAGTGGGATGGGAGACACAGACTGGGTGTAAGCCCAGTTTCCTTCAGAATACAGATTGGGTCTTGTGTGCGCGTGTGTTTGTGGGGTAACAACGATTATATGAAATGATGCCCTGAGCAGTCTTACACGCCTAGCGGACCAACGGGGACTGCTTCAGGGAGATGAGGACGGAGCGCATGCGGGACACGTCTTTGGCCTGCTTGCTGGACTTGGGGTTGAAGTCGCAGAGTCGAGCTACGCGCTCCCACTCCGTGCCCGGGTTGTTCTCATCCAGGTCGGAAACCATTGCCTCCTCAGCCGCCCTACAAGAATCAGGGGTAGAGTAGGAAAGGACATATAGAAGAATACAAATCAGTGGGGTAAGACACGAGACACACCAAAGTACACATACAGCTCAGAAGAAGTCCTCTGCTGATAACCAACCAACACGCACATAGAGTCCAATTCATTGGTCAGACATTTTCATTGAAAATGTCTCACGTTTCACTATGACATCCAGATGTGAGGAATTGTCCTTAAAACATTAAGCATAAAATCTATAAAATCTATTTTGATGGCCATGTGGGACTTTGATTGTTCAGCAGAGTCAACCTCGGGGCAGGACAGTTCGAGCAACACACAGATAATGGACATCCATTGGTGTTTAGGCCCATGAAGAGCAACAAGTTACAACAGTTTCATCTCCTGTGGCATGCCCCCAACTCTGCTTACACATTACCTGCACACGTGACTACCCACAACAATTAACTAACTCACTGATGAGAAATAAAATAAATGAAAGTAGGGTCTGACAAGCATCTTTGGTTGGTTACAAATGCCTACAACCTTACGTTAACTTGCCCAAATGTTTCCATCTCTTTCCTCAACCAGAGCCAAGCGTAGTAACGAAAAGCTAATCTGTACACTTGCCCTTGATTAAGAAAAAAAAAAAAGAGAAAGAGAAATCTTTAACTAAGCCCCAAAATAACTGCTGAGCTCTGGGCCTTGCACTGCAATGCTGCTGAAAAGCCGGCATTTTGACATGTGGCAAGAAGAATGGGTTTGTTTTAAGTGTTGAAATAGTAAGACAGATCAATTCCGCTCTTTGTAGAGAACAAGATCAAGATCATTACACTTAAGGTGTTACCAAATCACATGAAAAGTAAACAGACAAAAAAAAAAAAAAAAAGAATACTTCAATGTGAAAATGGATCAATGCCACCATCGCAAGAAGTTTGGAGATGCAGGCCACAGATTATGTCCAAACAAATGTACAGTCACACCCAACCCATGAACATAGTAATAATTCCACTGCCGTAATACTTCTACTCTACTAACAAGGATAATTTTCTATTCCCCACCCAACCTGCAAGCACAATCTCAGCTACCAACTACATCACGGTATACAAAGCAAAATGGGGATGAGAAGCCAATGAACATTCACGGTCACAACAAACTACGAATACACAGTAGGGACTACAAGGACCACAACAATACAGAAGGAACTTAACACCTCTATCTAGGCAGTGGATCTAACTGTCGGGATATTCAACTGGGAACCTGTGCAACACGTAATTATGTAACACACACACACAGAGCACTGCATTGATCCCCTTTCAAAAATAGAAAGTATTTAGAGGTTCTGGGGTTTCATCGTTTTACTTAACTGGTCTAGGCGGTAGCAAGGATGGTTAATGTGTGTGCTTTAAGGTGCATAGGAAAAGAAAAAAACAGGGAGAAACAGTTTCACAAGTCAGAATTTAGAAGAGAGAGACAGAGAGAAGAAAGGAGGGGGGGGGGTGAAATGAAAGACAACAGATGAGCTCAATGCAGATGTTGAAAGCCAGCATGCAAAAGCAACCATTTTTCAAAAAGTTTTTTTAATAATAGCTCACGATTAACACAGCTACATGTTTGGCCTTAGCAGAAGCTAAAAAGGCGCTAACATTCTGAAGCATGAAAACACAGTTCAGTTTGAAGCAGTTGTGTAATTGTGTTGCTGCGCATTTTATTCATGTCCGAAACAAAGAGGAACAGATCGTGAGGGCCGGACTCAATGTCACATGTCAGGATATCTGCAGGTTTAAGAAACCCAAATTCTGAACCGTTCAACTCGACCTGGAGCCAAAGCGATGAAAACACAAAACAAAATGTATTCCTGCTAAGGCTGTTGATAAAATATCAATGACCTTTCTGCAGGATATAAAGTTATAAAATATTCTTGAAAGCAGAAGAAGACATCAAGGAGTTTCTGAAGCCTGCAGAGAATCCTGAGTCCAAGGCAACTTGACCCGTCACAGTCTGAAACCATCATATTCTGCACACAGCGCTCGCGTTTACATAGCTGAGGGGCTACGGGAGAACAAATGGGTGCGAGGGCGAATACTTTGGAAGCTTGTCTTGTAGAGAGGAAGGATTGAAAGGATATCTTATGAAATAAAAAAGCACTTCAGGTGATTCAAGTTCACCAAAGTCAAATTATTAATACACACTTGCTTCAAACAAATCTATACGCATCCTACTCCTGAAGAATATATTCTGGATATTTATTTGGGGAAAGAAATAAACAGGTGTTAAGAAGAAAAACACTTTGTACCATCAATGTAAGAGTGTGAGAATTGTTGGAAATACATGTCACGTATTTGCAAATTGTTTGGCCGGAATGAAACAGGAAAGGACTTTGGGAGTGGATAACGGATGAGTTACAGTCACACAATGATTCATTTAATTTCCGTGGATGTGACGGAGGAGCGTGGCACATGCAATCATTCTCTTTAGGCTGATTTCTTGACACCAGGGCACCAACTTGCAAATCACATGCAGACTATGGGGGGGAGGGGGGGGGGGGGGGATTGACTTTGCTTTCATTTGAAAAATAAAAAAGATCCAAAAAAGGATTTAACCATTTAGAAACAAAATGTATATTGAACTAAAACATTGCAACACAAGTGGAGGCAACTACTTCTCCAACTGGTAATGAAATGATAATGGTTGGATGCTTTGAGTTGATGACAACGGAGGGGGAAAAAGTAAAAGAAAAACACAAGAAGGGGGATGTTAGTTGGAGCAACATACACATAACCAATGAGGTCAGAGAAGGGCTGCTTGTAGAAGTCTTCATCCAGCACCCTGGACAAACATCCGCCAAATCGACAGAGCAGCAAGAAGGCAGGAGAGAAAAGAGATTGCAATAAAAGAGAGAAGAGGGTGGAAACAACAAGCACTATAGGCACCACCCAACAAGCCGAGGCATATCAACGACGCAGGGTTAGATAAGGACTCCGAAACCAGTTTCATGTAGTTTCACAGGTGATCATGTACGACTCCCGGAAACTTTAATCATACCTTTGTTGAGATCCGTAAAACACCGTTTGCTCTCATATACAAAACTAATTGCACAAGAGTGTAACCTCAATGATTCATTGAATCCTACAATATGCAACTGACTTAAGAATTTTAGATATAACAAAAGATACCAGACTATCGAATAGTTGAAGCGTCTCTAAAGTGAGAACTCATTTGCTACCAATAATACATTCGTTTCTGGCTTTTTCGGTGTTCAAAATAAATTTTAAAGAGGGATTCAAATCAGTCTTGTTTATTAATGTATAAACCAAGTGATTCATTGCGTACTTTTGGAAAATAAGTGTTTGTCACAGTCCTAACAAGGCATGATGGATGATTTTTTTATGTGTGAAAAGATTGTCCATCAGAGTTTTTTTCCACCAGACACGCAGTGTGTTACCAGATGAGCAGGGAGCTGCAGCTTGTTTATTATTAATAATAGGGCAGACGGGCTACATTACAGTGCAGGAGGAACTTGACAATTGACGAGTTACTACACCCGTCTACAGTTACTTATCTGACGAGTTACATGTGTTTGAAACAGGTTTCTTAGTTACTTCTAATAATCTAAAAACACAAAATCGCAGGAAGACCAACCCACAGTGAGTTGAAAGAGCCCTGTCGACAGTTATGACTGATAATCCTATCAACATGATACAATAGTCCTGGGAATCATCCACGTCTAAATCCTAAACACGGCAAGATCCGACTTGAGCTGTTCAAGCCACTGTAGCCTACGCTAAACAGCCCGGGATACTAGTGATGGGAAACAACATAACCCCCTCCCACCCTATGAAAGCATTTGTTGCCAGACTACTGAAGCTTGTGTGTTCAATGTGTGTGTGTTTTCTATGTGCAACGGCAAGAGCTACAATACTACTATATCATCGTGTTCCTGGCGGTAACACTTAAGCATCTGAAGATGTCCCCTAAAGAAATATAATATAATACAATATATGGTAAGAACAGTCATCCGTCATTTCTATCGGTCGTGGTTTCCTCTTTCTACCCCTTTATGAAGCCAGTACCTGTTATTCGTTTTGGTTTTCTGCAGCTGCTCGTCCTGCCTGGCATGCCACTCCTCCAGCTCTACTTTGGCTTTGTCCTTCCATTCGGACTCCTGCTTCAGAGAGTTTTGATCTGGAGGGGGGGGAAGATGAGGCTGGAGATTAGCGATGAAGAAGCGAAGAGGCCGATGGGAATGTAACCGCCGCAGCAAAGGACAATAATGTCAATGACGGGGCTGCATTAGGGCCAGGCTGCACACATGCAACACGTGCTTTTGAAGAAGACTCTGCATTGATTTCCAGATAATCATAACTTCTCACGACAGTGGTCCGTCTTCTTTCGTTATATAAGCATTAGGAGGTCTGGGCTTACCTAGCAACTCTAACCGCTCGCCTTGCTCCTCCCTCCACTTGCGTAGGCTCTCAGGTTCAGCCTGCAGCCGGTCTGCACTGGAGATGGCTGCATAGGCATCCGATGGACCGTTGCTTTCCTGAGAAACAAGGGAGATATGCAGAGATCGTTGTATTAACTTTACCAAAATCTGTATTATTACAAGGAGATATTAGGTGGAGAAACAATCTCATTCTGAATTATTCATCTCTCCAATTAGTATGACGTTCTTAAAAAGGAAGCTGTATATAGTTTGATAGGCTTTATACAAAACGAATTTGGGCAACTTTTGAGTTTTATCTGCTTGGACTTTCTCACTGCCAGAAGGAGCCCTGACTCTGCAAACGGCAGCAATGTTGCAATGTCAGCACAGGAAAAGGAGTTGGAGTGAATCTAAGAACCGGATATTTAAACCTCTGAGGTCAGCACTGAATTCACACAAGCGCTAACAAGAAAAGTATTTTCCACACCAGAGCTTAAATACTACAAATATCTTTTTAAAATACATTTACGAGGAAGCTTGATGCGAAGGACTGATGCAACAAAATTAAGGAAACAATACAAAAAAGGAGTAATTCTCAAACAACCATGAACAATTCTACTGTAAATTAATTTTATCAATCCCCTTAAAGAATAATTCTCATGAATTAATACTTTGGTTTTATATTTTTGCAGCTCACCGTCATCACAGTCACAATCTTGCATAATGGATCAAACGGGACCATTCTTTATAATTCATAGGCCAACTACCTAGTTCAACTTGGCCATCTTCCTTTTTCACTAAAATAAAGTGGTGGAGATAATTACATTTCACAACTTGCCCAATCAACCATCCAACTTATTTTTAGCATGGTGTGGCAAACATGCTAACAAGAAGTCAGAGTTCCTACAAATCAGCAGCTTACTTCAAAAGCCTATTAGGACAATTAATAAGATTTACGACCAGGTCTCAGCAAATATTTGCTCAGGGTCATTACAGAAACATGGTAATGTTATGTACTCTCACATCCGCAATATGGTTTGGCCATTTACCAAAACAAATACCAGTGTGCTTACAACAGGTGTAGAGAAAATACACCTAAAGAGGAAGCATGACATGGTTTAAAATTGAAGATTAAAGCTCTTGTTTTGTAAATGCTTGATAAAATGCATGCAAGTCTAATCACATAAGATGGTATTACCACATGTAGATCTCCATTGACGGCACCATCTACAAAAAAGAAAAATAGCTGTTAGTAATCAAGCACACAAAATAAATGTATAATGACAATACTTGAATAGATGGGCCTATTTTACTATTGTTGAATCTTCAAGCTTGTCATAACGTTAGACAAATATGTACTAACATGATACGTCAGCACTTCTGCATCATCAAGGAAGCGGAACATTACGGGCCAAAGGTCGTGCAAAGCTACTAGCAAAATGTCGATAAGCCAGCAAGTAACGTTAGTCAACCTTCGTAGGAAGCAATGAATGACAACCAAGTACGCTGGATCTGATGTTATCAGACGGCTTCATTCATTTGAGAAACGCTAGGATTGTCACGTAACACACATTAACACTGTCACCCAGAGTTTTTTTTGTTTTAACCTTACGTCGCCATTTTCGTTTGTCGTTTACATTGCGTTGAATTTTCCACAGGTTTACGTTAACGCTAGTTATAAGCCCTCTTGGCTAACTTGCTAGCTAAGACAACATTAGCTAGCCGACCAGAGAGCGTTAACCTTCAGTGTCTGTTGAACTGTTAAACTAAGGTTTAAAAGGAAGTTCGAGTTTAGACCCTAACCCTACGATGAACGAAGTAGACGGACAATATTCATTTTGAACGGAGGGAAACGGCTTCTGCTTGACCGCGACGGGCACCCACCGTCTCCAAGCGACGACGGGACCTCCCCGCCGTCGAGGATGCTGAAGCCTTCGTCGTTTTCAATCCCCGCAATTTCGCTCTCCTGCTGGGCCAAGAACGCGGCAGCGGGATCCTCGTCCAAGCCGACGCCGTTCCCAGCTGCTGGCGCGTTCAGCATATCAAAATCATCCATCTTGTGAGTACTCGAGGGAGAGTAAATACGAGAAACCGTTAGCAGGTGTAGCGGTTAAACGAAGGCGACTAGCTGGCCTAACGGAAAGGAAGACTGCAAACAAAAAAAACAGCCAAGCGGAAGAGGGAAATAACCAATCACAAACCAGAATGTGTGATTGACTAGAAATACAACCAATCAGAAAGCAGCTACCTCGAAATGGAACCAATCAAATGTGCAAACGTCCCTGCATACGGGTCCCATGACCAGCTACGTGCTGTCAGCGGTGTGCCACATATCCGCAGTAATATATACACCTAAAGGATTATTAGGAATACCATGCTAATACTGTGTTTAGAACTGCCTTAATTCTACGTGGCATTGATTCAACAAGGTGCTGAAAGCATTCTTTAGAAATGTTGGCCCATATTGATAGGATAGCATCTTGCGAGCATCTTGCAGTTGATGGAGATTTGTGAGATGCACATCCAGGGCACGAAGCTCCCGTTCCACCACATCCCAAAGATGCTCTATTGGGTTGAGATCTGATGACTGTGGGGGCCATTTTAGTACAGTGAACTCATTGTCATGTTCAAGAAACCAATTTGAAATGATTCTACCTTTGTGACACGGTGCATTATCCTGCTGGAAGTAGCCATCAGAGGATGGGTACATGATGGCCATAAAGGGATGGACATGGTCAGAAACAATGCTCAGGTAGGCCGTGGCATTTAAACGATGCCCAATTGGCACTAAGGGGCCTAAAGTGTGCCAAGAGAAACATCCCCCACACCATTACACCACCAGCTTGCACAATGGTAACAATGCATGATGGATACATGTTCTCATTCTGTTTACGCCAAATTATGACTCTACCATCTGAATGTCTCAACAGAAATCCAGACTCATCAAACCAGGCAACATTTTTCCAGTCTTCAACTGTCCAACTGTTTTGGTGAACTCTTGCAAATTGTAGCCTCTTTTTCCTATTTGTAGTGGAGATGAGTGGTACCCGGTGGGGTCTTGTAGCCCATCCGCCTCAAGCTTGTGCGTGTTGTCGCTTCACAGATGCTTTGCTGCATACCGCGGTTGTAACGAGTGGTTATTTCAGTCAAAGTTGCTCTTGTAGCAGCTTGAATCAGTCGGCCCATTCTCCTCTGACCTCTAGCATCAACAAGGCATTTTCGCCCACAAGACTGCCGCATACTGGATGTTTTTCCCTTTTCACACCATTCTTTGTAAACCCTAGAAATGGTTGTGCGTGAAAATCCCAGTAACTGAGCAGATTGTAAAATACTCAGACCGGCCCGTCTAGCACCAACAACCATGCCACGCTCAAAATTGCTTAAATCACCTCTCTTTCCCATTCTGACATTCAGTTTGGAGTTCAGGAGATTGTCGTGACCAGGACCACACCCCTAAATGCGTTGAAGTAACTGCCATGTGATTGGTTGATTAGATAATTGCAATTAAAAAAACATCAAACATCAAAAAAAACATACAAGGATCATGTCCGGACATGACTTACAGTGCACGTTCATTAATAAATTGCATGAGTGAGTGGTGCAGTAATGTGTTTTGAATGTCGTGCAGAGACAGCAGAGAACTACAGTGGAAATAATGCTTCCTTGTTGTTGCTCCGGTTTCTGGTTTTGGATATTGAAAGCAAAAATCAGCAGTGTTTTAATGATGACAGTCCAATTTACAGTACTTGTGTGACTGGCTATTTGATTTAAATACTATACATATTTTACTTGCTTAAACCAGAGAGTTTTGTGTTTTAAACGAGCATCGTATTTGCACTTCTGCATAGTAAGAGACACTAAGAGCTTGCATTAAAAACCCAAACAAAGCAAACACATTGTCGATCAGGCTTTTGCAGGACTTGTACTACAAAAGTACATTTATTTAGAGATAAACCAAAAATTGCAGCGTTATTCAATCCAAAATAAAACCCGATCATAATGTAATGCACAATACAGTTTGTAATAACATACAAACAATGTGAATTCTCTTGAGATGAAATACCAGGCACAAAGAAAACAATTCAACAAACAAACAAATCAAATTTGAATAAGATTGAATGGTAGAAAAAAAAATTAAAACACCTGACACAGGCTAATATTTCATCCCCAGGCCATAATGTAGGAGTTTTAGTCAGTTGCTACCTTAACATTTCATTACAGTATTTCAACAAATTTATTGATCACTATATTCTACCCCGTAAGCCTTCAATATCACCAACTACATTAACCATCATTTTTGAAAAGGTACATTTCCCCCCCACAGAATAATTTAATGCATAACCAAACATTTAAATGTAATATGATAACATGACATTTAACAGTCTCTCAGAAATAGACCAGATCGACGTGGAAAACTCCATACAACAGTAATGGGAAAGTGAGTTGGCTGGCAATTTCGGTGAATGGAGAGGAAGCTGCAGGGAAAATGTTCAAGCAATATTTTGGTCACATCTGATACAAGCTTTGCATCCAGCTCATCACATCAAAGCACTGTGTGGGTACTTTTGCTCTGAACGTGCCATTGAAGGTTCAATTCAAAAGTTGAAAGGATTCATTTCTGAACAAAACAAAAGAAACGTTAGGTAGATAACAATGGAATTCCCGGTCCCTCTTAACACTTGTAACACAGATGTCCAGAATGGAACTGGGCACAAATTTTTTCATAAGCATTCAACCTGTGCTTTACACTGATCTGATGGTTTACGAGCATGGTCTAGTCTCGCTCATCTTCCAGAGCAGTATAAGTACTACCTTTAGTTTTTGAAGTCCTCTTAAAGACATATCCTTCAATATGTCCTTCTGGTTGCATAGTCTAACACCATGCTTGCCGCTCCCAGTAAAGCAGGTTCCTCCAACTCTGATGTGACAACTTTGATGTTCTTGGCAGAGACGAGGGCTCGCTCAGAGATGATGTGCTGCACTGGCGCCTGGTAGAGAGACGCCAAGATTCCAGACAGAATCACCAGCGACGGGTTCACTATGTGAAGCATGTTAACAATTCCCACACCTAGCGCTGTGGAGGCTGGAGAGAGGAAGTTAAAGACCGGTTAGGACACTTTTCTGCTGTTTTTATGAGTAACCTTCTAACAACTACCAGTGCGGTGAGGGGAGGAATATTATATTAATTTCTTTTAGCAAGGGACAGCATTTGGATCCAAGGCGAAAGGGACTACGTTTTGTGCTCTGACCTTTGTTGAGAACAGCATCAGCTTCGCAGTTCCCCAGTTTGGCTGCATTGATGAGGTGGGCCGCAGTGATTGGCTCCGTGAGCTTCATATCCATTCCGTCCACATTCAGCCGGTCCTCTGAGACACACGAACACACAGGTTAGATGTAAGGAGCTACTTTTAATTAACTTGTCAAAAAAAACACCCAGCTCCCTTTTTCTTCATCATGCCCGAACTGTATAAAAGCTGAAAAATGACACTGTATATCCAACCCATTTCATCTCACCGTCGTGGAGCCTTTTGGCCTCTTTCTGCAGGGCCATGCCAGACGCGTAGGCCTCGATGCATCCTCGGCTGCCACACGAGCACTGCGGGCCTTCTAATGAAACCATGATGTGGCCCAGCTCGGCAGCGCAAAACGTACTGCCGTGAACCAGCTCGTTTTGATGAATGATCCCTCCTCCAATACCTACACAAACATACACGTACAAAATAAAATACGCTGCAAATGGTACATTTCTAACTGTAAAATTAAAAAAAAGACCTTGATAGACCGTGAAGTCCCCACTAATAACTAACATGTGCTTGGCCACGAGCTCCAACCTCCAAAGCAAAAGCGTTGAATGCTTCATTGAATAGTCTGAAACTTGACCATACATGCTACCTCAAGGTGAGAGACCCCCGCAATGACCTTTCATCTGGCAAGTTACAGACGTATATAAACCTGATGAATCCCTTTATTCATATTGAGGATTGTGTTGAAACAAAAAACATTTGGTACAACCCTTATAAAAACACTTTTATACTAGCCAGCAGTAACTACGTCACCTGTTCCTGTGATGACGGTGACAAAGTTCTCCACCCCCTTTCCGTGGCCAAACTTCTTCTCAGCCAAGGCAGCGCAGTTGCCATCATTGTCCACCCAGACGGGCAGCTGCAGCACGTCGGCGATGGGTGTCCTCAGGTCCACAGAGGACCACTCCTCGATCAGCTTGGTGGAATGCAGCACCACTCCTTCTTGGGGGTTCACACGCCCCCCGGTGGAGACACCTAAGATGTGGATAGATTTTAAGAGAAGCAATGAGACCTCATTTTGATAGTGGATGACACGTTCGTCAGCATTGCAAACGGTTTTCATTCATTAATGTGAGTGAGTGTATTTTTCATACCAACACCGAGGACTCTGCAGTTGAGGCTGACGGCGTCTCGCGTGGCGTCCGTACACATCTTTAACATGAGCTGCATCCTGTCCTCATACTTCTTTGGATTTGGCTGAGTATACTTCTTTACTATCTTACCCTGTACAGAGACATAAGTAGCATGAAGCAGGTTTTAGAGCACACAGACACAAATTGGATAACAATAATGACAAAGCATTGACCAGAATTCTTACTGGCTTAAATCATGCTTGGTCACATCTCCAACTTCATTGAAAGTCAACACTTTTCATAATGCCAAAGGGCAACAAAGCGTCTCAAACAGAAAAAAGGCAGCGTCGGAAGGATGTTAAGACTCCACGCAGCCTACCCTCATGCTGACAATGGCCACCCTGAGGTTGGTCCCTCCGAGGTCGATAGCCAGAGCGCTCTGGGTCTCCAGGATATGATCGATGTCCTGGGAGATGGAGTCCTTCACAATGGGGAAACAGAAAGTCTTCTGTAGGGGCTCATCCAGGTCAATGGTCCGTAAAAACTTGAGAATACGAGGAACAGCGTTGCCATCGCCATAAATCTTGGAGCTGATGAGAAACCAGTTCACCAAGATTCAAGATGCATTCAAGATATTTATTGTCACGCTAACGTGCACCATTTGTTTTTGCCAATATTGCACAAGAATTAGTGACATGAAGTCACATGTCAGTGTGTGTGTGTGTGTGTGTGTGCGTGCGCGCGTAGTGGGGCTGTTATAAGTGGTGCACCAGAGTTCACGGCTCCTTTTAAAAACATGAAAATTGTGACAAAGTCAGATTGTACAAAGTACATTGCTTTTAAGGAATGAAGAGCATTGTCTCGCAGCTCTCTAGCGATTCAACAGTGTCTCAATAATGATCACACCTCAATGATTAATGTTTAGCTAGATATCTTTCCTCGGACAAGAATTATAACTTAAAGCTGCGCTAACTCTTATTTTTGATTAATATCTAAATGTATTTATGCTCATTGTATTACGGCCCACAATTTTGTCTTATTAGAATTTTAAAAGGATTAGAGAGGACAAGGACTCGGACACACAAACAAGCAGTGCATTGGTCATACCAGGGGTATCTCTTCCCAAACTGCAGCTCCAGAGCGTGGTACACCTTATTCTGAGTGTCGGCATCTCGGACATGTAGGACATTTTCACCTGGCGGAGAGATCAATGTCATCAACACAGCGGCCAGGCCCAGAGGCAGATTCATTTAGGCGGAAGAATGCTCGCTTTGCAGCCGCTAATTATGTGTTAGCAGCATGCTTGTCTTCAAGCTGCCACAACCCTCCTAATATTCCAAAAGATAACTTGTGTCAGATGACAAACTGTCTGCGTGTACCCATTTTGTAAAGCTCAGGACAAAGCGCCGTAAGCAAACACAAAGAACTTTTACAGAGCTGCACCTTCCTTCAGCAAGTGCGATGCCGCATTAGTGCTTCAATCTATCTTTTGTTAGACAAAAAACTGGGACCATAATTACAGCAAGTACCTGATGTTTTCTCTCCTACGTACCCGTTTCTCTGCCAGTTTGCCTCGTTCCCAGGTTGATGACGGGCGTGCCGAAGGCACCGGCCTCTCGTACCCCACAGCTGCTGTTCCCGATCATGCAGCCGGCGTGGGACACCAGCTGGATGAACTGCTCAAAGGGAATGTGCTTCACTGCCCGGAAGTTGGGGTGCTGCTCGATGCCCTTTTTTCGCATCACGCGCACCATCTCCTTACTTCCTGTTTACACGGGAGGTTTGTTTTGTTGTGAAGTGAGATTAAAACCCTTTTAGTCCTATAGGCGTTTTTTTCAATAGAATTGAGCCAGACCCACATGGGATAGAGCGCCAGCCTCCCTGGACAGTAAAATGAGGAAACGTGTAGAGCTACGAAATTATGCTCTGTGGGTGAAGGGCAAACGTGCCCCCCCCATAAAATCAGACCCTGAAAAGGATGGGAATGCTATGAAAGAGACTCACACATCTGCTAGCATTTGAAACCCTCCAGGAATTATGCATTCTTCCATTGAAAAAACATAAAGATAAGGCAGTTTATGATTGATAAGTGATTCGAGTGCTTGCTGTTGGTTTTCCACCAGCTCTGGGAAGGTTTGTCTGACAGAAATGTAACTCATATCAGCGGATTCAGGGTGGAACGGCCGTGCGGCTTTTAGCCTCGGTTCCGTTGTTAGCGCTCTAGCTTCGCCCATAAGTGTACAGAGTGTGTTGCCGAAATTTGCATAGGATATTTAATAACTGCGAAATACCGAGCTGTGTTTGGAGCATGTTCACTTTGCATGAACAGCATGTTCGATTTGACTGGCTTTGTAGCCCAGACTTTCCAGCGGTGTGTGGCATTGTTATGTGGGCTCAAGTTGAGGGCCTCTTCTCAACCTTTTGTGGTAGATACACTGGCAGCGTCTCGCCGGCGACATGCTGAGGACTAATAGGGTTAAGGAGCCAGGACGAAACCAGAAGTAAATAGTAAATAACGGGAATAGTAATAGTAAGTGAAACTAACCGGCGTCGATGTTAGGGAAGAGAATGAGGGTCTTTTTGTTGAAGGAGATCAGGGCATCCAGCATCAGCCCGTAGATCTTAATGGAGTGCTGGATATCAGTGGTAACCGGGTGCTGCAAAGCCACAATGTAGTCACGCTCCTGCACCTTGTCCCCTGCAAGACAAATAAAACTCTGCACATAAAATACAAACACACCAACGTCTCAGACTTTATTTCTGCCCCATGACGGCATCCCAACCTACCCAGCCAGCTCCTGATGATATCCATGTAATCATCTCTGTGATTTGATGACAGCAGCTTGTCATAGGAGGGGCAGCCAGCCAGCAGGATGCGAGAGTGGTCCTCACACATGGCGATGAGGTGCTGCTCTGCCCTCCGGGTGCAGCAGGCGTGGTAATGGGCCAGTTTAGTGATGGAGTGGCGGATTGAGTCATCGATTGTGCCACTCACCTGGGAAAAAGGGACAAGATGCCATTTTGTAACAATTACGTAGTAATTGAGTGTATTTTATTTAAATTCCCACTTTGACAGGGTAAGTAAATACTAAAGACACACGTGCTGCGCGGCATTAAATAAAATGTATTACTTGTATGTAACTTTCCTCATATTCTCTCCTCCCGCCTCCTCACCTCTCCTCCTTCCAGATGAAGGATTCTAATGTTCATCAGCGCCGCCGCCGTTGCTAGGGCCAGCGCGTCAAAGCGGTCGCCGTGGACGACCAGGATGTCAGGGCGGAGCCTCTGAAGGACATCAGGGAGTTTCACGAGCGCCAGCCCGACGCTCTCCACCATGGCTGCCTCGTCCTCTCCTCTCACGATGGTGTGCAGCTTGGAGCCAATGTCAAAGTCGTCCTGCTCGATCATACGGAAAGTGTTTCTGCGGCGAAGGCGTAAAGAGAGAGAGAATTAAAATTGTGGCGGCTGCGGACTGCCGTGTGGTCAGACGCTGACAAATGAAGCCGTCATACCCGTAGTCATCAATGAGATGGGAGCCAAGCACCATAACTTCCAGGTCAAACTCTTCGGGCTGTTTTTTGATGCCAAACATGATGGGGGCCAGCTTGGAGTAGTCCGCTCTGTTGCATGTCGCAACGCACACCCTCAACTTCCTCTGACACTACACCGCAGAGGAGTAGCCCACCACACACAGACACACAGACCATTAGTCGATCGGAACGTTGTATGCCCAAAAACGTAGAAACACCCCTCTCTCCAATAGTTGTGTTATTCAAATACAAGTGACTGATCGTGTCAAATATTTTCACATGGAGCAAAAGAAACAAAGCAATACCTGGTTCTTGTCCTCCATCTTTGTCTTGTCCAATTTTTCTTTAGCCCTTTGCATTCTCAGATAGTACAACTCCTAGAAAACAAGGACAAAAGAGAAGGTGATATCCAGTAATGGTACTTGTAATGCATGGTTCTTGGTACGCTAACCCACACACAGGTCGTACTCACTTGGGCCTTCCGAGTAGTCAGATGCTGAAGCGTGGAAACACAAGAAAACTACAGTAAACCTTTTTCTTTTGTAATTTAACATACGCTGACATCCCCCCCCAGGTGACAAAGATGCTTTGCATGGGAAGGTGATGGTCACACACACTCACACCTGGTACAAGATGACGGAAACTGGTCGAGTGAGTTACAAAGTCGTGGTTACAAAAGCTTTTCGCTTTACTTATAGACAGTGAATCGTACTTCAATCTCCTGCAGTACCTGGATGTGTTTACAACCGGTTCCTATTAGTCTATTTAGTTGGAACAAATAACTCAACCCCTCCATAATCCTTCCTTGATTAGCAAACTAAAGTTCCCTGAAGGGTGAGCTCATTTTTAAACCACTTACTGGGAAATCATTAAAACGATGATTAAATCACTGAAAATCACCAACAGAATATTTTGTCTGATTATAATTTTAGAGGACAACATTGCACACTTGACCCAAAACTAGAGCGACCAAGCCCCAGAATTGAAAAGGACCTTTTCACAGCAGGCATTCCGACTTGTCATCCTATGAAGAATGTGTCAGAGGGCCAGTAAGCAATAACAGTGACTTAAGACTCTATAATTGAAACGGATAGGTAAAAAAAAAAACACGTTTATTTTAGGAGTCACACCCAAGCTTTTGTTACGGTGACATGTCAAAAAGTCCACTCCTTGGAAAAAATATTTTGTTGATCCTGTCCTGTGTCATAAGTCAGACATTCAGCTGCAGAAAGAATGCCGTCTTTCAGCCTCAATCGTATTGTTGAACGAGGAGTTACTGACGCGATCCCAACTGCTGCGCTCATGAATCACTGTTGTTGAAATTGGGTGGCACCTGTGTGCGTGACACACGCCATTGGAAAGACAATGGCAACACCTGGAAGCTATAAGTATTTGTTGGGTGTGTACATTATTCGTTACTCATTATTTTCATAGACAAGCAGAAGTTTCCCATCCTTGATCTGTGGAACACTTGTTCAGTTGCACATTGCAGTAATCACTTTTTTCTACAATTTTGAGCTCATAAAAATAAAAAATAAATGTACCACAGACTAGAGAATTGACAAGCTGCATCAGAATAACAAGCAGGACTACTGGCTGATTGCTAATAGGAACTATGAGGTAAATCACCCTATGACCAGAGACTGCAAGTGGAGGTGCAAAATGACTAATATTCCCATCATAATCCTCTAATGCAGTGTTTTTCAAACTTTTTTGCGTCAAGGCACACTTAAGACACACAAAAAAAATCTTACGGCACACCAACAACCGGAAATGATATGAAAATCAATCCCAAACATAGTTTCAGCATAATATACTCTAAGAAATCAGGGAAACGCGTGTTCTATTTGTTGTGTTTTATTAAACTTAACATCATCCTAATGCCAAGATGGCACAGGCTTTATGCCCAGGTATCTCTTAAGCCTAGTTTATGCTTCTGCGTTTTCAGAGCGACGCAAGCCCCTTTTCACACCTCCTTGCGTGTGTCGAGCCATTTTTCTAGGCTTGCGTCGTAACGCTTTAGTTTGTATTGGAACCCCAAAGGATACAAAAATACATCTTCAGATTATTACTTTAGCATTTCTTCCAGTTATCATATCCCTAATAGTAGTGAAGGGTGAATTTACTCGAGTATATGAATATTTTCTGTACAGGTTCTGAGTTTGAACTGAAACAGAACAACTGGAAAACGCGATGAACTTGTTTACTACCGTCATCTGCAGAGACCGACCGTTCCTTAGTGACTGTTCTCCAGAGGCGGTTGGCTGGAATAAATGCCTCATGCCACTACAAGGTGTGGTGGTGCAGAGCCAAAAAGTATTTTTACTATATTTTTATTTTCTCTCATTTAGTCGCTAAAAAGTGTTTATGTTAGTGCTGCTGAATCCCAGCGTTTCTACGTCATTGTATTGGCCATTGGTTCTTTTACTACCCATAGATCACATCTGTATGTAGTAGAGCAGAAGGTCACACATCAGTAATGCGCCAGTGGCGTGTTAAACGTTTCTCTAAGGACACTGGAAGGTGTCGTGCGCGCTCGCCTGCTTAAAGTTGTGAGTTTCATTCATTTTCAAGGTCATTCTCAAGTGTCAAACTAGGATGTTTTAATTTGTGCAGTTTCCCCTCATTTGATAGTGATTGACCTGGATTCCACTCAATACAAAAACATTTCCGCCTCCATCTATTTCGGTAGATTGAACATATATTGCGTTGACATTTAGGCGTTCAGTTCTGCAGCGCGTATTTCATTGTTCCGCCTTCAGTGTCCCCGTGAGATACCTTTAAATGTGCAAAAAGAAAAATTCACATTTCAATACACAATTCCCCCGTACCCCGGCAAAGTCCGAGCAAAGAGGCGCCGGTGCCACATTCCACGCTGCTGCAGGGACCGCCAGCGGGGCTATGTGTAACTATCCCGAGCACGATGACGGGCCGCGAATGCAGCAGCTTTATTTACCTCCTCCCCCCAAGCGACAATACACGCCTTTAAACCGTTAACCGTGCTCCTACCATCGTATTAGTTGCCACAACAGTTGCACCACGGAGGGTTTGAGCTAACATCACTGGTGCCGCTGCGGCGCGGAGCGAATGACGCTAACGCTACCGGAACTACTGCCGACGCGGCAGAGTTCTCCGCTCCACCGGTGTGACGGCGTGACCGGACACGCCGCTAACTGGCGACTTTCCGCCGGAAAGCGACGGCCGTTGTCGTAGTTTTCGACAGTTGCGGAACATAGGAGGAGAACGCGTAGGGGTTCCCGTGAATGACGCGTTGTTCTAAGCTCTTCAACTCGACGCCAAGCCTCCTCGTGTAGCTCCGCACGTATGAGCCAAACACACGTCAGAGTGAAAGAGCCCACTCGCGTTCAAAACGTCGCTTTACGTTGATGTGTCGAAACAGGAAGGGAGCAAGATGCCCTTCTTTTAAAATAACGTTGGTATAAAACCAATTATAAAATAATAATTTTTAGGAAACATGCGTCACCACCAGGAATGACATCAAATAATTGGGTCGTAGAACCAGAGTTGGCATGGCGTTTTGGATGTAAAGTACCATTTCACATTGTATACTAATTTTGAAGACATTGGAACTATGAAAGAATCAGGAAACATTTATTGCCAAAATATGTCAAACATACAAGAAATTTGTCTTGGCGGTTGGTGCGTTGACAGTAGACAGTGTAACAATAGACAACAAGACAACAGTGCACAGGTAATAAAATAAAATGAAATGGGTTAGTATAGAATAAGAGAATAAAGTTAGTTGAAAATATTTAAAAAGTTAAATATTAAAAAATAAAGTGCACTATTGAACAAGTGACGACGAAGTGATAAATGACAGTTAAAGTGACATGTGCGGTGTGAAGGGGAGTGACCGGTGGAATGTTACAGTCAGTCAGTGGGGGACCGTTGATGAGCCCGACTGCCGACGGGAAGAAACTGTTCGTGTGGCGGGAGGTCTTAGTCCTGATGGACCTCAGCCTCCTGCCAGATGGAAGGGCCACAAACAGTTTTTGTCCGGGGTGAGAGGGGTCGGCTACGATCTTTTTAGTTCGCTTCACATGTGGAATGATGTGGTAAACACAAAAAAAGCCTGACAAAACGGAATTTTCCATATTCTATATTTCCATAGGCAGCTTTGCACACTTGGCATTCTTCATCAGCTTCATGAGGTAGTCACCGGGACTGATTTCCCAATAGTCTTAAAAGACCGCTGAGCTACGGTTGGCTGCTTTGCCTTCCCTCTGTGCTCCAAGTCAAAAAGCCCTCACATAGCTTGGAGGTGTGTTTGGCGTCATTGTTTTGTTGAGAATACAAACGGCGGTCCACCTAATCGCAAACCAGATGGGATTGCCTGCAGAATGCTTTGGTAGCCAGCAAGGTCCGCCCACACAGTCATACCTCATCCTCAACGCTTCACGGTGGGAACCACCACCTTCAGCTCCGGTGTGGGAACAGAGAGAGAGGAGAGGCAATAGACGCGAACAAGCCGGTATGTTGACTTTGTTTAAAAAGACTGCGGCAACAAAAAGTCACAGGGCGAGGTCACCGGGCCTCCCGATTGGTCTCTCCCTGCAGCCACGGAGCGGCGGTTGTTGCCCCCTGGGTTAAACCTCTCCGGCTGCCGCCGCCGGGCCTTTCGGGTAGACACATTTTCTTGAAGCCAACCGCATCCCACCGAGCACGATGCTTCCATCCGCTTTGTAACCCCTGCCCTTATTACTTATTGGTTTTATTGAGAATATATTTTGTCTAAATATTCGGAATAAAACATTTTGTTTTTTGAAAGAGCGTACCTGCAATATTATGCTGTCATTATGTTATCCATTGCATAAAATGATGTTGTTTATCGCAATTCATTTTGCACAACGTGTGCCCAGAAGAGCAGCTCTGTGCGGTTTGAGGTTTTGAAAAATCAGACGGAAGTTCGATCAGAAGACAATTTATTGTAACATTTGGTCGAGCTGCTGGTATCGCCTCTGGTGGCATCACTAGCAGCCACAACAGCTACCGAGCTAACTCGCTAACTCGCCTGCCACTTGCACACGATTTGGCCAGCGAGCGGTGAACAGCTGTTCAGGTGGCCGCAGATCCTTTTCGCCGCCAATGAATGTTCACTCGCGATATACAGAGATACCGAATCTTATAAAATAGTGATTTGAATGTTTGGCCACACCGCACATCTCTCATGTAGGAATGATGAGCAATTCCCATTAGAGTGAAAAGTGTGGAACCAACCTGGTTCTCTAGCACGCGTAGAAATCATTTTTGTTAATGCAAACTTCAAACTCAATTGAGTGGTTGTGTGACGTAGTCGAGGCAACATGTATCCATTCCTTGTGGTTCATTAACTCTCTTGTGGGGAACGTGAAGAAAAAAAAAAAACCCTCTGGGACAAAATAACGTGATTTACCTCGAGTCTCATTCAGCATGCCAGTGACTTCCGCTCAAGCATCACAAGACAGCATCAGCAGCCAGTGTTATGGGGGGAGGGACACAGGCAGGCAGCCAGAAGGCAGCGATGGCACAGCGATACAGTGCACACAAAATAAAAGAGGGGGAATGACAGACAGGAAGGAAGATGACAAAACATGTTAGAGTAATGACTTACATGTGGGTTTATCCACAAAGAAACCGGTTGCCTTTCCATCCCCCGCCTCCGTGGATTTTCAGCTTAAAAACCTTCTTTTCGAAGCCTGCTTTCCTCCTTATTTTTGCCAAGCCGCATTAGGCAATGAAGGGAAGGCATGCGCGAGCCAGCAAGCGGCAGCAGAAGGGAGAAAGGAGGAGAGAGAGGGGTAGATACGTGACCGCTGATACGGATGGGGGAGGGGCCAGGAGAGGGTTAGGTTTATTTGAATAGAAGCTCGTTATTGGTCGGAGTGGAAGAATAAAGGAACATGTGAAATCCTGCTGGACATCAAGCACAGCAGATGGTCTATTCTAAGAAAATCACAAAGTCATTGACTAATTCATCTTCCATTACAATGGTCTGACATACCATTTTTAAATGGGCCCACCGCAACAACACAAAAAAAAGGGTAAAAGTACAAAGATATAATGAGGCGTATTGGACCCTGTTATGTACACTTGTTGTTCTGTACAGCAATTAAGATTAAAATGTATATGGCTTTGAACTGAAGTGGAAAAGTGGGGCAATTGGTACTTATTTTAGAAATAAAACCTAATATTCTATCAAGTTTGTGTACAAACTCTAAAATATGAATTGTGTGTAAATACACAAACACACACACACACACACACACACACACACACACGTACGTATTATAATGCAATTCATTAAAAACAAAGAATATACGGCCGATTTGGGGAGGTTGCAGGGGGGCGTCATTGTTCCTGTATCATTAAAGTGGGGCAAAGTGGAGGACAGAAACGTTTGGGAATCACCGCCTTGGTGACCGCCACCATCGTCTCAATGCCAATATTGAAATGATGCCACAGCTAAAAAATGAATAGAATAAGAAGTGACAGAACATGGAACCTACATTGTCTTGTTTTGGTACCGTTTCTAACACCAGCCCGGAGGGGGATTCTGTGCAGGCGTCCCTGCAGTTCATAACCCGCTGATATTCTTTTCAACTTTGTTTGTGGACTCAAAACCTCCAGAGATCCACAGCTTTTTTTTTTATACCACCGTCAGTTAAAGTTGGTCCTGACTTATCTAACCAGGAAGCTTCGAAGACGTTCTATCAAGGCTTTGTGGTTTAGATTATATAACAACCGAGTGGTGTCGTCTCGGGCTTGACACAATATAACAGACTTTGGTATAATTGATGTCAGAAAGACTTTAGACTCTATACCACCACTGAATACCACTGGGGGTGGGAATCACCAGAGGCCCCACCATACAATATAATACAATATTTTTTCAACAGGGACACAGTATTCACATTATAGAGTATTGTAGCAACGATGTCACCGGTTCAACCAGACAAACCAGTTTTCATCAACGACTGGAGCACCGACAGGCTGGCTCCCTTCAGAGGAATGCAAGAGCCGGAAGACTCGTTTCTCTTTTTCCATTGTCTTTTTACACTTTAGAATATTAATCATCTTAGTAAGTTTAAGTAACGTATAAGCTAGGTGAAACGTGTTTTGCCCGTGCCAAGATTGATAAGACTCGTGACCTTCCTTTTACAGATGCATGGCCCTCTTTAGTTAATCATCACAGTTACTATCAATCTCTGTCTAAACGCCGCACACGGAATCACCATAAGTACCAACAGCGTGCACCATCTGGGTCCCTTGGAATGCCCCTACATTCAGCACGTACAGCTGTGGCCAGAGGTAAAACTATGACAGGGCCCACAACGCCCCCCCCCCCCCCCAAAAAACAGCAGCCCTGTGAAGTCTGCCACGTCTCTGATTCACAGGAGAGTTCACTGACTATTGCGAGTGTTCTGTTGATTTAACAAGGGCAGATACCTACAAAGGTTGCCTCAATGTACCAAAACAGTTATTTGTAACTTTCAGGTACTGTATAGAATAATCACTTTATGGAGATAATAAAAGTACACAGATATATCAAGCGGAGGCGTATGAAAACGAGTACGTGTAGAAGTAGTCCATGTCGGCCCCACCCCAAGAAGCCTGCTGTAGATGAACGTAATCTGTGTCAACAAATCAGTGTTGACACAGTTGTGACATCCTGCCACATAGGACATGGCAAACTCCACATAAAACAGACCAAACAGTCATCTCTCACAGCTTGTTTGATTTAACCCCGTTTTGTTTGCTCTTAGTTTCTTCCCGGATCATTAAAATACACTATATTATGGCACCATAACAAGTGTCTGATAAGAAAAAGCTGTTCAATGTTCCAAATTCCCTTTCAACTAGCTAAATATGATCTTGCAATCTACTTTAATCTTAAGTAGGTGGACTGATATCTACTTTACTTACCGTACGCAGGCTTTTCTTAACAGCATAAAACGTAATCTTCTGATAGTGTTTCAGTTAAGGCTGTATACACGTGACAAATGAAGATATGCGACACCTCTTTTAATGACATGCTGCCATCTAATGTACTACAAAGGCAGCACAACCTGGGGCCGCTCCTGCGATTGCGGTCTCGCGGGTGTAGATGCAAGAAGAACCACCCGGACATCTTATCTACACCTATTTACTCATAAGCATGCGGTTTTATTTTGTTATCAGTATTTTCACTCATTTGAACTAACAACGACAAAAATCTCCTTCATGGGCGTCGAGTAAAAACTCGTTTTGACGTAACACAAATCACCTCATCCCGCTTTTCTTGTATCTTTGTTTACACAATCCCACGATGCTTTGCGAAGCGATTCGCCGGTGTGCCCGCAGACCGCGAACCGTGGGCGAACTTCGCCTCACGTCGCTGCCCTGCTGGCGTCTCACCGGTAATTAGCGTCGGAAATACGCGGCGAGGCGGATCGCAACAAAACAAACTAGCGTTAAACAAAGCTGCTGACGCCGCCAAGCCAACGCGGTGACGTCGACGCACGCCGCTCGGACGTCAGAGACGTTGTCGCTGACGCTTGGCTGAAGTTATCGTTAGCAGCGACCACAGAGCGCCGACTCCCACGCGGTCGAGTTCAAAGTTACCTTCGACTCTCCAGGTCCTCATCTAGTGCTTCAACGCTGCGTTACTTTGTCTTCTTTCCCCTCTGCGGCGGGACGGCAGCGGTGACGCTCTCCGAGGCGACACACAGAGCATCCAAGCCCACGCGCGAAGTAAAGGGTCGCGATGTTTAGACCGGATGTGCGTTCTTTGGACTGTCAGAATAAAAGCAAACTAAATCGTCGATGAGGGGGAAAAAAAAGAAAACTCATGTCAATGAACATCATGTCTTCTTTGGGGGGCACGAATCCGGCCTGGCCAGAGAAACACCCGCAAAACAAACGACTGAGAAACGAGTGATTTACAGCAGCACCAGTGGCGATCAGCAGCCACGCGGCGGTGACGGCGGCAGCATTCAGTCCCAGCCGCAGCCTCCGTCCTCTGCTGCTATTTCATAACCGTGCTGCATTGCACCAACGGTTCACCACAGAGCGGCGGCTGCATGAGAAAAGGACAGCATGAGAAAAGGACAGCATCGTGGTCGCTTTTATGAGCTATTTGAGGGAGGTGGGTGGAGGCGGCTTGAGTGGGATTTGCTTCAAGAGAAATGGGAAAAGTTGAGAAAGAACTTCTGCAAGTTCTGAGAAGGCTTGAGGGAGGAGGAGGTGCAGAGAGCCGGCACAATATGTGAACAGAGAAAAGAAAGAGAGAAGAACAACGGATAGCAGAATTCACAAATTCACTGTTGTGTGTGTGTGACGCAGTAGGACGTGTACAGAGACTCAAATGCACTTACTTTATCTCCTCCTCTGTTCTCCCCCTCCTTCCCCTCAACCCTGCAATACACATTGCCATACACTTCAGCTTGTTATCGTGTAGGTTTGTGCGTGTGTGTATATGTGTCTAGATTCAGAGGAATACGCTGGGCCTCTTTTAATGTCAATGTTGCACTGCAGAACAAACTGCACTTGAAGATTGGAACATGTACTACACACCCTCACAGTCGCTACGCCGTATCTTCTACTATTCAGCCAAATGAGCAAACATGACATGTGGGCAATGATAAGAAACCCGTTTTGCTGTCTATGAACTCTGTGGAAACTATAAACTCACTGTGTGTCTTACTTCCCCACGGTGTCTGGCCACGTCTTTCTAATTTAGTAATTGTTTATTTAATACTTACTATATGTATGTGCATAGGACACTGTGTCATCAGGGCAGCACATAATAGAAACAACCTGCTCCACACACATTGGTTGTGTTTGTACTACTGATGATAACCTCAAATTCCAAGCGTTGTTTTTCTTATATCTTTAATGATGCGACACTCCCTAATTATCTAAGATAGCAAGATTGTATGGCAGTAATAGCACCCATATGTTATGTGAGGACAAATGCATTACTTGCCCAATTTATCATGACCCCTTTGTTGTTACAGTATCATGTTGCACTCTCCTTGATTTGCTTATTCCCACCACCTCAATGCATGTCCTTGTCATTCTATCGTTCTATGGGTTCAATTGAAAAGCCTGCCTTGTGAAATTGCACAATGTTGTCATGAATGAAGCATGGCCCTCCTCTCACATCTATAAAATCAGCTTTGCAGCAGCTGTGGAGGGACAGCGAAGGAGCCGAGCCATTTTAATGCAGTTACACAGGAAATGTACCCTGAGGGCTCGGCTGCACTCCACTGCGTTCATTCACTGTCTGGATCACGGATACTGTTTAGCGGCCAGTCAAATGGAAAAGTGCAATAGCAACTTCTGCTAAACTATGATTACTAATTGCAATGCAAAAAAAACAAAAATAGACAAATACAAGGCTTAACATGTTTCATTATTTTGCAATATTTTACATAACATTTGAATATTTTACATTTTTAAGAATGATGGCAAAAAGATAATTGAAAGACAAATGTCAATCAATACACACGAGTACACATCTTTTGAATAGATCATGTGGTTTGGTCCTTGTACAGAAGCAGAGCTGCCATTCAGGTCGTCGGGATATTTTTATAGTTCATGTCTCACGTTTTAATGACTTCCCGGTTTTCCTGACAAGCATGAGCAAATACTAAGATATGACTGATTTATATGTTTATGGTGTAATGAAATATGAAGCAGAAAACCATCAGCTTACAGGGAATGTTGTGTGAACATATTTTTAAATTTGTTGTAGGGTTCTAAATTTAATTTGTAAACATCTTCACTTTTATTAATGATGAGAAAATAAGGAAATAATGATTCAAAATAAAACATTGAGTTTAACCTTTAAAGAATAAACTACATAAAATACCTAATTTCATCATGCCTAATTGATAACATGTAAAAAATAAAAGAGCATGCAACTATTGCAGAATACCCACAAGACATCTCTCTTTCTTCCACACTCTTTTTTTGTGACCAGTCAGGTCGGGACTCTAAGATCAGCTTATCACAGCCGTTGTGTGAGAGATAACAGCCAGGAGAGAGCGCATGATTTCCTGAGCAACAGTGACAACAGCAAACAAACAGCAGACAAATACAATCCCACACAGAAACACATTATCAAGTGTTACTTCCTAGGATTGCTTATCTGCCGTTCTTCAATGTAACATCCTTTCTCTTTCTCTGTTCACGCCTTTTTAACACTGTTCCTGCTGCATTATAGATACAAGGGGACATCGAAGTTCAAACAATGTCCCTTTCTGCCCTGTGAAAGGAGAATTTGCCTCGGTGATGGACGACGTCGGACAAATGTGGGGCTGGATTTTGTCATTTAAAAACTACAAGACACTTCTGCTCCCCTCCTGATTGCCAAATGAGGGAACTCAGAAGTAACTGCCAACTCCCCAATATTTTTAGAGATGAACAAGAGTTCCTCGTTGAGACCCAGGCAATATAATGAGCAATTTCTTTTATCAGATCAAATAGGCTAGATTTAGAAACTTAAATATTCCCGCTGGGGAAACCCGTTTCAGTGTCACGACATTGTCTTTCCTTTTGGACCGTTTGCTTTTGAAGCAGTTTGGTAATTGACAGCAGGAGCCGGTACTTGTAGGGGAAAGAAGATTACGCAATAAAAAGCTTGGAAACCTGCCTTAAGCGGGGAGTTCCGCTGTTCAGAACAACGTGCCAATGCACATTTAAACTCCCATACAGCAGCAAATATGGTGCATATAATATAATAGTAGTGTGTCATTTGATTCATTAATGGTGGGTGAGACTGAAACCTGCACAGACTCTGTATAAATGTTTCGCCTCACACTGCAGTGCTTTCTGGTTTGTTTGTTTGTGGTTAAACATTAACGGAACAGGCCTAAAACAAGCCCATAGTTTCACTTCATTGACTCACTTCTTCATCGGTTTTGTCACACAGGTGGCACCGGTGTTATTTTTTGTTTTGTTCCTAATTCAGAGCTAATTTTGATTGCAGTTGAGATGTTAAACAGATCCAACAGGCCCACACTAAAATCAAATAACTGGTTATAACATTTGTCAGACCAAACCAAACTCACCAAACGCAAATATCGCCTGTTCTCAAATGCACTTCTCCCTTTTGTCCACAGTGGGGCAGCAGAGTCACCAGAGTGCTGATCTCCCTGCCATCATCGTGACTGCAATGCAAGCCAAGGTCTCTTTCAAGGGCACACATCATATCTGCAAAGTCACATGCAAGGCAGGGAGAGGCTCTATGGGCGTTTTCAGTTGAAGCAACGAGAGCAGTACCGAGGAAAATAAAATGCGTTGAGCCTGGAGGTTTGTTGGATTCATCCAACACCAAATAAATAGTTCACACTCTTCTGTGGTTGTAAATGTTTCAGATTAAAACAAATAAAATGAAGAGCACAATGTTGAGTATAGCTAAAGTGTGCCTTATATTACAGTCCTTGTTTTTTCATAAAGGTAATGTTCTACTAGGCAATACTCTCACTGTGCAGTTTGTATTGTCAATAATGATACATTGTTTTCTAAAGAAGCAAAGTGTGTTGCATTTCCAGAATGAGAGTGAGAGCCAACACGTCCAACCCCCAAAGCCTTACCTTTCCAAAGCCATCAAATATGCATGGCCCCTCTGAGTGTACATGTAATGTATTCACGGGTTTCCGCTGCACTAGAAAGCTCGCTATCAGCAGTTTGTGTGTGTCTGTACTGCACATTATGTGTGTATGTGTGTTGGTCTTCAGGACATGACACAAAACGTGATCAATAAACACTGATTCCTAGTCTTGTGGAAGAAGGAGAGGGAGAGAGAGAGAGAGAGAGAGAGAGAGAGAGAGAGAGAGAGAGAGAGAGAGAGAGAGAGAGAGAGAGTCTTCGTGGGCAGGTTCTGTATCGGTCAGCAATATAATAGTTATTCCACATTAAAAAATATAATTCCATTAGGAAGTAAAAAGCATTTTTCCTTTTACTCTCGCCAAAAAATTATCATGGAATCAGATCGAAATCCTTTTTTTCAGAGCTTATTTTCCCAAATTTCCATTTAGCTTTTACTTTAATAAGCACCCATCTCAAAAACTGTATTATTATTATTATATTTTTGTGTGCAGTGTAGAAAAAAACAACTTAAACAGGGATTTCTTTGAGAGAGCTAACGTGCTCTCCGTGCTTGCTCCGCCTACTCCCCCTCCGTCATCCTGTGCTAATGGACATAAGGGGGAAACACACGCACACTCACTGCTTCTCATTGGACACGAGCTACGGGTGGTCACTGGAAGACTGCTCGGTCAGCGCAATCCGTTTTACACAAAGGATGGATGTGTGTGTGTGTGTGTGACACGGGGAGAGAAGGATTGGGGTGACTGACACATGAAATAAAAGGCGGTTGGGTGACTTCAGCCCATATAGCTACTATGGACCATTGAGTATTGATCACTGCGCCGAGGTCCACTTTAATTAGGAACAGTACAGCATGCACACACCCACGCACACACACACACACACACGCATGCACACACACACATCATTACCAGCACCCATTCCCTGCACCGCCCCGTTGCAGTCTCCTTCACTGTGGTTGATGTTCACCATTACATAAAAAGGCTGCAGCTTAACCCGTTATACGGGATGGACGGATCAGAGATAGATGAAGGGGTCGATGTCGTGTTCTGCAAACGATGGCCTGATTTTTGTAGGGAAAACACAGCAGATCACTTTGAAGCCTTTTGTTCATGAAATCACTCTGCAGAGATATTTATCATGTCATTGTTATGACTCCCTGGAACATGGGTCCTAATGTGGCTAGTTTATAATGCCAAATTGGACAACAGAAGGTTTTCTAATTTAAGGAACATCGCTTTCAGCCAGACACTCTCGGCTATTAATTAGGATGACTTCACACAACAGCCAACGCACACAGTCCTCTGTCTCTCCTCTGTGCTCTTCCTCACTTGTTGGGTCTCTCTTCGATGCTCCCATGCTCACAAGAGGACACACACACACACACGTTCATATACGCTTAGATGCACAAACATACAGACACACATGCAACCAAGAATGCTCTCTGAAAGCTGCGGGTGGTGTGTCACATATCTCATGCATCACTCTCCATGCTGGCTCATCCTCGTTTTCCTGTTTTTCTTTCTCACCTGAATCAGAAGTCTTCTCAGCTCCGCAATCAGTCCAGGTCGTTACCATCACTTCACATAATAAGCCTTTAACACAAGTTCAAATGACTGTCAGATTTGTCTCCACTAAATAAATCGGATCCAACCTGAACTGTTCAATATCATATTTGCTATTTACGCCAAAGGGACAGTTGTACAAAAAGAACAAACACCTACCTACTTATAGGACAGTTCTACTGTAAAAAACAAAAACCAGCTACAATACTAAAAAATCAGTCTTAATTCCACACCGTTGACTTATCTTTTTTCTCAGTTGTTTGAGTCAACCTGTATTTGTTCGGCAGCGGTCTGTGTAAATGATTGCATTGACAGCCACCGCCTCTCGTCTCCCTCAAAGGAGCATCTGTTTAGACACGGGCGACCTGTCAGTGTTGTTCTGGAGAAACCTGCCTCCAGTGCGGTTTGTCTCCTCGGGCAAACACGACACTCTGGTCCCGATCCAACTCTCTGTGCTTCCTTTGTTTCCCTCTCTGGTGGGCGGACGACGAGACGGTGGCGATTCATGACGATGAGCTAACGTGTGAGCATTCGCAGCAGTCTCTCTGCTCACACTTTCACCACATTATCCTTAATCGTTGTCTACAGAGAAAAGAGTCATTTGTCATAATCAGGGAAATACGTGTATCTCCTGGCTTCTTCATACAATTACAATATTTTTTCAGATGGGTACAGAGGTTTAGGATTCATTTGTCTTGGTCACTGGCAGTTGTTGGACCCCATTAGGGTTAGTTGACAACAAAAAAAACTACTTCTTGAATCTCTGTACCTGCTGTACGCTGCGCTGCCGTCATGCTCGTGTTTATCGGTGTGGTGGGTGTGAATCCAGCTCCCACCATGCTGTCAAGTTCCTCTCTCGCCTGCACTGCTCCGTGACAGTTCTACTGCACTGGCTTTCTAGGACACGATGCGCTCTGCTCTGGAGGCTTTCCAACAGTTTTTGTCGAGGAGAGTGTGGGGCCCGGCCTCCTGCAGTATTTCATTTCTATTTCAGACAGGTGCCGGGGAAGATACAGAGGAGAGCAAAGGCAGCGAAGGGGATTTGCGCCGCCCACACCCTGCAGTCAGAGTGTGCGGACGGTACGGGCAAACAGACAGTTTGACCGGGCCACCGGGGAACAGACGGGACGGAAACCTGGAAAGGTCAATTCAGGATCAATGTTTTCCCACCCACGGCTCAACGATACCCGACTCGATCTCTAAGCTTCCTCTCCTTTTGTGCCACTCATCGAAGCCAAGTGAGGAAAAGCAGTTATGCATAAACAGCAACGTTAATGTGTTTCCAGGTGTCACACTGAGCTGCTTCCCCCACCAGGCCTTCGGCCCGCTGTTGGACGTCAGGGGGAGAGCGATCTCTTGACACCACAATATGGCAAACTTGGACATCCCGCTTGAAAAACCTTGAAACTCCAACTGCGGCGATTCAAATGTTGAATCGAGCGATAAGTCTGTACGCTGCTGTGTGGGTTAAAAATAACAGATATTATGTGAGTGTCGATTTAACAAGACAATGGTGTTTGAGTAGAAATGGTTGGTTTTTCAACTGAAAAAAAGCCCAATGTGTTCAAATCCAACAAGCTTGTGGATTGTCGGTCTGATGACGATAGTAATTGGTTGCAGTGATACATTTCTCCCAAAATACTTCAATTAATGATTACAAAGTCACCTTTTGGGCACAGTAGATGTGTCAAAGAGGTCTAAGGGGGTTTTGTGCATTGACGACGCTCACCTGTTGTCCATTGCAGGGACAACGTCAGGCCACCTTTAGCAAATGGTACACTAACAATAGATGTGTAAAAGAGTTGTACGATATATGTTGATGTTACTACTCATCAACATGTCATATCATCTCGTGCAAAGCCATTGGCTGTTGAGATGAGATTTGATTTCCTTGCTTTTATTTTCCCCACCAGCATTCTGCAAAGACTCTGCTCACTCGGCTATTTTTATCGGTTAAGTTTATCACAATCAATGTTTTCAGTTCAGCTGCGGATGTGTTTATTGTCGCATCCCAGAGCCAATCCTTATGTTCTTCCATTTCACAATAAATCCATTGGAAAATTCTGTCTGGGCACATAACTTACCTCAAAGTAGAAACTCAATAAAATAGCTTACATTTGCTAAGCTGTGGAACCCTTTTCCTCAGACAGACGGCCAAAGGAATCTCTGAGTCAATGTGATCCCACCAATGGTCCTCAGGCCTCCAAATCTATTCAAACCTTTTATCAGAGAAAAAGGTTAATTTCATTTATTAAGGGTATGAACAACATCTCAGACTTTCACCTATTCCTTACACTAACCCTAATATCCAAGTCAGTTTAGAGTACAGTGACAGAGACTAATTATGTGAGAATCACTGTAAATCTTGACATGCATCACAGATTTGAACGGAGATGCTGTAACAAAAAGGTTTTCATTGAGCTTTTGCCAAATCATTTTCTGACCAAGAACCTCCCAGAATCTATGACTGATATCAGATATTTGCTTCCACCGTTTGTTGAGTGTTTCCAGAGCCCTCAACATCACTCAAAGACAAGAGATAAGTTACATCCACTCACCATATAAATGATCAACTCAAATCCTTATTTGAATTCTCAAGACACACAATGCAGTTAAACGGTGACATAAATCATACAGTGTCTAAACGAACACATGGTAATGTCAAACTGATAAACATCTCACTTCAGACGCCTCTGACAAGCGTCCTTTACTACAAGCCTGGTCATTGGCAGAGCAAGCACAGCAGTAGCTCGCTCATCGAGCTCAGCTGTGTGTGTCCATGTGGGGGCTGTAAGTTCCAAACCTTTCCACAAAGAAACCCCAATTGGTTCTCACTCTTAAGCTTTACACCTGCGCCACAGCGTCACCTTTGGTCGTTCCAAGATGTGTGACACACAAAGTCAGCAAGGTAATCAGTTATTCTGACATTTGGTTCATGAGGTCATTTAATGGCATGTTGTTTATTCCCGAGGAAGTCACTCAAGCAGCCAGTCATTCGGCTTTTCAATCAGCCTGCAAGCTGCACAAAGAAAATAAAACTGCAATGCCTTTACGCATTGCAGCAGTTCACACCTCCCTCTGTCTGGGACTTCAGAGGTCCTCCGCGGGTTGATGGACACGCACACGCACACAATTACATGCAATCCCCCCGCCCCCTTTGCCTCGTTCATCCCCTCCCACCGCCTCCTCCTTCCCCTCTCTCAGTGTCTCGGGGGACCTCAGAGTGCAGCAGGGATGATGGACAGCAGACTAATATCCAAAGCTAACGGCTCCTCCCTCTGACTTCACGGAGGAGCCTTGCAGAGGCCACCGTGCCCTTCAGATGGAGCAAAGTGACCCGCTACAGTACTGAGGAAACGTCGGAGACGCTACAGCCCCGGAGCATGAGCACCGAGAAGGATAAGCACATGCTGTAAATTCATTAATATTGTAATCTGTACTTTGAAACATGAATACTGTTGCTCAGAAAGATTTGAAATTTTAACAGAGAAGCAGTCACCAATGGCATCACTGAGGAATCACAGTCTGTTCACCTCACAAAGCACTGATTCACAACTCAGTTTGATTAAATACAGGACAAAACCATCAAACAGGGAGGAATTAATGAGGCACCCCTCTAATGTAACGCCACATACATTTAAAAACGTGTCTTGATGATTTACAATTTCACCTTGAAAAGTTCCTCATCATTTAATGATCGTGGAGATCGTTAGCAGTGACTTGAACAAGTGGCCAAGTAGATGAGGCAGCGGTCTCCAGCTCTGGGGGTTGTGGGTCTGAGTTTCACCTGAGATTGCATGTGAGTCTGTTTCTTTATTTGGCAGCAAAATCAGCAGTTTCAACAACACAGATTGAAGGATAAATCGAGCACCACAATCAAACAGCACAAAATCTTTCATGACATTTTCATAACTATACTTTTAAAGGGACATAATATTATGTAACATAATATTAAGAGTTTAGCTCATGTCTCCTGAAAATAATAGCTGTTGTTTGTGTAAGTAATCTGTTTACACCTACATTGGTTCCTCTTCACCGAGCCGGCTGCCATAATGCTAATCCTCAAACAGCAAATAAGCAAATAGAGAGCATCATAAGCGTTTTCACGTTCACACAGAAGAAGTTTTAGTTGGTTGAAATCTGTAACCTCATCACTAGATTTAACTAAATCCTTCACACTGCACCTTTAAAATAGAAATATTCTTTTAATGGAGGTAATGAAAAGGTTTTTTTATTCAGACGATGCACTTGTTATACGAAGCTCTGCAGTCACTGTCACGTAATCAAGACATTTTGCAAAGGAGGTTTTCGGCTGCCGCTGCATGTTTCACCCTCTGTATTGTAATTGTCCTAAGGGTCGATCAGTCAAGAGATTTAAGAGATTTTGTCCGCATGGCATTCAACTAACATTCTGCTAGCTTATTATATCACAATGAACTTGGTTTGATGTATTCTCTATGTATCCAACTGCATGCCTCAGTAGTGGATTTAATGAATCAGAGAGGCCACAAGGTGAGGCACCTGGCTCATTGTCAGCCAAACCGTCCTTTATGTACGGGGGTGACTGCTACATGAGGCACCGTAATAATGAAGCTCATGCATGAAAAACGCATTTAAGTTTTTTTTTCTTAATCCTTTGTAGTGTAAGATTTTTTTTTAAACGATATTAGCTGGATCAACACTGACAACACATGCAGACAGATGCACCAATCCAGCAAATAGTTCTGATGTTGTGCGAATAAGGAATGGTTAGATATGAGTGAATACATTCAATGGGATCTTGAAAGGATTTCAAAAGGCCTTTCAGTGAGGACCTACTGATGCAGACGCCTAAATTGATGCCTTTTTTGCTACGTCCTGCCCCGAGATATGGCACAGCCGCGCCGAGTTGCTGGCCTGAGACATAATCCACCTTTCATTGGACTGCAGCGGTGCCTTGAGGCAGATGTTCAGCAACCGATGCTGCAATGTGTTTCAATGTGAGCCCCTTCTTGTCCCGGGGCAACAACTTCAGCAGATCAAAAGCAGGTTAAGTATTTCCACAAACGTCACATGCACATGGAGAATGAGTTGTTATGCACATGAATGGAATTGCCCTAATTTAAAAGCAGAGTAAAGAGTATAGTTGTTAGTAGTAGTAATAGTAGAAGTAGCTCCCTACTCCACTAGCTGTTGGCCATGTGTGCATTGAAAACATTGAAATGTTTTAGTGTTTTGAAGAGAGATAGAAAAGCTGTGTTTCCACGTGGCTGTTTGAATAATGTGTTATTGAAAGGCCAAAAGAAGCATTTGAAATGCTGTTTGGTGCTGTTTGTATTGGATAACTGGAGGGATCGCTGTGGAGATGCACAGCTAGAGGATATTATCATTTGAAACAGTAGTACGGTGGATATGGGTCAAGAGGAAAAAATGGCCGACCTCGGAGCATAAGATCAAGAGACTATAAATCATAGGCCCGTAAATAAAAAACACTACACTGTGAATTGTAGACAGACAGAGGACAAAAACAGCAGGGTGTGTGTGTATGTGCGTGTGTATGTGCGTGTGTGTGTGTGTGTGTGTGTGTTTCATGGTGCAAGCGGTTCAAGGCTGTAAACAAGGTGATGGATGCTGGTGCCAGGGTGTGTAGAGTGGACACAGCCTCCTGCGTCTTGATTAATTGATTGGAGATACAGCAGTTTAAGCTCCCTTTGGTCCCCTCTGTGCTCTCTGCACATCTCCCTCACCACGCGTGGAAAGTATGGCAACAATACTATGACAAATAAAAAGGAAGGAAACATTTCCAGTGGCAAGAAAAGGCTTATTTCAGACCTAATGGCTTCTTTTGGCTTCTGAAACCAGGTCATCTTAAAGTGATAAATATAACAAACCCTGTTCCCTTATATTTGTCCTTTGATGTCATAACAATTCGTCATTAGCTTTTACAGATCCTGCTACCTCCCTAGCATATCAAAATTGTCTTAGTGCGAGGTGGTTTTGAAATATTTTTGCCTCCATGAGGTCAAAAACCAAAGAATTACTAGTTTATTGTGAAAAACGTCCTTTGTTGTTTCTCGTTCCTCATCAAGCCAATTGAATCGTAGTGGCATCAATCAGTGAGGAACAAACGCTCATCAGATGACCACCTACAGTTTAACTATGTTTCCCAACAATTCACTACATGACACATTGGGAAAATAAAACTCTTAAAGTTGAAAGCTAAAAAATGGTGGAGACCAGGTGATGCACCCATTTAAGGGAAATGAGGATAACCCCATGTTGACTTCTGTGTGGTGCTGCAGTGTGGGTGGGTTACTCAATGGGAGATATGAAAGAACTACAAAGAGACGCAAATCATCTACGGAGAAACAAGATATATCTACCAAGAGACCAAAAACTACTACAAAAAACAATTACCTCAAATAAATAAATAAAAACTATAAATAGAGATAAGATGACCGCAAATCAACCACAAAGACACACGATCACTACAAAGAGACACAAGCATCTCAACAGAAACACTCCGGCTGGAGGATCACATTTTGTGCTGCTCCAGACTCTTCTCCAGCTTGCCAAGACTTTTTTTCAAGGGACTGAAATTGGTTGAGATTACAGCGATAGATTCCTTGTCTTCCCGCAGAAAATGAAATACAAAAGGTCTCAAATCTCTCAAGGACGGGATTTTACCTGCCAAAAATATAAATAATATAAATATTTAAAAGCCTTGTTGTTGTCACTTTTGAATGCAGAGGATTGGAGAATAGAAGTGGTGTTCAGTGAATTTGACTCTATGCCACTCCCTGACTGATTACCCACTTCATATTACTTTAACAATGCAAAACAGGAAATCGAAAAAGATGAATAAAAAGGTAAATAATAAAATGCAAGAGAACAGAGAAGCGTTTTAAACATCTTTTGGCACTATGCCACGGTGTAGGAGCTCGCTGTTTCACTGTTTTGGTTACTAATCACTCTCAACTTTCCAGCACCAAAGGGCAGAACAGTAAGAAAAGCTCCGTTATGTGTGCTGTGTGCTACATATACTGAACAGCAAACACAGTGGAGCATTTTAGCAGCTAAAGAGCCAGATGTTTCCTTTAGGAGCTGGTGGAGACCAAACCGAGCTAAAAACGCGAGTGTTAATAGTGCTGATTGAAAGCTCCGTGTATTTAGCACTACATTTGTGTTTAAGTGACACATTCAGTGGCGGCTGGCCAATTGAGGGCATGGGGCGTCGCCCCACCGGGAGCGCCCCTCCTTGAGCCCCAGCCATAAAAGAAAAAAGGAATGAAAAGATAATATTGTATTATCCATCCATCCATTGTCAAACCGCTTATCCTGCACACAGGGTCGCGGGGGGGCTGGAGTCCATCCCAGCCAACTTCGGGCGATAGACAGGGTACATCCTGGATTGGTTGCCAGCCAATCGCAGGGCTAATGTTGTATTATAAAACATGTAAATATTTGTGTGAAATATTGATTGTAACCAGTTGTAAAATATGACATCAGCGCAAAATATATGCTCTTCCTGTCATATGCACGTCCTGTCATGTGTGTCTTTTGCTGCTTCTGTGCTACTGAGTTTGGAGCAAAACCAATGTTGCCCCCGTCTGAGTCTATTTAAGGATGCTGATGGCTGAATTGTATGTGCCACATTGTTTTATTTAATCAGTAGTTGGCTAAGTGCTTTTTCGACCCGCCCTTCTGCGGGCAATCTGGAGATTGCCCTTAAGGCAGCGAAGACACGCATGAATAAAGGACGTGGACATGCAGGGATGTGCACGAAAAGCATATATTTTGTGCTGATATCATATCTGACAGATATTACTGGTTATTATACTGAATAATACTGCGTGACACAAATAAGAACTATTTCTTGTGTTGCAATAAATGTTGACTATTTGACTACAAATTATCATTGATGATTGGAAAGCCCTTGAAAATTGTTCACCAGCCTTCACTGAAATATGTTTAGGACAGTGTGTGCGTAAGTTGTGTTTTTTACTTATTATGCCTTTTTGTGATATATGTTCTCGATTTAATAAAACTCTCGAAATCGTGAACCCGTGAACTAATCAGATAAGAACTATGAGGACATGAAGGGAAATCTTACCAAAAGGCTGATTGCCTGTCGATGGTTCACATGGTTTCCTGCTATGACCCAAAGCTTTTGTCCCCCCCCCCGGGTCTAATAACAGGCTACCACAAAAGTACTTTTAAATGTTTCCTTTCAATTGAAATGGTGACAGAAATGAAACGAAATAAAATGGAACCCTCACTTGCTCTTGCATGTGCTCCCTCCCTCCCCCCTCTCTCCCTCTCTCCCTCTGCATGCTCTCATCTCGTCCTGCAGGAATAGACCCTGTTCCTCCGCCGCTGCAGCCTGACTCCGACACAAGCGGCATGTCTGCGAACTGAGAGCCGCAATCCCTCCTCCAAGACGCACTGCTTGCGCTCCTCTCTCGTCGCTTTTTCAGCAGAAGGCACAGGGTCGTTATCTCGCTGCGACGAGGCTTTTGCTTGTTTTTTTTTTCCTCCCCCCATTTGGAGGGACAGAGACTTAAAAAGGAGGATCCAAAACAAAAAAGGTAAACGAATGACGAACCGCCAAATGCCACGGGTGCTTGTGTGCGTGTCTTTTCACTGTACGGGACCAGCTCTCGCGGCACGCTTGGTAGAGGATGCGGATGCCTCCATCCTCCTCCTCGACACATCGGCTTCTACGTGCGTGCGTGAGCTTTTGGGTGCAGTCATTTAAAGGGAGATCGCCCTGTACGATGCTGTAATTGTGCCAAAACGATGCACCGCACCAGGAGCCTGAGTGAATACTGTGAGGGTTCATGTGGGGGGGAAACTGAGGCTTCTGCTGCAGATGATGATGAGGAGGAGGACGATGAGGAGGAGGAAGGTAACCAGGAAATAATGTTAAGGACGTTGCGCTGGTGCAGAATTAACTTTGGGGCAATTGAGAATGATGTATTGTGCAGCAAGTTTTTCAGGAGGGTGTTTTCCCCCCCTTTAATCTATTGTGCCGCAATGGCAGAGGGATGCTGTAAAATGCAGCAAAACTACCCCGTGAGGTTGCACGCAAAAGAAAAATTCTATTACAGAAATAAGTGAAACGGTATTGCACTCTGCAACTTCCTTAGATATATATGTAGATCTTTATATGGATATAAGGATACACATTTTAAACATAAAGATATTATTTATATAAATATATGTATTTATTAAGATGATAACCAATCTGTTTTATAACTCACCATCAAGCACAAGTCAACTTACATAAAGTTTCACCAGCAATATCATATGAAATAAAGAGTACAGTTTTTACTGTGAGGTAATTATGAAATGTTCAATATGAACTCACAAACGAGAAGTGTACGACCTTGAAGGAAAGCATAGCATCTTTTTTCAAAAAGCCTTCTTTTTTTTCGTGCCCTTGCAGTGATGCTCTCCATGTACTGACTCAAAGCAGGCCTCCACTTGCTCATCTTTGACCTCTACATCTGCTTTTCTTTTGAGGAGTTATTGCCACGAGGGAACCATGGCCAGCAGCGTCAGCATAAATTCAGACATGATGTAGTATTGGTTGTAAATCAAGGGCGCAGGTGCCTTCGGCGAAACTCGGGACACGGTGTGGTGCTGGAGGCTAAAGCCGTCTTTACTCACTTTAGTCACCCTTTTCTGCTCTTAAGAGCCTAAATGTAAATTCATACTCCTCAGGAGTTGAAGAGATCTAATTAAGATATGGCGATTATCGTAAAAGTGGAAGAGCGTCTTTGTCCTTTGCCAACACACAGATCGCCGCGTGGAGGTCGTTTCTTGTCCGCATTGAGCATCATAAGCATCATCCTCCCCCATCCCACCAAGCACTCGCGTATCAGAAGAAATCACTGGAATGAATGTGCATGTCCCAACAGCGGTTTTCATGCAGTCACAGCTTGTGTATTCTGTCCCCTGGCTGCAGGACTGTCCCCGATAACCTCACCACTGAAGGAAGAGAACACAGAACTGCTTCATCATGAATTTTGTAATGAAAGCTGCGATGGGAGGTGAGTTGTCTGCAAGGCTGGAGGTTGATTTAACAGCACTGCAGTGTAAAGGGTTCGTTCAACAACAATATCTGCACTACCGCACCTGGTAGTTGTGGGGGACACTTGGTTGATATAATCCACCCTGCACCAAACTCCCGACTTCAAACAACAATTGCGCACTGTCTCTCTCTCTCTCTCTCGCTCTCTCTCTCTCTCTCTTTTAAAAACCTCTCAGAGCAGGGAGGGCATGACATCCTGTTGGTCAAATCCCAGACGGGTCCTGACCCGATGTCTTCAAGATTTTAGAAGCCTGTTCATGCTTTGTTGCCCTGCATTTCTACCTTTGTTGAATAAAATTCTTTGAGACCAGGGATTCCCTAAAAGCGTGACACGGATCTGTAAGGCTGCAGATGAAATCGGACAGTTGCAGCAGCAGGTCTTTTCATGCTCTTATACGCGACTGAAGATTTGCCAAAAAATGCACCTTCTCAGGAATGCAGCAGCCTTATTTCTTCGCTCGGTCTTTGAGCATTTTTTCAGTTTACACGGTGGAATTTGCACAAAGAACGCAGAGTTCTCCTCATCCCCAAAGCCTCCCAAAATGAGAGCTATAATGACTTTTAAAAAACAGGCAGCTTGTGCTGTGTCTTTTTTAGGCAAGGGAAATAGATAAAGGCTATTTGCAAAGAAATATGAGTAAAAATTTGTTAACAAGACTTCCTCTGAAGCCCTTTAAATCCTTCAGGTATTATCCGTTATAATTATCCAGAATATTATCTGAGCTATTATTTTCCCCTTAATTAGTCGTTGTTATGGCCCCGTAACTCATCTGCCTTGTCGGCTGTGGCTTCAAGGGGAAAGGCGAGAAAGTGTCGCGGTGCGGTCGCACGATGCTGGGCTGTTGCTGTCCCGGTTAGAGGTGTTGGACAGCTGCAGTTGGGATGTGGTGTTGAAGCCGCTCCTCGTCGGGATGCAGGGAGGGACGACCCCGCCTCGCTCTGCGTAGCTGCTTTGTGTCCACACTATAAATTCTTAAATCAACTGCAATGCATTAGATGCTTTTCTTTTTCTTTTTTTTTTACGCCGCAGAAGTCGGGCTGCACTTTGTCTGCAGACTCTGGGAATAGATCTGACGGTGTGGGTGTTAGCCTGTGTGTGTGTGTGTGTGTGTGTGCACTGCCTGTTGTACAGATGTCTTATAGATGTTGTATAGGAAGAGTGTGTGTACCGCATGCTTTAGTCCATAGATGGTTGTGTGTGAGAGAGTGAGATGAGAGAGTGAGAAAGGATGCGAGAAAAAAATGTTTTTTAAACAATAAAGAACATGTATGGCTATCAGGCGGGATCTGGTTATGGTTGTGGTCAACGGTTACCGACCGGGAACAGAGTGACCTCTTTCCACTAGGTCTGCAACAATGCTGACATTGCACTGGCATCAAATCAGATAACGAAACACACCAATAAGCAGGTAATCGATCTTCTCAGCTTTCAATCTGCTGGTGGGTCAATACATCAGTATTTGTCAAATGTGTTTTAATCAATAAAGGCTGCATTGTTGAGCGTACCTGAGGCTCAGTGGTGGAAGCATCAAAACCGTGAAACCATCTCATTGGGATGGATGTCTCTTTGGGACAGTTAATGACTTTTCCTTCACACATTTCCTGTCTTGCTTCATTATCATCTATCATAGGAAGGCAAATCAATAAAAAAAGATGAATACATGGTTCATCTGCCTCAGCCTTTCAAAGAGCAACCACGTGCAGGGTTGGCAATGCCGGTTGGTCCCTCTACCTCATTGGTCTTAAGATGGTCTTTGGATGTTCTTCTCTGCAGCAGCCATGTTTGCTCCTCCGTCCTGCTGCATTGAGCTTTATTTTAAAGTTATATTAGCGTTATCAGAAACATGTGTTTTGTCATGACATCAAATGGAAGTACCTTACAGGTAAATAAGACGGATTTGGCACTACACACTGTTTACTATTTAAACAGTTAGAATCAAAACGTTTGAGCTTTATTTGTTAATTATCTTAAGTTTAGATATCTTGTTGCTCTTGTTAACAAGACTTCCCTCATTCTCTATCTGATATATGGAGGCAACAGCTATATTATATTATTATATATGTGTGCATCAACAAATCTTTGTTGGAATATATAAAAATATGACTTCTTGATTGATTTTTTGTGGGAATTTGGTCAGTCGTAATACAGACAACAATAAACAGCACGTTGTTTATTGTTGTCTTGTACTTTAGTGACAGTTTGAGCTGAAGGCTGTAGTGTAGGAAATAAACAGATTGTTGTTGCCATGTTGTTCCATCTCACTGTAGCCTTAAAGGTTTTACATATTGTGTGCAATCTGTTGCCCTGCTAAGCCAGAAAAAGAGTCACACGTGTGGAAACCTGAGAAGTTTTCAGTGAAAAATCCATCTGGTTGCATTGTATTCACTTCTTAATATCAAACCTCTCAGCATCCTTTATGATTATGTTGAATTATAAATAAAGGATTCCTTCATTACCTGGGTGCATTAAAGTCTACTGAACTTGAAATGTATTCTTTTAAAATGACTTAAAGTACCTGCCAACTGGGAATTAAGTTCATGGTAATTTGTGGTATGATGGCAAAATAATTTTTAGGAGAGTTTTCTTTTGTCCTCGTCCTTTCTATACAACCAAACATACATAGATTAGATACAATTCCCCAGATGTGTTACTGCCGATGCATCCAACACCTCTCATAAGTAACTACAAAGTAATATTGACTTAACTTTTTGAGTGAGTTTTGAAATTACAATATACCGTATTCTGCTTTACTTTACAAATGGGATTATTCGAAATGATTCCTGCAGTCTTATTATTTGGGAGCTATAAAACACTCTCACGCAGCTTTTGCACCCAACCTTGAATTCTTATTGTAGTTTCTTTGTCCATTGATTTATTCCGCTGCTCAGAGCTTCAGAGGTGACTTCTGCATATCTCATCTCCTAAAAACCGAAGTTGGTTTGACAGAATACGGGGCTGTTCAATCGTGCTGACACTAGTCCTGAGGTACGGAGCTCCAGCAGACCATGAAGGCCTCGGGCAGCAGTGAAATCTTGAGTGCATCAGCGGAGAGTCAGTGCTAGCTCATTAGTGAATGATAGGGCTTGATTTCAGAATTAAGAGACATTTTGCACTTTCGCATTAAAGATATTAAGATAAATATGTGGTTTGAGAATCTGCAACAGAATCAAAGAGTATCTGACAAACAGCAACTGTACCTAAATGTGCATTTTAACATTTATTTTCTTTGGGATGCTGTTTATTAGTAGATTATTCTCCACACATACTATTAAGTTTGATATTAGGATAATATGTCAAGGAGACTGTCCTTTTTTATTCCTGTTGGAATGCATCCAGTATGAATAATACTGTATGTTTGATTAATTTACAGCATCAAAGAGGGCGCTGTTGCTATTGCAATGTGGGGGGCAATGCAGTTCAAAAGAATTATTAAAATAAGTATTTTAGCAATAACGGTTTCATTGTAGTGGCATCAATGCTGCTAGTGGTTTCTGTCATGGCATTGAATAATTCAATGCTGGTTAAAAGATATTAAAGTAGATCCTTTGATTGAGTGTTAAAGCCTCTCCAGGCCAATTTGTGTTTTTGGCGGCATGAGTAAATCTGACTTGACTGGAATAAAGAGGGACGTTCTTATTTTGCACAGCTAAATGAATGCAGAGTCGAATGGGAGCATTGACTCACTCAGTGGTACAATGTGTGTGCTCTCTGCATACGACACTTGGCTTGTTAGTAGTGTGGATACTTAAAATAGCTCATGGCAGTGAGTATCATTATCCTGATTGAAGCTTTTAGGCAACTGCCAGTGCTTTTCCTCCTTTTCCTTTTGCAAGACTGTGCAAAAATGATGTGCCTCTGGAAAGTGTTTTTGAAAAGCTTGTCGCTGCTGCAACTTGCAGACAAAGACAAATGAACTCAAGTAAACCCACCATCCTCAATGTTTGGAATTAGATCATGAGCAAATGAGCTAATGCCACTTTGTCATGATATTGAAAGGCAGCTGACTCCCATGTCACATTCTATCTATATCAATTAATTATCTAACTTAAATTTGCATACAATTTATCATGCGTTGACATGTAGGCTTAACAAAGTGTCAGCAGGTACCTCGTTTCACACTAAAAGGTGATACTTTCAGTGGTGTGATTTGAGGTGAAATGAAAATGGAAGACACCTTGAGATGTTCTTTCCTCACCCCGTAATCATATTTAGCAGCACTCTAATATTATTGGCTGAGAGGATCAGGTCTTCACCGCTGACACAGACACACTCCCCCATCTTCTTCCCGTGTGCTACTCAAGCAAATCAGATTTAGTTTATCAAATTGACCTTGGGATCCTACTGCAGTATAAAGTGTGTGTGTGTGTGTGTGTGTGTGTGTGTGTGTGTGTGTGTGTGTGTGTGTGTGTGTGTGTCTATCTACACATGTGTTTCACAGTATGTACAGATAAATGATGTATTCAACAACCCAAGTCTTGAATTGTGTGAGAGAAACGTATACATATATATATAATCTCAAACCTTTAAGGTGGAAACTGCTACCCTGCTGGTCAATTCTATTATACTGTATTATTTGTACACCTCACTACCTGGAGCTCAAATTTTGTACAGATTGCAGAGCATTTCAGTCCCAAACGACGCACATCCAGCATCCAACTGTCCACCACATCCACAACACACTTTAGAATGCAGAAGATGATGCCCGTTGCAAGAGAGAGAGCAAGAGCTGTAAGGTTCAATTAAAAACTTTTTAGATCCCTCATCAAATAAAGTCACTTTGCTAATTATATAAAAACACAAATATAATAAAATGTTGCAAATTTAATCCGACACAAAAAAACAAATTCATAGTGGTGAGTATCGTGTGAAATAATGAGCCCTGGTATGTAACCAGCGGGTCCAGAGGGTGAGCCCGTCTTTGTGAACTGGACTTTAGTGTAAATGTGTTGCATCACTTTGTCCGGTGTGATACGCAGCGCAAAGCTGCTCCACCTGAGGGAAATTCAAAGAGACTCAAACGTAACTGCGACCAATTAGACAGCACAACAACAATCAGCAATCTCTCTTCTGCCTTTTCCAGCGGTTTTGCACTCTGCACCTTTTTCTTTCCCTCCTGTTTAATGAGCTGCATTGAGACAAATCTGTCCTGAAGGCCAAACTCAGATCTTTACACTCATCTGCTTTCCCACCACACTTTGGATTAAGAGAGGGGATTTGCCTAAAGAACCCGGAGTGGTAACGGAGTAGATAAGCACCGTTTATCAGACCAAAAAGTTCAGGCACTGGGAGAGTTAGCCAAGGTTAGCCTTATTTCCTCCTTTCCCTCCGAGACTTTGGATTTAGCAAAGATTTAGCTAAGCGCATTCAGAAGGAAAGGATTACAGCGATGACACCTTTTTAAAGCGAAGCAATGTCCGAGAATCCAGAGGAGAATCTTGGGACAACTTCAACTCTGCTGGTTAAGTTGCAAGTAAAAGTAAAAATGTCTCAAAAAGTTCTATTTGTCTGAGATGACCTGAATGTTTAACAGCCATCATCATGCTGCATGAGATGAGCGGTGTTGAAGTTGAAGTCAACCACTCAACATCGTATTTTATTCAGTCTACTGGGCTTTTGATTGGCACGATAGAAAACGTCTCTACAAAGTGCCTCTTTGTCTCTGCTGATGTTGACTCATCTAATATAATGTGGGCTATAATAAAAAGGAGGCTAAAGGCCAACCTGTCAAGCTTCCATCGCAGCCTTTTATTAGCTCACATATTGTCATTCTGAGAACTACTACAACCCTATGGAGCATGCAGGGAAATAAAGTGTATGGCTCCACGCAGCTTACGTGATGCCTTAATAGATTCATTCTGGTTTTAAAGGACATTGCTGTATCACTATAATGGCTCACAAAGCATGAGCTGGGATCCCAGCTCAATATAACTCAAGGCTTTGTCTCCCGGGATCTCTTTTTTTTTCTTTCAAATTTGAACAAAGACAATCTGGATGGGCTAATAAGATTTTGTGAAACCAGACCAAATTTGTTTGGGTTTGGCAGTTAGATGAGGTACTGGAGGGCTTTTATTCCGGGCCGTACATGGGATGGGAACATTTTGACAATGAGGCTTAGCTGGTAGTGAGTCATTGCTCCACTTACAGGATTCGATAGCAGGTGTTGGTAGATATTCAGGTATAAGAAATGAGGATGCGCCGATCATTTCAATAATAAGCTGTGTGCCTGACTGTGCTCTGTCAGACTTGAACTTCTGTCTTTGTAAAACAAAATTCAAATATGCACATTTAATAAGAATACAAATTCATCAATTCATCACGTGTCAGCTGCAAACACGGATCCTTAATTGGTCTCTTTTTAATCCCTGTTGCGGTGTTCGCTTACATCAGCAGCTGACAGGAAATAAACGTGGAAGCGAGCTGTTTCCTACCAAAGTAATTAAAATAATAAAACATTGTATACCGTGCGAGTGGTGATTAAAGTTCAGGGCAACACTTGCACAGGGGTACGTGCCACCACTGTACATGGTGATGCCCGTACACACACATACTGTAATCTGCACATTCAAACACACACGAGGAGTAATTGCTCAACCACTCATGCATGAGAGCCTAAAAGGGAAGGAAGCAATTATTTATATCCACACCCGCATATAGGGACACTCACTGTGCTCTTCAGCTCTCTTTCTTAACCTTCTTTCTCTCACGCATACACAAACTTGTAAGAGAACAAAGATAGTGGATCACGGTCGGCCAGGTATTGCTGTGTCAGCATTTTTGTGCTGCGCATTAAATGCTGATACAGCAACACGTTCTTTTACTTTGCATTTCCCTCTGAATGTCAGTCTCATCCGTCTCTTTCACTCCAATCAGTGAAAGAGACCCATCAAATGTGACCGGGGTCGATCGTTTTGTGCGTTTTCTACTCCAGTTCCATCTTTTTTGCTGAGTCTCTAATGGTGGCCATCTTTTTTTTTTGGCCGTATATGAAAAACTATGGATGTGCAATATTAAAAAATGAACTCTTCTCCTTTAATTTCGACTGAAATATCTCTTGATGGTGCATTAATTCAATAAACGACCTCCGAATGTGAAAGTTCAGACTTTTTTACAGCCTGCAGTTTTACTGATCCCTCTTTACTTCTTTTACTACCCTTATTTTTCTCCTTCGTCGCTCATCCACTCATCCCTCCCTTCTTCATCAGCTCCTGTCTTTATCCCTCCGCATTCTGCTGCAGTTTTTTTTTTTGTTATGCTGATGAGTGTAAAATGGGAACGACACCGGAGGCAGCTGCAGAATGAAAGAGTACGCCGTCTCGCTTTCTTTTCCGGGTCGTGTGCTTTCTCTCCTCAGATGCCCCTTGTCTGCCTGTGTACCTTTCCCTCCTCTTCCTCGTGACTTAACTCTCCCATTCAGTCTCTATCGCTCTCTTCCTTCCCCCCTTCCATCTATTCATCTGTCACACTCTCTCCTTCTCTGGTTGCACGGAAACTGCTGGGTAATCCCACTAACTGGAACAGCTCAGCTCATACAGGACCCAATAGCTTCTGACAGATTCTCCCCCTCTCCTCATGCTCTGCTTGTCTCTTTCTAAATATGTCTTGTTTTGTCACAAAATTTCAGCTGCGCACTGACTCCCTATCTCCCGTTTGCTAATTTCTTCCTCGCTTTTCATTCCTCCTCCCCGTCACTACTTATCTGCTCTCGTTTTTGCAAAAAAATCCATAACACTTTTGGCTTTTCCCCCTCATCCTCTTTTTTTGTTGACAGCCTATTCGGGTTTGCCGAGCACGGCATTTTTGTGGTATCACTGGGCATTATTTCCCGGGATGTGGAGCTCCCACAGCGACAGTAAGGAGGCCTGCGTAAGACACATACACATTTACTTGTGCCTTTAAGTGTAAAAGTCAAATCCATAATGCAGGTTGTAAAGCTACCACATCGGACACCAAGTCTTGGTGTTGTTGATGATGCAAATAATTAAGATTCTTCAAGCACAAAAGTGTTTCACATGGTCATAAATTAAATGGAAATTTCAGATATATTCCGACCGTACTTAAGAATTTTGAACTGGATTCAAAGAGCTTCGTGAAATAGATAAAATTGGAAATAATGATGAGTTCTACCAATGCATCCACAAACAAATGAATAAAAGTGATGAAAACACAAAACACAGAGCAGACCGTGTTAAACATGCTTTGAATAGGTTTGAATCCACTGTTTAACTTCTAGTAGCTCAGCCAAGGACTCCAACACAAAGTAACTCAATGAGCTCGCCACAAAGACATACTGCCTCTACGTCCACAACATACATTTACTGCTTCCAGAGCGGAGATTAAATAAACTTGACTTCATACAACCACAGCAAAAAGTTCTCTCACCTTTCCTGATCAAAAGGAGTAACTGAAGATGAAGCACTGCTGATAATCATAATGAAACCCTGTGACCAGTGCTTTGATCGCGGTATTAAACTACAATACAGAATGTCACAACCATCCAAGATGGATCGACAACGAGCTGCGGCCTCGTGAAACGAGAGTTTATGCTCATGTAGAAGTCACAAGTCAGTGTTTTGAGAAAAGCATTTGACGAGAAGTGAAGTAAACTACCCACAATCCCAAAGTCGAACAGAGGCATCTGTGATTGGCCGAGTTCGCCGTTTGGGCTGCACAATTGAATCGTTAACAGCAAAATGTGAGACCAAATGCCGTTTCAAATTAAATAATGAAGATCGAACCAAATCTGCAGGCATGTCCTGGTATAAATATCCCATTCTGCAGGCTTACGAAAAGAATCTCTTCTGGGTACAAAACCTTTTGTATGTATGTAGGTAATGAATGAAAACGTTTGATATTTTTTCCATATCGTTCATCCTGCTTACTGTTACCATGGAAATGTTTACCACACACACACACAAATGGGTATAGCAAACGTATCAGCTTGTTCATGCAACCCCTTGGTCTGCTTTGGGATTTCAAATTGAGTAGCCACCAGTCACAAAGGTTTGAGGGAGGATTAGTTCCTTCAACCCTCAAAATAATTCTATACACAGCCTTTGCCTTCTTCCCATTTGAGGATTTTTTCATCCTTTAATTCATACGCTTTACGGTGGCCGTTCGTCCCGTAATTGGTTGGCTCATTTCCATGCTGAAAACTCTCTATATACTGTAAGGGTTTTGTGAATGTAAATAGATACATTATAGGAGATATCCTTCCACAACAAGTCCAGTCTAAACAATGGCCGGTCAGTGTTGAGCTCGCTTGTTTTTGATTCCAGCCTGTATTTATTTGCGTGGCATTGGGGAGCTCAGGCAGTCTGCGCTCCATCGAACATCGAACACGATCAGACCATCTGTCTGTTGGGGCAGTCGTGGTCCTGTACTCATCGTGAGTGGCCCGAATAAGAAGTGTTCCAGGTAAAAGATTCTAAATGTCATGGAAGATTCAGGCACTCGCTGATAACATCAATGGCCGTAAAAGACGAGATTCCGTAACCATCGCGTCCAGATACCGATATTGTAAACAACATTTGTATTGAATAACAGGTTTACCTGAGGTTTGAAAATTGATCTAAGTCCCTAAAGTCCATGTTTTTGACCGTCTGACCTTTCTGCTGATTCTCACAGACACTCCTTCCTGTCCTTGTGTCTCACGCATGCATGTTCTTCTGTCTCTTTCTCAGGAGGTCCTCCTGATGTGGGCAAGATGCTGGGCGGGGAGGAGAAGGAGGAGGACCCCGACGCAGCCAAGAAAGAGGAGGAGCGACAGGAGGCGCTCAGGCAGCAGGAGGAGGAGAGGAAGGCCAAATATTCCAAGATGGAGGCTGAGAGGGAAAGCATGAGGCAAGGGATCAGAGACAAGGTACAATGACAGCATGCCGTATAACTACTGAATAACTGATTTAAATACTATTAATATTACCTTAACTCAACACAAAGAACCAAACCGGTTTCTCATAGTGACAAACAAACATTTTTTTCAAAAATGTGAAGTTTTGATGACTGGATGCCATCCTGTCCTTTTATGTTCAAGTAGCTTCTAAGGGCCTCTAATCTTTTGCTGCGTGACACCCAAAGATTTTTTAACAACAGACCTGTGTTTGAAATAGACTGGCATCAGATTATTTTTGTTTGCTTTCATGTAATTTTAAAATAGATCAGCGGAAGATCAGGAGGCGCAGAAGTGAGATAAATGAGGAGACGTGATTAATACATATAGATTAGAATGGAAATGGTTGGCTCGGAGAGGATTGCTTTGGAAATGCAAACCACTAATCATTCTTGTTTAGCAAACTGCAGCAATTATTCTGCCACAACTGTAACACCATTGTGTTGATTGGACAATATGATATTTCTTCTCTGCATTTTCCGTCCAAAACACAGTGTTCCATAAAGACGTTTGCCATTTTTAACCAGCATTAGCGAGATTCGATTTGTCTACAATTGCACTAGTTCCCCCACTTTATAAATGTGGAGCTGTGGGGCTGCAGTGTAACCACCTCACTGCAGAGGCAGTGCTGAAGACAGGCAGTCTGTGGGTGGGGCACACTGAGGGGAATACTGTGAATCAGCGGATGAAAAGCGCCACTCCTTGTCTGGCTCCTCACCGCCTCTACTGCGCCCGAGGTGAACAAAGAGCAAGGAACAACTCCCAAAGTGCTTCCTCCACAGCTTTCTTCCCCCCTGCCACATAATGCACCAAATGTCCATATTAAAGATGTTTTATCCAGATGTTTGGAGGCATCATTTTCCAATACTGACAGTTTTTTTGTTCTTTGCCTTTTCCAACAAATACACGAGGCACGTTTTAGACATGGACTGTCGTAGTGTGAAGCAGCAACCCGTCCACCCGTTTATGCCTGATAGGTTTGCTGAAAGAGACACACGGGAACAAGAAAGAAAGAAAATATGAAAAGTTACCAGCAGATCAAACGACAGGAAGACAGGAAAGGCTCCGTAGGACGGGTGAATCTCAACGTTCACTAGTATATGGAATGATGAGTAGCACTGCATGTCCATCACGTATTCCCGTTATGTTGGAGACATCTTAATTCTATTTTGCCGATTTATATTCCTAAATTACGCTGTTTCCAAGCAAATCACATCACTCGGAGACCATAATTCAATTTAATTCAACCCATTTATTGAATTTAGCGTTACATGGTCAATGTGCAGTATTTTGCAACCCTGCCTCAACACGCACACCAATCTGTATTACATCCCCTGCTCACGATGCTTCAATCTGACACGTTGGCTTCAGCAGAAAGCTTTTCAGGGTCGGTTGCTAGTCCATTCTGGACTAGCGGCAATAAAATATGTTTTTTGGCCTTTTGAACTCCACAACAACTATAGCAGCTCAGGAATAGCGTTGGGATGCACATTGGATTGTTGGATTATTGGTAATAGTAGAAACAACAGGTCGTGGGACGCACAAATGCCAAGACAACAATGCATCAAACACAACGCAATCTGCTTTAAAGATCGCACACGTTGGTTAATGTAATGCAGGTGTGCATTTCCTTTGCACACTTTTTTCTTCAAACTACTTATGTGTTGGACCAACAGTATGGCTTGAAAAAGCGCGAAGAGGCCGAGGCCGAGGCAGCAGCCGCTGCAGAGGAGTCTGTAGAGGGCAGCTTGACCCGACCCAAGAAAGCCGTGCCGGCCGGCTGCGGCGACGAAGAGGAGGAGGAGAGCATCATGGACACAGTGATGAAATACCTGCCGGGCCCACTGCAAGACATGCTGAAGAAGTAGGCTAGCTGGTTAGCTAATGCTAACGTTACCTTGCTTAGTTCATAGGCTACATTCACAAAGTTGCTTTAGATCCGGGATTTTTTTTTTCTTCCATCCATGTGGCAGATGTGAACGTTTTTGTTAATTCTGGCGTGTTGTTTTTAGAGTTCGGACAAACCTAAAGGTTTATGGCGGGGAAATGAATCGGATGTGAAGCAGCAGTGTAAATGGCAGCCGTTAGACTAAGCTACGCCGACCCAATGGCCAGGTGAACGTCAGCTGTGTTACACCACGCAGAGGGGCTGAAAACACAACGTTAGGTGGTTTAGCCTTCTACTCGGAGGCGTTTTAAACCCCCTTTTCTCTCCTCTGCAGAGCTCTCTATCAGCACTGAAAAATAATCCCGTTGTCCACCGTGCTGTTCACTCAATTTGTACATAAATAAATTAATACATAACAAGCCTGAAGGTGGACAAACAATCATTAAATATTATATAAAATTATTATATTAATTGTGTGTCTGTCTAAAAAAAAAAAAAAAAAAGGTGTGATAACTTGATAAGCCATATTTTAAAAAGGAAATTTAAAGACTACTGTTGTGTGCTCCTAAAGCAACTGTTTTGTGTTGGGCCATGTCTGAAACTTATGTAAAACCTTTTGCACACAGTGTTACACGTCCTCCGTCAGATATATTGTCGAGCTCCCTTACGCATTAGTGTAATGACATTCATGAAGTGTAGTCTTTAATGTTCGTATTCCCCTTGTTCAGTGAGTCTCCTTCTTACGTCTTGCATGCCATTTGTCTGGACACGTTTGGTGTGTGAATATCTACAAACTCAACCCCCCCCCCCCCCCCTTTTATCCTCTTCTTTATCATGCAAAAAATATAGGCAATAACTTCTAAGTTTAAATGTGTGTTTTCACTTCCATGCAGATATAATTGTTAATAATATCAGTAAAGACAAAAATTATATGTAGGCATTCAGGAAATTTCATTTACAGGTTTGCAGGGTTTCCTTTTTTGTTGTCTTGTTGTTTTTCGAATGACCGTACAGCCGTTCATACAACAGCCAAAACCTTAAGCTTTCAGCCATAAAAACAGAACTTACAATATATGTGTGTGTGTGTATATACATATATATATACATATATATATATACATATATATACATATATGAATATATATACATATATATATACACTATTACTATCAGGATCAATAAAAATGAGAGAATACTGAATGAATCTGTATGAATAAAGAGGAAACATTTTATAATAAGCAGTATAAACTTGAAGGTAGAGACCACCCTCCCTCTTTACACACACACACACACACACACACACACACACACACACACACACACACACACACACACACACACACACACACACACACACACACACACACACACACAGTTTGGCTACTGGTTCAGTTACACAGAAAATCCAGACCCAAAGTGATGCTTGATTCCGTTTCTTATTGTTGGTTTAGATGCGAGAATGAGCCGCTGAGTGCGGCACAGAATGCCATTGAGCAATAAAGGATTATCATGTATGTTTCTGCCTGAGATTCAATAAAAACTTAAAACCTAGTTCACAGACATTAAAACGTGTCATCTTCTGTTCTCTGGGGTGTGATGTGGACTTCTTAAGTGAAGTAGAGACCCTGTTGCCGTTGGGATCAACAGTCGGATCAGGCTGCAATGAACACGTCCCGTATTCAAACCGGGCCTTTGTTTTGATCTCAACTACAAACATATGTTTTGTGATAATATTTTAAAACAAAATCTCGCAATACACAGACAGAAATATATACGACTAGCAGACTTCTAAACACTGCAGTAGTAGTAGTTATAGTAGTATATTAATCTCCAGAAAAACAAGGTACTTCTTATTATAGTTTTTATCTTCCAAAGATCTTCCAGTCAGTATTTTGTAAAAAAAAAAAAGAAAAAGAAAAATGTCTAGATATAAAAATCTAATTATCTTAGAATTTGCAATTTCAAGTGTAAGGTGTATTTCTGCCATATTGCCACAAGGTGGCACTGTTGTCTGTATCTGCGAGTACACAAAGACATATTTCACGTTTTATTTATTCCTTTATTTGCAAAAATTCAACCCAAAAAGGTGGACTATCTAGCAAAACAGAATCAAGCATTAACAAATCAGAAAGAAATAGACAGAAGAAAAGAACTGGACACACAAAGACTTTGAGTCGCCTCTTTTGCCTCTAGGCATTCAGTTACTGCTTTAACAAATGTTTACATCCATAATTACTATTTGTTGTAGAAACACCCACAGCCCTGACGAGTGAGTAGCAGAGCATTGATATAAAATAACATTTTATTTTATAAAGGGTTCTCCAACCCTTTAGCATTTTGGTATCAAGGAAACATGGATGATGCAATCAGGTCTGATTTACCTTCCAGTCTGCAACTTGTATTTTACCCTTTTTCTTTAAGCAGAAAGATACAGACACATTTCATTTGGAGCAAATACAATGTAACCAGAGTCCATATCATTTTAAAGAAGTTCTAACTGCAGCAGTTTTATTTTCTGACAGCAACATATTAGCTCTATTTTCTGATTTCATCAGCAGCTCATTCTGTTTTTAATCTCAATTAAGGGTTGCAAATTATACAGCAGAGTAGATGAGGTTGGCAAAAGGACAGACATGTTTTGTCCTTATCAAGAAGAAACATTCCCATTGTGAACTTGTGAAGGATCCATCCAGTATTAAAGCGTAAAATAATATTTCAGAAGTCCGGTGTTGATTTAAGACCCGTCAGCTGCTGTTAACTTTAGTTTATTTTAATACACTGGATGGGATTTTTGTAATCTGACAGCTGCAAAGACATTAGAGGTTTCCTGTGTTTGTAAATCCGTGTCCACTGAAATAATCCAAACCTGGATTGAGGCGCTAACGTGAAACGTGTAACGTAAAGTCAACAGTACCAACCATTTTGTATCAAACCACACATTTCAGCTCCAGTAAATATGAAATTACCACAAACAATCAACAAACCAGACCTGGTTGAAAGTGTGACAGAAGTCCATTCAAATACTAGCAGTTACTTTGGGTTATTATGGTCGGACAAGAACTTCTATGTAGCAACATTGCATTCATAAGATATTGATACCGTGGGTTCATTCAACATCTAATGTCCGTAAATAGAAGTTGGCAGTTGCCATTCCCAGCTAGCAGGGAGGCTCAGCATACATGCTGCATAGTATAACAATGTAAAGTGTAATTAGAGTGTATATTTTCATTTACAGAAACATTCTTACACAAATGATCACGCTGTCCAGCACAATCAATTAATGAAATTGAGTGTTTGAGTGGCTTCTGACTCTTTCCCAGGTCTGTCACAAATAAATATGTTCTGTATATAGCGAGAATCCTCACTGTAGCCAGGTTTATGAATCTCTCTGCCCACTACTGAGGAATCTGTAAAGCTTAGCAAGTCCCTAAAATACTGTTCTGACCGAATCAGAAAACAAGGCTGCAACATCAGAGGTTCCCCAAGTGGTCGAAAACCCAATATTACGGAGTTTTCATTAGGTCTATTAAATTGAAATGGCACATCAGCTTTGGTGAATAATTGGGAGAACTCTACCTTTCATGGTGAGCTTGATTTCAAACGCTTTTGGGAACAGCAGTAATGACAGCACAGCTCATCTACAGCATTTTAACAATTGTATTATTAATAATTAGGGCTCATTCAACTCATCAGTAGAAACAGGGATTTCTGAAAGTGTCCTGTCCCCATTCAGTGGGCCCTTACTCACAACCCGACCTCCAGCACCCGTTATTAAGGACTCTAGACTCTCAAGGAGACGTTAAAGGATTCACAATGGAAGCTCAGAAAGCCACTGGTGATGGATCCCATTGAATCCCTTAATTTCTACTAAAGAAAAAGAGTCTGGAAAGTAGAGCGATTTTCAGAGACATTTGAACCTGAAGTTGGTGGCCGTGGTCGTCTGGGAGCGCCGTCGGAGGGTGTGAGGCCGCGGTCAGAAGGGCGGTCGGGTCAAAGGGGGAACGAGGGCAGCCCTGGTCTCTACACATTCGTCCGACACTTAGGGAAGATGGGACCTCCCTCCAGCCTTCTCTTTCGTACTGCAGATGGAGGAGATGGTGGGACGGAGAAGAGACAGGTTGATAAATGAGTAAAAAAAGACAGTGTTATGAGGACGAGGAGGAAGGAGGAAGGAAGGGAAGCCCAGAGGAAGAGAAACATTAGAAAACACAGCGGTTCATCGGCATCATAAACTTGAGCCAACGCAAAGCCAAGTTGACCTGCGCTGTTTGCTTTCCATGCATTATAGTAACTGAAAGATGCTAACAGGTTTAAAAAAAAGCAGAATAAAAAGTTGGAAATCAAAGCTCTTCGTCTTCAAGTGGCTTTAGCGGAAGCTGTTATACCAAGAATACCAAAAGCAGAAAAACTGGATAGTTCCTTGTGCCGCTGGGACAACTGATCATCACCATCAAGTTTAACTAAATGCACCCATGTGACAATGTACAGTCGAACACTAAGTTGAAAGCACTTGTGTTTAGCATTGCATTCCTAAAACGAAATCAATGCAGCACAACCAGAGATATATGGAATATCTGTACCTCATCAAAACCAGGTGGCTACATTACCCGTCCGCATTCCCTCATTGGTCCCTCACTATTTAGGTCCACTCACTTGCAATTGTCCCCTTTGGATTTGTTTGCCTGTCTGACTAATATCTTGGTTTTAAATCTGCCCGTCTACCGAGTTTACCCATTGTTCCCGAACTGTGTCGTGCTTTTGGATCAGGAGTACCGCTGAAATCGTACCAGCCGGTGGTCTACTGGATTCTTCTACTCACTGCCCAAGAGGACGTCGCTCCAGGTGATCCATCAGATTCCTCTGAGCGACCTCGGTGCCGCTAAAAGCTTTATACGACTCTTTCACTAAGGCCACTTGCCTTCCAGTTTGTACCACCGGGCTTTAGTGGTGCATAAAATATAAACAGGGAAATCTGCAGTGTACTAAATGATCACAATCTAGTCGCCACACAGTCAAACCACAAGACCTTGGTGAAGCAGAGCGGTTGCCCACTTTGCCAGCTTGACAATCGAGCTCTGGACAACGCAGGCATAGTAGCTGCAGGGCGCCAGGATGACACAATCAAATGAGGAAAAGGCCACAGAAAGCAGATATAAAGTGGCCAAAGGTCGATAGCACCTTATGCATTACTGTAAAAGTGATGCGGAAATTGGAAGATGAAGAGCGTTAAAGTTTCTGCAGCCAAAAGAAGGAACTCCTTAAAACTATTGTCTGTTGTTCTCTGTATCTCATGCGCTCTGGTAGTTCTAGCCATGCAATAACATATCAATAGTAATATTTCAGTTAGGTTTCCTTTTCATTCTTTTACTCCTGTTGAGCAGAAAATAACACGTTCATATTTTTAGAGATGTCCCGTCAAGCTGACATTCTCATTCTCCCTCTGGGAAGTGTAGAGAAATAGTCAGAAGAAAAAATATATTCTAACTATGTCGGGGACCGAAGAGCCGACGGCAGCTAAATTTAGACGCCACTGTCAGAGATGACTACAAGCTGAATAGAAGGAAAGGGATGACAGGTACTGTGGAGAAGCAACAGAAACCCTCAGAGGAGTTTGACAGAAGATGGCAGAGGATTCCAGGCGTCAGGAAAAGAGCCAGGTGGTTTTGGCAGAAGAAAGGGAAGCCTTTTTTTGTCTTTTTTTTTTACTTAGTCTTGGACTTGAACTTTTTCCCGAAGGCCCGTTCCAGCTCAGGAACAGACAGAGTGAGGGTGAAGGAGCCGTCTGACTCCGACCTGACAACCCGAGCTTAAAAATGGCACGGGGAAGGAAAACGACACGACAAGATTATGACACAGACTTCGCTTCACGTGCAGACTACTGACAAAAAACAGGCCGTAAAAAGAATGTAGTAATAATTCTGAACTTCATCTCTATTCTCTTTTAACCTGCCGTGGTGGTGAATACAACCGCTTCAAGTTATTTTCTCTCGTAATGCAAAACGTTTAAGTTTAAGAGCATTCACACAAACAAATTCAACAGGAGTTCATCTTGCGGCGCTTAAAAATGCTGCTGCGACTGTCTGAGAGGAGCTGAATCCACTCTTTAGTACAAAGACAGCAATTCAAAACATTAACGTAAAAAATGCATGCATGTGCACAGCAACAAGCATTTCTTCCACTAGTTCCATTTGGGTTTCTCTCATGCACAGACTCTTTTCTTGGTGCTGATGTCATAGCTTAGGAAGCTCCTGTTTTGATTGGCTGGTGCTCTACGGCCACACTGCGGAGTTATCAGCAGAGTATATAACTCCAAACCTTCTATTAGAGTCGGTTTATTTAAAACCCAAGGAGATACAGAGAAGATAAAGTGTCAGCACTGATGTGCGTTACAAACAACACCGCCAAATACTACAGAAACACAGTGTACAAGTCACATAACCTGCAGTCCATGAACTTCTGTCAGAGCACAAATGCAATGAGTGTGTGACCCACCCAGGTCGTTGTTGTTCATCATGGCGTTGGAGCCTCGCAGGCGCGGCCCCTGCTGGGTGAAATGATATCCAAACTTCAGCAGACTGGTGTTTTTCTCCAGCATGCTGGCGATCTCCATCTCCACCTTGTTGCCCAGCGGCTGGCTCTGGAGTTTTGGAGAGGGAGAGAGAGATGGAGGAGGAGACACACAAAGAGCTGCACAGCCATGATTTCAGAGGGGTTGAAAGAGGGCGGATTGGTGGACGCAATGTACGGAAACGAAAGAATCAACAAGAGGAGCAAACAAAACGACTGCCATCGGCTTCCCCCGAACTGCGCCCGCAACGGGTGAGGTGGTGATCTCCATGGCAACAGAGGATTTGAAGAGGCAGGGGTACCGTTTTCTGGGGTCGTTCAACAAGTGCCACAAATGAGCGAGCTGTGAGTCACAGTTGTACAACTATGCAGTACGACACACGGCAACGCAATCAGGGAGCATTTGAAGTGGCAAAGATGGTCTGTGTACACTACCTGACACACACACACACACACACACACACACACACACTTACCAGGTGTCTTCCTGCCGTGCGACCAATAATGTTGCACACATAAACTTGAAACAACAACCAAAAAGTCTTCATCTAAGTGGGTTTGTGTGTGTGTGTGTGCGTGTATTGATGTGTTGGTACCTGATTGTCTATCTTGAGCTCCTGTAGTATGGTGTTGTGCTGTAGTGATGCTATGAGGGACAGGACTCCTGTTCCTGTGATGAAGTTGGACTCAACGTTCAGGCTCTTCAGCGTTGTGTTCACCTTCAACATCTCTGCCAAGGCCTGAGGAAACACAACCGCATCTTCCTTAATGACGGTTGTTTAAAAAACGTTACACAAAAGGTTTCAAAGAGGCAAGAAGCCCAACATTGCTTTCACAATACAGCAACATTGGCAATAAAATAAAGAATTAGTCAAATAAACCCTGATAAGAGTAGGCGACATGAATTCTGTGCACGTTAGCTGTGACTTACAAATGCAACGGGGTCGTTGCTCCTGGTTCCTACAAGACTGAAGCGCTCCACCACAGTGTTCTTCGTCAGAGCCTCAGCGTACGCCTTCAGCGTCTTAATGGGGATGTTCTGGGTGCACAGAGACGCTGACATTACAGCTCAGTAAATGCTTTGCTTTTCATTAGTTATTTATTGTGTATTGTGTGCCGTTAGATTCATGTTCTAGAGTCTTTTATACAGAAACATGTCTGGTCAGCGGAATGCCGAAAAATGTGTTTCATCAAATGAAATGCTAGAAATAGAAATTCAATTCAATAGAAAACAATCAGGTCGTCTGAAAAATCCGACCGTTTTGTTTGTTTGAATAGGAAGCAGCTTTAAGCTCATCTCCTCAAAGACACACAAACACACAGTGTTACCTTGATGTTGTTGAGGTTGACCTCCACCAGGTCCGGGTCGTTCCTCTTCATCCTCAGCAGGGTCTCTTCTACGTCAGTGGAGTTGGGCTCCTCATCAGGGACCGGTTTGTACTGGGTGCACTGGATCACACCTACAACACCGTTACAGTTTACACCACAGCGTTCACCGTAGCGTCATCCTACGTCACAGGCAACCATTTTCAAATCATAATATGATCAATGTGTTATGAAAAGACGAACAATGAACAGAAATATAAATGCAACACGCTTGTTTGTGCTCGGATTCAACTAAAAATATCTAAAACATTAGGTGAGGCAAATCAAGATGCGGAATAAGCATAACTTTCATCCCGCATCAACCTGTGAATCAAATGTTGATTTAATACCATAAGCCGCCTCAAGGTGAGTATATCCAACTGGCTCTATTTCCACAAGCAAGCCACCAGGCTGCGGCTTCTAAGACCAGCGACCAGAGCGACTGATGATTTGCTTGTGTGACCAAAAAAATCATTATTTTTGCATCCCTTATCATGTGAAATCCTAATACATGTATATTTCTTTCAAAATAATACTGCACATTTTAGAGTGTCTTATTATTGGGATGCTGTTTAAAAAGCGTCTTGCCAGATGGCAAACGGTGATCTCTAACGTTTATTACGTGCGTGAATATCTGCAGCGCCTTCTCGTCGAGGTGATTTAACCGATTGGACCCTTCAGAGGTTTTCCCTGAGCTGTCCGACTGGTGAGAGGCCCCAAGGTAGACGCAGAACACGCAGAGGAGGGATTAACCATCACGCACGTTCCACTTCTTCCTTCCACAACTTGCTTTTGAGACACACACGTGACAATTGTCCTCACGGGGAAACAATGCTCAAACGAGAACTAAAGGAGAGCAAACTCTTTTGTGAATCACTGTAGATTCCGGCAGGCGAAGCCGATGTTTACAGCTAACTCGCTTTATGGCAGCCGGTCATATTTGGAAGTGAGATGCTCTGTTTGGAGCTGGAGGTGAATCTATAGGATGATCCTCTACGAAGGATAAACAATGGCTCATTAACACGCGTGTGTGAAGTAATGCAGCAGAGTTTACACTGAGTAGTGCAAGACGAAGGGTAGACAGAGCAATCATCACGTATTCCCTGAAGGAGCTGCAGGACGCATGTATACAGTTAAAATCCTCTACTGACTCGCGTCTTACTTTGCGTAACTATATTTGTGCATAGAGTGCACCAAAAAACTCGACCCGACATTCTGCCAACGTGAGATCATTCCGCTGGATTCCACTCCAAGTCAACTCGCCTCAACATTTGACTTCAATGAGGCGATTATTTCCCTACAAACTAACACCTTCACCTGTGACTCGAAAAGCCCTCCGCGAATATGTGATCGTACCGAGTGAAGACAGCTCGTGCTGTGAACAAAACGCGGTGAACAAATTGAGTTGCATGAGTCTCAGTGCAAGTGTGTGTGTGTGTGTGTGTGTGTGTGTGTGTTCCTCGTACTGTTGAGGCCCTGCTTGTTGACTATGGTGCTGCTGGCCAGGGCTTCGTAGTACTGCTGGTTACTCATCAGGGTGTGCATACCCAGGATGGCTGCAGGGAAGTAAGAAGACGGGATAAAGATAAAAGAAATCAAAGGGCATGAACAGAGAGAGAGAGAGAGAGAGAGAGAGAGAGAGGAAGGCTATAAAAGAAAAGAGTATTGATTCAATGGTTGTCTAGTTACAGCCGACCGCCACGCTAATACGGACAGCAAGCCGCTCTATTGCATCACAACAAGCAGCTCACTGTCATTTTCAACCAGCAGGCTGAAAGATGTGAGTTAACGGGTAACATGCACTGGCTTCGTTTTGGCCCCCGGCAGCAGTGATTATGGAACTTTTATTTTTTGTTTTTTTTTACCAAGGGGCTACTCTGAGGACACAAGTTAAAACAAAGGATTTAGAGATAATGATCAACTCGTCCGTTGGTCGGAGCGAGGAAAGAACAGAGCGACATCAACAGTTAGGGAACACGAGCTACCGAGCCGCTCTTTGAAGAACTGGGACATGTTACTTTGAGCATCGCCAGGGACTCGTGCTCTGAAAACATTCGTGCAGCAGGCACACTTGATAATATGTTTCTGTCATTCTAATGCAGGGAAGAAAAGACCGAGTGTGTTTACACGTTGTAATATCTCCCTCTCACACGGAGCCATTACAGTTATGTTAACTCTCAACGTGCTTCAAGTGAGATGAAATTTTTTTTTAAAGCCTCATGCAGCTAAATCCATCTTGATCACTCTTTTAAAATGTCACTCATCCCTGCAGCAGATACGTCAGAAGTTTTGCACGTGCAGCAAAGTCTTTCAATGGTATGCGCCATACATTGGATCTAGGGTGCGTAACGCAGGTACAGTGCGTACCCTGGATGATGTTCAGCTAGCGAACAGAGATATCCAGCAGGGATGGAGGAGGTGGAGGAGATGAAGGGATGAAGGGGAAGGGTGGAGGGAAGATGGAAGTGTTGCTGGAGGAAACGGAGAACATTTGGATTAAGGAGGAGGAAATGAATGAGGGAAAGACGAGGCAGCTGATTAGTGAGAGAAGAAGAAGAAGAAGAAGAAGAAGAAGAAGAAGAAGAAGAAGAAGAATATACACACAGCTGCACTTGTGCACGAGATCCAGTCCATCAACATCCTTCATCATCAACATCTTTCATCCAGATGCTATTGGGTATTATGTTTATGGGGGAGGGTGTCTGATGTTTCAAGTACATTTTCAAAGACAATTTCCAAAAATGTTTACTTCTGAAACAACTTCTGTATTAGTCATGAAAAACAATTCTGGGTGAAAATTATTCCAATCTCTTAAAGATACAACTTTTTAATCAAACAATTCTTTTTCTTTCTAAACTTGTATGTATGTAGTTAAAAGTAGGAGAGAAATGAAAGCGGTGAACCTCATGAACATGAACATGAATCAGTGTGTTTATAGGAGGTGTGAGCGTTGTGACTGAGTTACCTGCGATATCACAGAGTTCAGCATCGGAGGCGCTGGCCAGGGCTTCCTCCAGCTCCGGCTCCAGAGTCACGTTCTCCATGATCGGGTCCACCATCTTCTTTGGCACAAAGGCTTTCCCTACAACGCCAGCGGACGGACTCAATACAAAATACACACACGGCGAGCACCACTGCTAAAAGAAGATCCGTGGTCATCTGTCCTAATTTGAACGGGGATTCTCCAAGATGGCTCGAAGGCTGGATATATTTTATGTATAGCATTTATCTGTTTTAAATGCATCTATTTAGAAGAACGTTTCCACGTTAAGCCGTTATAAATCAAAGCCACGATCGAGGTCATTCACTTAGAAGCTCATGTGTAAATAGAGAATACAAAGACGTAATTGTTTTAAATTTAAATGTGAATCCAAAGTTAAGTCTGTAGAGTCTGTGGCCGCAGGCTGTCGTCACCAGGTCGGACCGACTGCAGACACCCAGACGTTTCTTTATTGACACGTCCGCTATGTCTGCACTCGGGTTTCAGCCAGGCATTTTTGGGATCCCACCCGTACGCACAGTGGCCAAATGTCCCCCCCGTGTCCTCTCACTCTGTCCCAGTCATGCCACTGCAAGCGCCGTGGCCGGTTAGAGTCCACCTGTTTCAAGTCCTGTAATGGGCTTAGTCTCAGCCATTGGCCGGTGAGCAGAAGGGGAGCGAGGACAGACAGCGTCAAACGGAGTGCAGTTATTTTAACCAGCCGGGAGAAGCCTTGCTCAACGGCACTTTTACTGTACTTGTAGAGGGAGGGGAGGTCGTCCCACACGCACTTTCCCCACCTGCAGTTTCACAGCCGGTCTTTTAAGACGGCATGGAGAGACCAACGGGAATTTCACTTGTTTGACACCAATCGCCCTTCAGGCAATAAAGAAAAACCTCTACACCTGAGATGTCCATCTAATGTTTGTGGGTTGAGAGCAGGCGTTCATACCTCTCTTCTCCCCTGTGAAGGGCACCAGGTCTTCCTTGTCAGGATGCTCGTTGGCCTGTTTCTCCAGATGGGCCAGCAGGTTGTCTCTCTGAAACGTCCCCGTTGGGGTTTTCTTCGTCTGGTCTTTCTGCCGCATCCCAGCTGGCAACAATTCATTCTAGACAAGGATGACAATTGTTTGTTTTTTTCGAAATTAGTTTATTTTCCTTCTTCCAATCACGCAACAGCGGTGCAGAACAATGTGGAAACGAATGACAGAACCAGGACATTTCCCAGAGCTCTGCTGCTAATTTTCAACCTATAGGAATATTCAAAGACAAGCTCTTACAAGTGCTACTTATAGCTTCATATCTTATCAGTCCTCTCGGCACCCGCAGGCTTCTTTATCCTCGCTCTCAGACGACTACTTTCAAAAACATACAAATTATTTTTTTCCCCCTTTAAGCCCCAAATTATTATTCCATTTGAAATAAACACTTTGGAATTCAGATAACGTCCTCTCTTTGTTTTTCTCGTTAAGTCTTTCCGGCGGTGGTCCTGTAAATGTTCACGTGACTCGCATGTGGTATTTTTAGTGAAGCCCGGAGTGCACAACACCGTCACTGGCAGGCTTTTTATGTCACACTTTGTATCAGCTGTCGATAGCAGGGTGCAGCACGGTTATTTTTACCCGGCTGAGACTCTGTGCTCCCTCTCCTCCACTAAGGAGCCCCAGCAGTCATCTACGAGGCCTGAATACGAGGATGAGGCACGAGGGTTTGCTTCTTTTTTTTTGCAGCATTTGTGTAAAATGTGACACGTTCTTTTTAAACCTTTTTGGATGGTGGAAAGTTGACCTGTCAAAACGCTGCTAACTAATTGATCCAGCAGCTACAAAGTAAACTCATCATTTACTTTGAGTTGTGCTTTGTTTTGATCTCCACCGACTCTTCAGAGGAGAAATCTGGCTCTTGAGTTGTCATTTGCTTCAATTTGTCTGTTGGCGTTTTGCTGCTGAGCTTTTGAGTAACGGAAAAAAAAAGAATTAGAAAAGAATTAGAGCCGTATAACAATGAGCATTAATACATTTAAATGTTAACTAAAAATAAGAGTTAGCGCAGCTTTAAGTTATGCAGATGAGCACCTGTAATCTGGGACATCAGATCCATACTAGTCTAGTCCAGGTTTGAAAAAGCCTCTTTGATCTTCAATCCAAAAATATATAAACGGATGTGATGTCTTCGAAAAGTCAACATCATGAGCCCGTCCAAGTTGTGGTGTGTCACTGTAAAGCGGCGAGGCAGCCCTTAAAAAAACCCCAAATGTTCTCAAGATGAATGACAATAAATGTATTTTTTATACAATAACAGCTCAGCTGGCAGACATGTTGTGTTTTTTTGTCCCGCGTGGTGAGTTTTGACTTTCAGTGGCTTACTGGAACTGACGTGAGGAGCTTTGCTGGGAGGTTCCAGTGTGTGTCACTGTAACGGGTTCCCCTCGTAAACAGCACAAACAAGGTGAGCGCGCACGCACGGCCTCCCGCTGTTTACGTCACGAGTCTCTCCGATCGCTCACTGCTGGCTCACTAACACACGCACACACACACACACACACACACACACTTAGGTCTGCACATAGTACCCCTTCCAGTCATCCCCTTGGCATTGAGGGGGAATCCATTCATCACGAAGCTATTACAGCTGCGTTCACCAACTTGACCCGTGACACACCGCTGAGGGTCCCGAGCTGTGGATGCATCGAATGCAGAGATAAACACGCCATAAAAAGCAAAGAAGAGTAGAACTCACGATTTACTGCACCTTGTGTTGCGTAATGACTGTTAACAAGATATGCCAGCGGGCAGAATGCGATGATGCGGTAGCAAAATAACAGATGTTTAAAAAGTATTTTTAAGAATCTGTTTCATTTTAGCTGCAAAGCTGATGAAAATAATAAGGAGACTATTTTATTGTATTATTGAAACTGTGACTAAATCCTAACAGTGGTCCATGAGAATAATAATCTGTAAAAATAAAAGTTGGTAAAAAAAAGTTTTTAAATTGTTGACGCATGCAAAAGATTCCACTGCGCTCAAAGGAAAACAACTAATCAGATTTTAGTGGTAGTTTAGCCTCAAAACCAGTCCAGCAAAAATCAAGCGCCTCTGCACTGCAGAGGAATCAAAGAGAATAAAAAGATAATAATTCTAATGGCACGTTCAAACGTTTTGTCCAAACAAAAGTCCATAATTATTTAGACTTATAATTATGTACCGATGTGGGAAATTTACTTAAGGAGTGATAAACAAAATGTGAAAATGTCGAGATACATTTTTCAGGCGAACGCCTCAGTGATAACTTATTATTTAAGCCTAAATACCTGTACTCACTGTAAAAAGTCATGTGTGTTTAAAACGTATCGGCGTGGGTCATCATATACATTTCACACATTCTCAGTCACACTGTGAAAACTGACCGCCTGCTTCCTGCTTTCAATGCACCGCCCATCAGCCACCGCTGTATTAATTCAAACCCTTATCTACACGACAGTGCTGCGCGCCGCAGGGCATTCAAATGTTTTACACTTATCAAAGTTCAGCTGACAAGAGAAAGAAAACCAGCTCACAGCGATGCCGATGAGCACACAAGGACACGTAGTATACAGCAGCTCGTCACATCACGGGCTTGTTTCAGGGCCGGTACGACTCCATAACTCCCCAACGACAACAGCACAGCGACATTAAACGCACAACCTGTGGACTTTACAAACTCACGTCGGGGTCCAGCTCCTCCAGCTCGTCCTCTAGTCGCTGCAGCTCGTCCTCCGACAGCTTCTTCAGCAGCTCGTCCTCGTCGATGTCCCTGTACTTCTCCATCTCCTTCCTCATCACCGACATGATGGACAGCACACCTGCAGGGTGGACAGTGTCTCTTCAACATGACACGAGGATCACCTGACATTAAATGTCCACGTTACCGGAATGGAATTTCGTATCTCATAACGTTTTACAAAGAAAACAACATATTTTGGGCAACTTTCTTTCTGATTTCTGCCACTGAAAGTGTCGCAACATCAAACTTGCATCTATTGTGCTTCTCTATGGTGGGAGAACGTCCCTCACCTCAATCAAGCCTCCAAAATAGAGAAACTAAATTTGAGGAATTGGGTTTGTAGAGAAAGGGCATCGAAAAGGACGAAATACATTTATGATGAAACAAATGACAGGATTTCAAAAAGAAAAACGGCACTCACCTCAATGGCTCCCAGCTTAGAGTTGCAATAAAAGCAAAGGCAGCCAAGTGGCTGTAAGCGCTCCGGGGAGAGAGAGACCTGGAGGAGGCAGGAGCACAGAGGGAGGACAGATTAATAGCTCTCAAAACTAGAAAGCAATAGATACTCCAAGTCGTCTATGGAGAAATATATTAAGCGTTGTATTCCACCGCTTGCTTTTCCGTTTCACAGTCTGATCTTCCGTTGTGCCTAAAGTAACCGAGGCCACAGAAAGACAGATGTGGTTATTAACTATTTTTTTTCATTCTTTAATGCAATGCAGTAAGATGCGTTTTTTTTTTTACCGGCCATCTGACGCCGTTTTTTTGCTGGAGATTAATTTTCTTCATCTCACATTCCTATGCTACTTAAGTTGCACGTGTAGACCATTAGAAGATATATTTCAACCTATATGTTAATGAGCCATTAGTTCCCAGTCACTGTGCTAAACTAACCGGCTGTCAGTGTAGTATTGATCAAATAAGAGCTTGTCTCCCATGAATCAAGCCATATTTCTTTGTTAGAGATGTAGGAATAGTCTATTATTTCCGTTATCTATGATAACAAATGACAATGATGATGAAGAGTTTGGGCATTTGTAGTAGCCTTGTAGAAGACAGGAAAATGCATAAAACAAGAACAACAGCGTTAAATATTGTGATGTTACTAAGTAGAAACCTAAGATAACCTGTCAACGTTACACAAATCAGCTGTTATCAGCAGATGGACGCCTAACTCAACGGTTTAGCCCAACTACGGCGTCTGGTGTGTGAATTGCAGCAGCAGTTGAAGTGCGTGAGACATTTAATGTAATTCTAACAGCAAGCCTCAGGTTAGCAGTATTGGTGTTCAGTCTAAAATAACGCTCTATATCCTCGCAGCATTATACCTTATTGTTTACCCCTCTGCCATGAATCACTGTGAAGTTATCTCAAAGATTTGCGCAGAAAAATTGAACCTTGAAACTGTGAGTTTGAGAGGACAGGCTGATGTTGTGGTGTCGCTTCAAAACCCGACTAAAGCAAATAAAATACTGCGTTCAATAAGCGTGAGTAGATCGATGTGTTTTCGGTTGTAAGTATGTCAGCAAGTGTGTTTGGGCTGAACTCCTAACAGGTGGAGTCAAGCATGCCCGCTTTTTTTTTTGTTCTGGGCTGAACTCCAAGTAACGCTGCAAGTCTGCTGGAAGAAACCGGCCTGCTGTGTTGATATCAAACAGACCCGCGTCTGTATTTACTGCTTTTCTACCAGCTTCTATTTACTGATCTGAGGGACAAATAAAAATGCCCCCATGCCAGAATCTATCCCTTCAGGTGGCAAACCCTCAACCTCAGAAGGCCGGTCTGCAGTGCTAAAGCCTCCAAGAATAGCAGCACTGACACCAGTTCATTAATCACAGCAAATGTGAAGAAAACATTTGAAAATAAGACATTCCAACCCATACATCTGTTCCTACACAGGATGTACACAAGTCAGCTCCCCGTGTTACAAAGTGCATTCGTTGCCTGCTCAACCTGCTACTTAGTTGTAAACCTTTTGGTCGATGTATTGACTTAAACCGCTGCTGTGAGTTTTCTTTGCGGTGAAATGCAAATACATCGCTGTAAAACTCACACATGCTCTCAGCGAGACCAAAAAAAACTCACACAGACAATAAATCAGCACATAAAAAAAAGAAAAAAGTTGAGAGCACAGCAGCAGACTTTTGGGCTCTTTGGCAGCGGCTTCCTGCTTAATGTCGTCAGGCAGCTTACACTGTCATGAAGAAAAACATCATGTGTACAGTGAGTGTCAGGTGAACAAGTTCAGTTCGGGAAGCACAAGAGAACTTCCTGTTCTCTGTAAGCTGAGGTCAAGGTCGGTTATCGTAGTAGCTTGAATTAGGGGGCCGTATTCTCCACAAATATACGTACACATTTAAATAAGGAAAACCGCTATAGTCAGATACAAATAAGAACATCATGCAACAAACTCCAGATCCGCCGAAGACAATTGGAATAAGATGTTGTAATCGATAGATTTAAATCCAAAACACCTTAAATATGCCGACGTGCTTCACCTGGTGTGACAAAAACATAACCAATATTCATGTAAGAGTTGGTTATTTGCAGACTCCATCATGCTTTATGTTGTACCGTGTATCTTCAGTGATACGAGTGCTTTTGTAAGCCGTCTGGTGTCAGTTTGAACCATTCTGTAATGCAGTTGTTAGGGTGGTCTGTGGAACGGCCCACCAGAAAACAGCTGATAGGCAACTGGTCAGCTGTCCTCTGCGTGAGTCTCGGTCTCTGTGTGTCCCGTGTTTCCTGCTCTCTCTGTAACAAGGGTGGTAAGCACCATTATGAAGCATAGATGCAGGGCCAAAATAGATACACTACAGAGTTTCTTTCCAATGTCCCAGTTGCCAAATTTTCCACAAGCGTTTATATGTGAAGTCGAGTGGAGAGTGAGAGAGTTGACCAATCATTCCCAAACACTCTTCCCGTCGGCAGACTTTTAGCGCCGAGGGAAGTGGAACCCATCGGTGGCGGCTGCAGTGGTCTCCACTTGGGGGACCAGCCTGGAGTCGTATGTCATGGCGCGTGTAATGAGGCGACTCGCAGCGCACTAGCTGTCCCCGACTGGAGGTCTGGTCATCTGTGCATTCTGCAGAGGTCAAAAAGTCGGTGTCGCGTCAAGCTTGCTAACGTGATCCATTACTAATCCAAGAGAACATCATGTGTATGAGCACACGTTTCAGATGGTGAAACACCGTGCAACCATGACCTCATGACAAAGAGAAACCGCTCCTATGGAGGTGACCAGAGCTGCAGTTTAGTCTCAGGTCTACCAAAGGGAACTGCAGGCGATGCTCAACAAGAGGAAGAGGAAGGAGCTTAAGATGCACAGGTTGAGGCTTTGTAGTGACGCATGTACGTCGTATCTGATCTCACAGGACGGTTTTACGCTTTCCATTTAAATACACGTTCAATTATACATGGATACGGTTTTTGATGACATCAAAAACCATCAAGGTGACATTTTAGATCATGACCCTAACTTACCACGAAGCCTTTGTATTTCTTTTGAATCATTATAAATCCAACATAAGTTGATATGCTACAAAAAGATCTATGGTGAGACATGAAGTACGTACGGAATCATTTTTACTCATTTGGGAATTAAATGACTAAAATAAAATTAGACGAAATAAAAGGTTCGGTCTTGCAGGTTAGTTTATAATAAAGTTCCGTTACTTTAAGAGGGAAACATGCAATAGCCATTAAGACAAAAGTAACGAAAACAGTTAAATAATAAAACATCCTTAGTGTTGCAGGAGAAACTCCACGTACTTTCTCAGACTCCTTTAAGAGCCCGGTCCTGTAAATGATCCCAACCTGTGTGATCTACACTCATTTAACTTTTCTACAGTGAGCGGTATCGTTTTTGCAATTATTCCCGTACCTCCTCCGTCGCTATTTATAGCCGGACAGTCCCGCCGGGTGACAGCAACGAATACTTTGACCAGATATGGTTCCCTTCAGAGCCGCACTGCGAGGTCCGCTCCGCTGCGGGCGCACAACCCGGGAATCCGCTACCAACTCCCGGCTACACCTCAGCCTCCATGACCCGCGGATCATCCGGGATTCAGCGGATTTGGCGGCGGGATCTCTGCGGCGTCCTTCCCCGCTCCTGCTCGCGTCTCGCCGGGTTTGCGGATGCTGAATCTCATCTCCCGCAAAGGGCAAAGTAAACTTATGGGGGGGGAGATGATCCTCCTCCTCCTCCTCCTCCTCCTCCCCCATCACGGCTGCCCTGTCACTCTAGTGACGTCACGAAGTTCAACTGCGGCCATTGTGGGACTCATTGCGTCACTTATTCAATATGCTCAACTATAACTTCCCTCCTTAACTTACTGCATTATATATCAAGTTTCACAAAAAGTGTATTTACTCTTAGATCTTAAAGTCCTTCATAAGCGACAAGTTTGAAAAAGTCTCTCGTATTAAAGTCCCCTGTGCTGATCAAAGCAAACAGTCATTACTGATCCGTCAAGATTTCTAACTTGAATTTTCAAACTTCAACTTATATTACTGGCATTTCATCCCGATAACACAGCTGACATTCTCAACCAGCCCATCTCTGCACACTTAACATACAGTTAGAAGCTTTCAGTCAAAGTTCACCCTCCTTTGGCTTAATTTTTTATTGAACAAAAACATGTGAACATCTTCTGTGTCTTTCACACTAGAAATATTACAATTTGGTTCATTGTTTTCAAGCAAAGTGTTAGGGAAGTAACATCCCATAAGCAATGTAGATGTTCATATATAAACAACCTATGTAATTAATGCAGTAAAGCCATTTAAATTGAATTACTTTAAAAAACAGACAACGAATTAACTGCAAAATAAGACACCATCGCGTGCATAAGAGGAAAACAAAACCTAAAGCATGCAACACACAGGCAACTGAACTCAAAACTTAAGACTGAATCCTAGGGGGCTGAAGACAGCTCACTGCTGATGTCTGCCATCATGCTGTGAATCCAAAGGTCCTTGTCCAACGACGTGTCCACCAGGTAAACGGTCAACTTGCATCGCCACAGCTGGCTTGTCCCCTCTGCCACGCTATCCACCTGGGCCACCAGCGCCCGATCCTCCACGTGATTCCTGAATAACATGGCGGCCTCCTCTGACCACTGCTTCTGTGTCATACCTGCACAACACACACAACCATTAATCACAATGACACCCCCAGCTGCTCTGCACGATGGGAATCAAACCACAGCTGATTGGCTGGTAATGGAATGACTTAGGTGCAGCTCGGTGTTGGAAAATTCCAGAAATATTAAAGTGTGGAAAGTTTCCATGGGAAACTTCCATGCTCATGTTGTATCTATATGTCAAATGATGATTCAGCCCTGTGTCGAGCAAGTCAATTAAATATTGGAAGGTCCCTTGAGACATTCAAGCTAGCAAGTGTAACCTTGGGGTTTAAAGTCAATGACTGACTTAAGAGAAACTCCTATCATTAAAAAACATGGAAATATATATCAAGTAGAAAGCCCAAATCCACATGCTGATCAAGCTACATCAAACAGGGTAACAGCAAGCTAAAAACGCTGACATGTTATAAACTGTTTTACATTATCTTCTGGGTAACTTAAATATAAAATAAATTGCCTCTGCATTATGAAAACGCGACAGAGCATGAAGTCCGTCGGCCCAGACAACAGGAGATGGGAGAACGCACTGTGCGTGCAACGGGTTGTAATTCCTATTTAATGGAATGCATGCTGCTGAATGAGAGAATTCGGATCCATCTGACCTGCAAGTTGTGCAGTGATGGCCTGGAAGGGCAGCTGTCTGAATTCCTCAATCAGGGGCCTGAGGAGGGTACTGCGGACCAGCTCATGTTTGCCGTGGTCCAACTCGAACACAGAAACCAACCCGTTGGTCAGAATCCCCTTCACCTGCACCCGATGCCAACTAGGTAAAGGCACAAATCAGTAAAGCAGTTATTGGGCAATAGCAACCTCTTGTTTTTACATCTTCTCCCTCTTCACTCAATGAGCAGACATCCCATAATCTCTGAGACACATGTAAGTAGTACACGGGCAGTACGCTAGATAATGCATTAATTTAATAATTGTTTTGTCAAGTTGAATTTATCCTCAAATAATTAAGACTGCTATCAAATGAACCTAAAAGTCTTTAAAACACAGCGACTCTGGTCCTTGTGAAACCATTTTAATGCTATTGTGATTTCTTGACCAAATAACCTAAAATAATAAAAATGTGTTAATTTACCATGTTCGTATAAAAGGCACAGGTCCGATATGCGATGTTTGGATCAGGCGCAAACCCATAAACCACCTACTTCTTGTCTATTTTCCCAGCGTAGATCTGTCCTTTCTGGATGCTTTGGGCCGAGTTGGTGTTCAACGTCTGGTTATAATAGAGCATCATCTCCCCCATCAACACCACCAGTTTATGCAGGTCCTGCCATGGCTGCAGCACAAAGTAACCAGGGTGACATGCAACTGGGACGAACACATCCATGTTCTGACCAGGCTGAAAGAAAAACAGGGATTTAATAACAAATGACACACAATAAAAAATTAGTTGTTATTCTGGTATTCTAATGCATTCTGGGGGTTATTTTTAACATTTTCTGTAGGTAATCAATCTACTTCCAAAATACTTGAATAGTAGTATGCACTCTTTGTTGTGGTCAAACGCTGTCAGAATCAATTGTTGCCAAGCTCAGTCAACCCTGATAATTGGTTTTTAGTTTAGAGTCTGGTGACAGTGGAGTTGTGGAGAAATCGGCACATAAACAGTTGACGGGTCATAAAATTCCAAGTATGATTGTTAGTAGCCTGAAGAAAAGCATGTATATTTTACATCTACTCCCCTAACAAGCCAAGTAAGCCCCTACTAAGACTTTGGTACCCCCCCTCACCTGGGGCAGCTCCAGAGGGGGAGGCAGTGGAAGTGTCTTGGTAGTCACATCAGCAGTGGAGGCGACGTCTGCACCGCGAAGAGCTGCGGTTGGCGGTTTGGTGATGGGGCTCGAGTCCAGGCCGCCCAGAGTCAACTTCTCCACTAGAGCACTGAGACCTTGTCAATTGAAAGAAAAAACAAAAAATGACATGAAACAATTTCTATGCCCCAATACTTCGACTTCACATAGTGGATCAGTTTGGAGTACAAACTTTCAAAAAGCTACAGTTTGACCAGACGCGCACGAAACCCTGCGGCACCTCGAGAGGATTTTGTGTTTTATGCAGTTTCTTTAGCGGTGTTACCTGTGTCTCCGCTGCTGGTGCTGCTGTTGTTGTTGTCGTCGTGGGCTGCGAGTGTCTGCCACCACTCTGCATGCGCCAGCTGGTGGTTGATGCTCTTGTCCCGCTCCTGACTGTCGGCACCAACAAAGAGGTCCATGTAGACCAGCCGGTCCTCTTTGTGCTGCTCCAATTTTGAGATCTAACATACACAAAAGGTTATAGGTGATTGTTTTGCTCTTTTCTCCAACAAAACTATACTTTGAAGTTTGGACCCCACCCCTCCGCCAATAACGGTCATTCTTTATGGTACATCCCAAAAGGTGCTCCATACAATAGTCGGGTGGGGGTTAACTCTGTTACCCTCATTTTACAGTCCTTGGAGCCCATCACAGCCTCCTTCACCCACAGAACGGCCTCCGGGCTCCAGCCTCCCTCTGGAACTGTGACGTTAGCCAGGCGACATTTGATGGCCTGAAGAGATACACAAACACACAAAAATAAAAACTTCACGTGTATTACAAACTGTTTTAAACCGCACATTGGCATCATTAAAAAAAAGTGTATATATTTGCAATCCTCAGTTTCCTTAGTCCTCAGTTTTCAATTAGTGTCCCCAAAGCCAAAATTAACCAAACTTGGCTTTTTTTTTTATTCCTCTGAAAAAAGGCTAAATGATTATTCAAAAATAGAAATAGAAAGAAAGGCTTAAAATGTGTTAGACAGAAAGGTTAGCCTCTACACCCATTAGTTCCAGACACAAACACATGCACACCTGACCTGCGGCGGGATGATGGCGAAGTCGTTGAGGAGAAGAGGGGGGATCTCTCGGAGATTAGTGACCTCTACAGTTGCTGTGACACCCAAGTCGATGAAGAGGATATCAATCACTCGGTTTCCATAGACGTTGGTGATCTGAACAAAAGCAACAACTTGCGAGTGAGAAATGCCACATCAAACAGTCAAGTCGACGATGCAATATACAAATACTTGTCCAAAAACCTTAAAATGTTTTCAATGAATAAACTGGAATGATTGGGTTCTTACCTCCACTCTGGACCACATTCCTTTGTAGCAGGACAGACAGAACTTGCCACTGAAAGGCCTGGACACTAGCAACTCCGAAGTCATCAGCTGGGAAGAATGACAAAACACACAATATTAAAAAGAACCTCTACCTTTCCAGAGAGGACTTTTGTGGTTGTAAAAATAGCTAAAGCCAACGCATATATAATAAATAAATACGCCAACTCATGAGCTAAAACTGGATTGTCACATCAGAAGCCAATAAAAAGAATAACTCTGCCGTATTGCATTAGGAATCAGCAAGGTAGGTTGTGGTATCAAAGGCAACGCGCTAGAAGGGTTTCAGAGACGTGTGGCACCAGTATCGTGTGTGTGATTCAGGGTGAGTTTACGTGTGCTGCAAAATATTTGGATAAAGTCATCGCTCCCCATTATACCATTTCATGTAAATGATCTCAAAACCTTGTTTGGCTGCCTCTGGGACAAAAACAGAGCATAGAACCCACGTCACAGGCCTGTTCTTATAAAGCACTTAGAAATGCGCCGTACTCACTGTGGCCATTCAAACAGGACTATTTCAAACTTGAGGAAGCAGCCCACTGAACAGACGCCAGGAAACTGCACTGCTGACATGTTATATGCAACTCAAGCACAACACAAAGTGCTCTACAACTAGACAAAGTGCAAATGGGGGACCTGAGAAGTGAAGAGAAACTCAGTTTCTTCCAGCAACTTGCTGAGTCTCGTGGTTCCTCTGGAGGGCAGCTGGCAGTAGAGGAGACCATCTGCACACACATTTGTGACACGCACATCCTGATAGGTTACATGTACCTACAGGCAACAGAGAGATTATGGTTAGGTAACACAGGGAGGGTTGATGACAGGGAGGACCACATAATCAAGGCCGACCAGCTGCTGGTTTTTATGCCAACAGAATGAGCCAATTGGGACCGGTATACATTTTTGTGATCCAACTACACAGACTAAAAAGAGGGTTCAACGCCTCAACAGCACCGCTCACTGGTCGAAGAAAATCAAAAATATTATAAAACCATGTACGTTTGTTAAATAGTATTTTTCCAACTGCTACGGTTAGGTCTCCTTGGCAACAGACTATTTGTAGTTAGCGCCACTATCCTTACAGTCAGAGGGTTGCTCATGGTCACATCCTGGAGAGCCTTCAGGCAGATGGAGTTAATGTTGACATCATCATCCTGCGAGGTGTCGTACAGCACTGCAACGGGCGTCTCATTCTCTCGACAGGGCTCCAATTTCTCCATCAGCAGAATCTTGCTGGCTGCCAACTTGTCCAAAGAAGAGAGCACCACTGGATGGGAGGTGAATGCCTCTAGGCCTGGGAGAGAAATGGAAGAGGTGAATGGTGGGAAGCGGTGCCATAGTCTAATAAATCAAAGAATTTCCATTCGGTTGCGACAAGTTTTTAGCTACATCACTTACACAAAAGCAAGTTGTAAACTCATTTCTATATCCTCCATGTACCTGCAAGTCCAACACTAATCGCCTGGAAGGGTAGAGAGAGGAAGTCCTGGTGCAGCTCCAGCAGATTAGTCCCACTGGTTTCCATAGAGAAGCCATAGTCCACGTAGTATACCTAACAGACAGACAAGGACGGTGTATCTGCCGCCGGTCTCACCAACATATCACAAGCTATATGAACGGATGAGAGGAGTTACCTTATACTGGTTAGGAGGGATGACACCAATGACCTGAGCTCTTGCCAGCTCCTCTCCATCCTCCCACCGGACTGCTACCAGTTGACCAACAACAGGTTCAGGAAGAGGATGGTGGGTGGAGCTTTGGCTGTAGAAAGACGCCATGGCTTCCTCCATGGCTTCCTGGGCATCGGAGTAATTTTCACCTACATACCTGATGAGAAAGAAAGGTTTCTCTGTGTGTGCATGTTCATTGCATTAACAAAGCAGCCATGAGTGGTTGCTCATATGTTGTATGCGGATACGTTATCGTAGTTATGTCATCGTATGGTACAAGCAGTTTGACATAACTATTTTATCTGCACATGTAAACAAGCCTGATGGTGTAGCTGGGTGTGTACAAACACCCAATATGTTGACTCACTATTTCCATACTGTACAGAACCTCAAGTCTGTTGCATTTTATTAGATACATTTGTAATGATGATGATCAAACCCGCAATTTTTGGGATGTGGAAAGATTAGATTGACAACTGCTAGACTGATGTGCGTCTCACCTTAAGGTGATATCATTGCTTCCCTTGACATTGGTAATGAGAACAGAGGGGTACTGCTCCGAGGGAAGAACCAGACAGGGAGGCACCACAGGACCCAGGACCTCCAGACCCGAGGGAAGGGGACGGCCTTCATGACCTGGTGTGGCTTCTAGGTCAGCTGTTCCTGAGTTGTACAAGATGGCCTAGCAACAGGAAATACACAAAACTCTATAGAAACCGCTGAGCAGGAAGGACGTCCCTAAAGTCCCTTAAGAATTCAAATTAACAGTGGAAAATACATAATTCCGATTGAATAAACAATCCCAATTTAAGCCACACAAGTTCATCAATCAACTGAACGTTTCCTCCAATTTAACAAGACTCACTTGTCCTCTGATTTGAGCGAACTTGGGAGTTTAAACTTCAGGTCACCCATGGAGCGCAGTGTGTGGTGTCGTGATTTTAGCAGTGACGACACAGACAACCACCAACTCTCTAAAAGTGGGCTCAGGTGGAGCGGAGCCGCGCTTGGTGGCGCAGCAGACAGCTAGCAATTTGCGACCTGATACAGCAGCGTAAATCCTTCAAAGAATCTCATTCTGGACAGGTAATTTAAGCCAGAGAGAGCAAACTTCCTTTTAACGTGGGCCTCATTGGTATCAAGTGGCCATTCATCCATTCAACTACAGTATTCGGCCACTTCTGCATTGGCTTCATTTCTCAGCAGCGAGCTCTGCTGCTCGGTGTTTAAAGCAACGTCCTTCTGCTCCTAAGGAATTATTTAACGTTGTGTTAATCCTGGACTACACGCTCAATCGCTCACCTTCTTCTTGTCGTGCAGCATGGGGTACTCCACGGTGAAAATATCTTGCAAGACAGACAAGTTGTTCAGGATATTTTCGGGGAAGGGCGTCTTGTATGTGTCCATGAAGAGCTTGGGCAAAGCGTGGGCCCACAGACCCTGACTGTACTTTGACAGAAGCTCCTTTATTCTGTGGCGCACGTCAGCGGACAAAACCACAGCAGCAGCAGACTTCGAGGAATGACATGGGACAGGGCAAGTCCAGTTGGATGCTACGGTCGGACAGTTTCTGTTGCGGTTATTTGCATGCAAGTTCTGATTTTGTTTAAATTCCCTGTCGGAATGTGCTGCAGGATTAACACAGATGGGAAGCTGCGGAGCAAGAGCTGGGTTGCGGGCCGGGCTGCGCAGAGTGACTGAATTTAACAGTGTGCGGGAAGGGGCGGCGGCAGGTTGCGGAGGATAAAGGAAGGTCGGGTTAGCTAAGGGGTTTTGGCGTGTTTCTCTCCGTTTGGGGACAGGAGGAGGAGGGGAGGGGATGGAGGGTTGGTCGGGTGTCGTCGGCCGCGAAGAAACAACTGCGGGGAGGGTTTTTGAATCAGTGGGTGATGTTGGTGGCATGTTGGGGGCGTTTCTTATAGGGACAATATTCGGCTTAGGAGGCACGGGGGGGTAGATCAGACGGTCAGAAGATTGGTCCACCTATAAAAACAAGATGAGCAAGAGGAGAGAGATCCGCATAATTTCCGGTTATGTTTGGTGCAAATATTGGAATAATCATTCTGATGAAACCTCACTTTATTTTTTAAAAGGGTTTTTCTAAAACATCTACCTAAATCAATTTTGATAATTACTCCCCAAATCCTGGATGTGTGGTCTGTAAAGGCCTCAAACCCAAGACTCCGAGACAAGGCTTCATAATATTGAACTGACGGGGGGGGGTACAGTGATCTACTGACTCACCTTGGTGATGTGCATCCAGTTTTTCAGATCAATGAGCACCTGAGGGTGAAGCTTCTGATTGAACATTGCACTGTACAATTCCGGTAGTTTTGACATCCACAATCCACTGTGGTATTTCTTCAAGAGCTGAGTTATTCTGCTCTGCACCAGCTCCACGTCATACAGAGACGACTGCTTGGGGAGAGGTCACATGATCAACCACTAGAAGTCTGTCCCTGTGCTTTTGAGAGAGTTCTCGAATCAAATAGATTCAATAACACACAGATGTTACAAGATATCGAATAAACTTATTCAATGAGCCGATCTAAAACAACTGTTGACGCCCCGATCGGGGTGTGGCAAGTGTGCCATGTACATAAACATCATGCAACAAAGAAAATGAGAAAAAGTCGAAGGTGAGAGCTTGTCTATTTGTGAACAGCCTGGCTGTTTGTTTTTTTTAAAAACACTAAATATGAAAAGATAAATCTTTTGATTTAGTCTCAAACATTTGCACATGCATTTTATCAGGGATGTAATTAGAACACAAAATTGAATGCACTACAACTCAAACGGTCAGGTCATTTTGTGTCAAATGAGACACAGTAATCACAGATAAATGAAAATGTTTGTACCTGGGATTCGCTGAGCCCGGAGACTTGTTCAGGAGGTTTCTCTTTGAAACATTCTACAAAAGAAAAAGGTAACAAAGTAATGTTAACAAGTGCTGATATCAGTAAACACAGTGAATTACCTTTAAACGTTTAAGTCTTTGCATAACTCAATTTTTGTTTAGCAGTGTTGCCATGACAACTATCGGCTGGACTATTCATTGTGTCAAAATGCATTTTTATTTATCTTGAGGTGTCCGGGGGCAATCCCTCAGAAATATGATCTAAATTTGGCAAATGGTTTTGGACAGATAAAAATAAAGATTGTCTAGGAATGCAGCTGTGGGATGCTTGAAAATAATTTGGATCAGGACTGTGTGGCCCAGTTCACAGTTTTAACAGACTTGCGCAGTGTTAATTAATCTTTTTAGATGTTTACTACAATCCAGCTTGTGGATAAGTAACATCACGATTCTGAAAAGGGCAAAAAACATGCAGCCATTAAACAAGTAAATTATACCCCTAATCAGATAGTTAATAAATTATGCAATAACGCTGGTTCTATTAAAAAGGAAATCATTGGGTCCTACTTGCCTTTGGGTTTCTGACGGTTTGCCGCGTTCTTCTCTTTCCTGTTGGAAACACAGCAGTCTGTTGAGCATATTGTTCTTTACACAGAAACAAGCTGAAATTCAATACAAACTTCCTGCTGTGGTTCTTGATCAAATGATACGTTAATGGTCCATATTTTGAAACTCCAATATAAAAAGTTTTTTTACTCTACAACTTATTTTTTGTATTCAAAAGTAAGAGTTGCTTTTAAACTGCTCTACTTACACAAATAATATATGAAACCACAAAGCAGATCTTTGATTTGACAGCAGAGTTTAACTGCATGTGTGTGTTCACCTGTCAGGCATCGAACACTGGTTGACAGCTGGTTGAGGAGCCGGTTGTCTGTGCTCGACTGGGGTGGCAGAGCTTAACCTCTGGTCCAACTGCCTGTTTGAGCATAAACACCACCAAAACCCTGGTTCATTTGTTTTGGTATTTGCTTGACATGACACACAGACTGAAGAATGACAGAAAATTGTCTATAGATGTTGAAACTACTCTTAATCATTGCCTGATGAAGACTGTTATTTAGTACCTGTAGTCTCCTGAAGCGCTGGAGCCGCTGTTGCCTCCATGAGACCAAGAGCGGTTTGCTTGCGAATGAACGGCCCCAAAGGCTGTAGGTTGGCGGAGAGAGGACTTTGGCCTCACTAAATGCATGGAAAGGTAGAAAATATGTTATGCAGGGTGAAAGAAGGAGGTGGAACACAAGTAAAAGGTCAGAGGTAAATTTTACCGGCATCATTGCTTGTTTGAAACAAACTTCAAGGGTCTCTTACCATTAGGGCAAGACATTTCAGGAATATTCAAAACTTGAAACTTGCCATGGGGATTAACACAAAAAAAGTGGAAGTTTTGAGGTAATTTAACAGTATTTGCTTGAATGACAAGGTAAACACCTTGTCATAAGCAGACGTGCATGCAAATATTGTTTTATCCTGAACCCATGAATGAAATTAACTTATTTTCAGTAAATACTTTTATTTATAAGTCAGCCAACTTAATCACTCAAAAGAAAGAAAGAAAAAGAAAGAAACAAATCGGATCTAATCTGCTGACGGGCTCTTTCTGCCCCTCTGCAACCCCACTTACCATTGAGCATGTACGGGTTTGAAGGTTTGAATCGCAACTTGCAGTTAACAATTTGAGAACGATCTGATTTCTTGGAGCTCTTCTGCTTGGTCACCAGCTCGGCAATGTGAGCCGTCTCTTTACACACGGCTGCAAAGCATCTTATCTACAGAGCAGATCCATATTATATTATTATAAACTGATGACCTACAAATCCCACTTGATGGAATCGTGTAGGGATGCAAATGAACAACCAGGGGGAAATGAATTTATAGATTTAAATTGAAAATAGGTTAACACCACTCACCTCACCCATGCGGTTCTCCAGGCGGACCACAGAGGGGATACTGCAGAGGTAGTCCTTCAGGTTCGAGTAGCCCAGCGCCCTCAGCGGGATACTCTCTCCGCACAGCAACAGGTAGTCTGACTGGAGGGTGCTGATGGACACACCGTCCTTACTGGACTGAAGTACAGACCGCAACATCTTTTTGATAGATTCGCTGTCCGCCATCCTGGTACCAAAAGTTACTCTGTACTCTGAGAAACTGCTTCTGTCTGGAGGGGTCGCACACAGAAAAAAAACACAAGCAGGAGCTAAGTAACTTACCACTGTAGAGTTGAAAGACAATAAGACAGTCATGACTCCACCACCCCCACAGCGTAATCAACCAGCCCCCCCTCACCCAGACAATCGGGCACCTCTGCACCACCCCCCTGCACCACCACCCCTGAGTGTCACCCCGCTGCACACTTAAATACACTCACCGTGTAGCGTATGGTTATGAGTTTGCATATAATTGTAAATTAAAAAATTTAAGCACCAACCACCACGTCAAATTCCTAGCATGTCCAATATAATTTGGCGATAAATGTGTTTTATTTTGATGCCGAAAAGTTTTTCAAATGAGTGCTTGAATTTAAAAAAAGTTGAAGGATCGAACATTCACTTTTCACTGTAAACCGGATATTGGAGTTTCTTTGCAAAAGCTTACTTTAAAAAACCGTGCGGACCAGGAAACGGTGAGGCCGTTAGCTTAGCTAGGTTTTACTCGTTTAGGCTAACGTTAGATTTCGAGCAACAAATCGGAGCATTTGCACTTGTATAAGAGACAGGCGGTCTCCAGCCACACGGCGACGCGAATTGTCACACGAAAGATGTTGTTCGGGAGGTGTGAAGCAACGGAGCACCAGACTCTAGTATCCAAGGTACCTGCGGCTACAGTCCGACAGCGGGTGTCGGCCCGCCTGCTCGGCTACGAAGCGGCCCGCGGGCCACAATGGCGGCTCAGGCCAACGTTCGTTACCCGCTAAAGTTAGCTTAGCACGGAATTAAGTTGTTTTTATTTATTTTTAAGTGGTTTAAGCAATTTACCTCCGACAAACCAGCCACACATGTCGGCAACGTGTAATAATGTTAGCTCAACGTTAAAGACAGACAAATATATTTACGTCGACTTACCTTTTAACCGTTAACATTAACCAACCGACGCAGTGTCTTCTTGCGATCAAAGTGTCGCGTGCTCGTGCTCGTGCACTGGCACACGTTCACGCCCACAAGGTCAAAACGTCACCGCCGGTTGTTCACATTTTAGCCCGGATTATTTTTTTTTATCTAACCAACTAATAAGTTAATTTGAAATGCATTTAATGCGCACTTTTTATCTGATCGGCGAGTCGATTACGCACAAGGCAGTCGTTGAAAATTGTAGTATTACCGTTAGCTAATCTCGGTAACTTTTAGGTAGTAGCTAGCTTAGCATTAGCTAGTATTAAAACATGAATAGAAGTCACGTGTATTTTTTGTGAATCGAGCCCGGGCATTTGTATTGTACAATTTGTTTTTTATTCAAACTGACAGCATCTGTTTGCAATAACATTTAAAACCTACACATACACAGCTGAAGTTTACACACGCTTGTTTTCAATGTGCGCCGAGCTCTCTTCGTTTGCATCAGCACCACCAAACAGCAATGAGAAGTTACATGTTTATGTTCATTTAAGAGTCTTTCGCCGGTGTGATGAGTATCTCTGGTGGAGGCTGTGACTCTGCTCGGTGGTTCTGTGTTTTGAAGGCCATGACTCGAGCCTGCACCACCGTGTCTGGATGAGGAGATGATGATGATGATGTATTTAATGTGGAAGATGAAGACAGGTGGTGCTTCCTGAGCAGGATCAGGGTGGGGTTCCTCATTAAGGTATAGCACAACATCCAACGCCGCCTTGCTTGGCTGTTCACTGGGGATTCTGTCCAAAAGTATAGTAAAGTTAATAATCACCTAAACAAAATAGTAGTCCCAATAAAAATAATAATAGTCAGAATAAAAAATACATAAATTATACTGTGATAAAACACAAACCTGCATAGGCTCAAAGTAAACTGTATGAAATACATTTTGACAGCTAATAGTAAATCTTAACAGAGAGATGGAAGCATTAGTTATTTAGTCGATGGTTGTTCACGTAAGAGTTACAAATACACACACACGCACATTCTGACACTACCCACCAGATGGCACGTTGTTGAATGTGGAGTATGCAGACGCGGTGTGTTTGTCCAGTGAGTTGGAGACCAGCAGCTGGCAGAAGCACACCATAACTGGATTGCTATGATAGTGGTCAGCAAAGATCATCCCAATCCAAGTGCTGTAGCCTGGGACATGCAAAGTCACGTTAGAGCCGCACACACAGTATAACTGAGAAATAGCTCTAACTTTATATTATACTCAACATCTTTTGGAATATGATGTTCAAACTGGGGGGTGGAGGGTAGCTTATGAAATGCTCATCTTTAATGATGATAGAAAGTGTTACATTGTAATGTCAAAAGACCCACACCATCACATAATAACAGCAGAGCATATGTAAAGAAATACAGGTTTTAACAACGAGACAACTTCTTGAACGGCTTTACCAACATTTCACTTCTGTCAAACACTCGTCTCGGTTTAATTGCGATTTACCAGCATCGATGGTTTCATATCCTCGTTGCATAATGCTCCTGTCGATGCGGGACACCAGCCACGTTCCCACCACAATGCTGCACAGCAGCCTCAGTACGCAGTTGCTGATCCCCATCACCACGTTGTAGAAAAAGAAGAAGTAGTTGAAGCAGTGGAACGCCTTCCTGGAGCGGAGGAAGAGAAACTGTGATTTCAGAACCCTTAGAATGATTTAAAATTGTTGTATTAACAGGATTTTTTTTTCCACACAGGGAAGTTTGTTGTTTTGTGTCTCTTGTTGATGGTTTTCCTTCATTGTGAAATTGATTTTAGATCACCGTCTATCAGAATCACAACCATCTATTGCCACCATTTATTATTTATTAAGGATTTTCTTATTGAATAATAAACATACATACACAGAACCAGACATCTTCACAAGTGCAAAAAATCCAAGAATAATGTTCCAATGTGACACAAAATAATGCCTTCCCAGCGTCACATGCTGCTTCCTGTCAGACAGGAAGTCTGTGATCCACCTGCAGGAGTGGGTCGGTAAAGGACACCAGGTGGGACAGGACCAAGCGTTCAATGTCCCTTTCTGAATTTCCTCATCACAAGTTTAGAGTTTTAATTTCTGCCTGTAGGAAGGAGGGACAGATGGACGTGGTCACAGTGTCCCAGGCAGCGCGTGATAAGCAGCGCTGATAGTGGCGTAGCAGTGTTCTAAAATGTTCTCCTCTCGTGTTGGGCATTTAACAAACTGTTTCTATCAAGTTAATGGCATGAGGTTTCTTTTGTTAAAATCACCAAGAACAATATTTTGGGAAAATGAATATATGGTTCATTGTAAGTGGACAAAAGGTCTGCGACCTACTGAACTGATCCGGGGTTTTCCTGAGATAAACCGATAAGGAGGATTTGTGAAGCAGGATCAGAGTATTGTGTTAATTATTAAGTTTTATGGCCTGGGGGAAACAACGTTTCCCTTCAATCTCCTTCACTCCTTCATGAATGACAATGATTTCTCTCTCTCTTTGATGTGGAGGTGACCTGCAGGAGCTGATCCAGCCCTCCCTTCCCCATGAGGGGGGGGGGGGGGGCACAGATGTGTCCAAGGGGGTCCGCGGAGGTAATTTTGACTCTTCCTGGTTAATAATCCTCCTTCAATGACATTCTGTAGGCCTCTAACACTTTGGGTCCCTGGGTCTGTTCACCAACGTAAAAAATGTTAAAACTTATTTGCTTCACTATCGCATTGTGTCCTCATACAGACCCCAGCTAATAACTGAAATTATCTCTGCATTACCACAGTGTTTGCTGCCAAATGGAGCTCCTGGTTTAAGGGACCCTTTTGGAACATCCATAGTGAAATAACCCACCTGTTGTTGAGAGCCAGAGGCTTCTGTGTATCCGTAGGGGACATTTTGTCCTGCAGGAAGAAGATCTGAACCAGAGCGATCTGGAGAATCACCAGACCAATGACCAAACATATGGTAAGACTGAGGAGACACAGGAACAAAAAGAATCATGAAAAAATGTGTCAATCTAACCGTCCATTCACATGCCATCATACCCGCGGAACCACGAGGAAAGGAGCCTTACGCTATGATGCCCAGACTGCTGAGCATGCTTAGTGCTTTTCCGTGCACTACGGGAAGAACCAGCACATAGACAAACACCAGAGCAAACAGGAAGTAGACAAAGTGGACTATCAGGTAGCCTGTAGAGAAAATACAGAAGAGCTAGGTCACCGAAAAGGAAGTTACTGCCTAAATCTCCCCGTTACTCCCTCGCATTCCCTTCCATAGGCTTGGGAAAACGTCTGGCTTTGGAGAGAAAGCAGGGAGATCGGTTGTGGGTTCAGGTAGGCGGTGCTGATGTGTATTTGCTCAGTCTACGTATTTGCAGGATATGAATAGCTTACCCCACAATGTAAACGCTATCTGCCAACCAGAGTATCTTGCGATGGAAGCCTGTGAAGATCAAAGGCAAACTGGTTTTAATGCATTAAATGAGATGCAAACATTCACTCGTGCTCTGCATATTTGAAACCCCCAGAGACGTGCCGACACAATAAAACATAAAAAAAATATGTAGATCAACCACGGTGACCTTAAAGGACAATGTCCCACACGTGGATGCTGAATTTCAAGCATTTTGTGCCAAGCTGAACTTTGATTTGCCATAAAGTCGCCTGCCATCTGCTGTGTGTGTGCGTATGTGTGTGTCTTACTTACTACGCTGACTGCGGAGCGAGGGTTGTGAAATTTCTCTGGAAGAAACCCCTTCTGCCCTTTCCACAGCCTCTTCATGTGTTTTCTATGGTGACGGTATTAGTCAGTAGTTGTTTGAGTTTTTTGTAATAACTGGTTAAACAATCCCATTTAATTTCCCATTATTACATTGATTTTGTTTGTTTTTGTAAAATACATTTTGTGCATACATCGTACATCAGGTATCTTACCTGTAACAAGCCAAGATATGGAAGCAGTAGGCTACAGAGTTGAGACTAGCAAAGATGGTGGTAGCCAGCCAAGATCCTGGAATAATAGACAACAACGACTGGACTGAGTTTCACCAGAGCTCAGCGCATCACCGTGCAGATTAGTCCATTTCTCATTGGAAATCACCAGAATACCCATGAATGAAGAATTAATCACACATCCCCCTATGAGGGCGCAGCAGACCCACTCACTTCTAGCCACTTCGATGAATTCTTCCAGCTGTGGTATCACGGCTCCCAGAGCTTCAGTCTCGTTACAGGACGTAAGCAGCTGCTTCAGCGTATCCTTCCACCGGTCTACATGGTCAAAAGCCACATTACTGAGACTGTAGTCGGCCAGCGTCATCTAGATAAATGACAAAATGACTATTTAAGACCTTCTGCACATGCAAAGAGGAGGAGGTTTTGTGGATCAGGTTTACAAAAGCAAAGTGTATGTCCATTGGATTTTCGTCTCGCTTTACCGTGTACAGGCCTATTAGCGAGATAACGACCGTGCCGATGATCCTGTTGGGGAACTTGAAGTAAGGGTCCCACTCATACCGGAGCCAGCTGCGCCGTTTACTGCCATAAAGAAAAGCATTCGTTACTGTACGTTGACGTGCTGAATGCTGAATTCTGGTGCTTGAAAATGTTACTATAGCTGAGATGATTGTTGTGCGTTGACATTCATCTACATATAAATGCGATCAAGAAGTTTCTGCATATGTATGTATGAAATATGAAATAAACGAGACATAGTCAGTGACTGAACCGTAGTACAAGATATTAAGCGGCAAGTGGCGGCAGCGTTTGTTCTACCTGTGAGCCGGGGTTTTCCTCAGCAGTCTCTTGACGTGCTGCACCTGATGCTGCCCTATCAGCTCTGCAGGATCCTAGCCGCAGATTCAATAAGTCACACGCAGTTTATTGTGTTGAAAAGTCTGATTCTGTTCACATATGCACTATAAGATGCAACAGAATGGTTGTTAGGATTTTCTTCATGAATGCAACATGAAACTCACTTATTGTTTACATAGTTTTGCCCAAAGGGGAAACGCACAGTAAGAACAGTTTTAATGAGTTCCCACATGCTGACCTCCTGTTCCACCTGCAGATGTATTCGAACGGCTTTCACCAGAATATAGATAAATCTTCCCAATAGGAAGACGAGGGAGAGGATGCAGGGCCACTGGACAATCAACTTCTGGTATTTACCAAGAATCTTTAAAACCACAGAAACAAAGTCATTCATTCATTTATCTTGCCATGAACATAAATAATTAAGCAAACGGGCGACTCGCCAAATGTTTTGGAGCCCAAGTGTAGGAAGAGGCTTCTTTCCTTGTTGGCACATTGACACTAGCCTGTGTGGTAGTTTAAATACTCACCTACCTTACCATCAGGACAGGTGAATGTATCCCAGACTGTCACCATGATCCTGAAAGAACAAGCATCGAAACGTGTGTTGTATGTATGATGTATCTTTTACCAACTCAATACAGCCCGACCTATGTTACTGTTTTTACATGCTTTTACAACGAGGTGCGAGATCACACTCAATATTTCCAGACATTTACCAGGACAGGGAGTAGAGTATCCCCAGGACGGCCCCGGTTTTTCTGAAAGGCGTGGACAGACAGGCAAAGAAAGGGAAGAAGACCAGGCCCACCTCTAACGCTCCAATCAGATACACTACAGCTGAGGAGTATAGCAAGGAAAAACATCAGTCGGCGTGCTTATTTCACTGGGTCTGCAAGGGGAACGGGTGTGAATAGTGGAACCTGCAGGAGTACCTCGGGCCCACGACGGGACGGGGAAGAGGATGTAACTTTCAGAGAAGAGCAGCAGGACGCTGGAGGACACGGCGCCAAATGCAAACCCGTAGGACCAGCGGTTACTGAGGGTGCCGATACTATCCAAAGGCCTGGGACACAGTCACATCAGAAACACAAACATGGCTCTTTTATCTCTTGACATTTACAGTTGTTGTTGTTGCTGTTGCTGTTGACTTACACAACGATACCAAAGCGTCCCTCCAGGAACGGCAATCTGCGGTCGATAGACAGTCTGTGGTCTCTCTTCTGGAGGAACGACAGCACCCCAACGATCAACACCTGGACCACAAGGAACCAACGCAAAGACACAACTCACTGGAAAAATCCTTTGTTTGCATCGCTGCAACTGTGTGAGAGTGGAAATATGCTCGAGGTATCAGGAGAACTGAACTGTGGAGTCATCAGCGACTTTGGTCTTATCAAAGGTCGGCTCTTTGATTGTACACTTTGGCTGTGTTGTGCTCCACTTATTGGTGTATTTGTAAGACACCCTCTAAAAAGAACAATTTAGGTTTTTGTTTTTTTCTTTCTTGTTGAGAGAAATTGTCTGTCAAACAGAGGAAGTCACGGAACGTTAAAAGCGTGAACTTACTGCTGGTACGAGTGAAAGATGAAGGAAGAGGTGCATAGAGATTCCACCCTGACAGTCCTGAGCCTCTGCGACCCTGCAGGTTGTAAGAACACAACACGCGTTATTTGATTTAAAAGAAGCTCCACTGTAGCGACACCAAGCAGGATGGAACAAGAATGAACTAAAAAGCTATAAAAAGCTAAACTATATTCTACATACATATATACATAAGTCCAGAGCAGTATTTAAAGTCTGTACTCACTCCTCGTTTCTCATCATCTTCGATAAGTTCGTTCCGATGAAAGCGTTGTTCCTGCTCCACTGTAGAGAGGAAGGAAGACCGAGGACTCACTGGATCGCTCCACCGCTTCCTGGTTACAATCATGTGACTCACACATTTGACCTTTGACCTTAAGGCACCACCTTTACTTTCTCTTTTTTTGATGTCCTCTCTCGCAGTGCGTTGCTCTGTGCGTTGTTCGCCACTCCATCTGCTCTTGCTCTCACTGTTTGTTTTCACCACACGCACACACACACACACAAACATACCAGAACACCGCTGAGTTATTCAGTACATGGAGGGTAAACATTGCTCTCTCCCAAAGCGATAACCCGCCGGCCGTTCACCTTCTGCGTTTACTTTGCAGAGAAATGCCTGCAGGATATCTTACCTAAATCCATTTCTGCTCAAATGGAAAAGAAAAAACAAAGCTTCTTCCTCTTTGTTGTTGACTTGTAAGAGATATGGATGCTATTGTTCATATAAACTAAACAAATTAAAATAATGAGGCCGTCATTGCTCGTTAACATTTATTACTCATTGCAATTTAGAGACACATTTGGAAATGGCAATTTCACAGATCCATGTTGGGTTGATAATCAGATCCTGAGTGGTGAACTTCAGCGATGACATCATCTCCTGCATGCACCGGTCAGCAGCTCTCCTCTTTGGCAATCAAAATGTCCACCCTGGTCGTTCTGGAGGGAGGAATGTGACAAGGTAAGTGGCTGCGCCGTGTTCCGTTTTCTGGAAATCACAACTTATATAAACTCTGACTAGTAACTGTGGGAATAAAGTGTAAAATCCATCGGAGGGGTTTTAGCGTTTTGTGTGTAATAGGTTTTTGAAAGACTGAGACCAAGTAAAGAGATGGAGAGCACTTTCTAAAAAGAGTGACTTCACCCCCAAAAGACCATGAACGTGGAATCTGGAGAGGTCTTGACAGAAGCAATCAAACAAAATAATTATTATACCGCCTCTCTTCAAGGCATGCAAGATTGCTTTGCTATATTTCTGTCACTTTGAAAGGCTCACAAGCAGAATCATCTTGACATTTGTGTGTTTCTAAACATTTTGGTGGTTATTATTCTGCAGCAATGAAATGGAAAGAGACGAGTGACGGGCAGGACAGTGAAAGCTTCCGTGGCTGCCGTCAGCCACATCAGGGGTTCAGCACTGTGCTGCAGGTCGTTTACAGAGATCCCCCGCCAGGGGGGACTGCAGCCTCCTTGTGCGCCATACAACCCGAGCGGCCTGTGTGAAGGCGAGCGGGCGGCAGCTGCGCCCTACTCACTGTCTCTGCACGCACAGCGTGCACTCGTTGGCGTAGGTGATTCCATCGGTGCCGCACACGGGGGCGAGGTTCAGAGGACACGCCAAGATCTCGTGAGTGTCCGGGCAGGACGGCTGCCAGGGAGAGAGACACACACACACACACACACACACACACACACACACACACACACACACACACACACACACACACACACACACACAGGATCTAATGTGACTTAATTATCTCAATATTTAACCTGGAATAAAGCTCACACATGTTTCAAATGGATGGAGGGAAATAGTTTATATTTGTTTACTTTTCATATCAGTCACTCTCTTACACTTTCTTACAAGTACACACACACACACACACACACACAGCCCACCTTCCTCAAGTCTCCAAAGTTCTCAACACCTGTAAACAAAGCAGATGACGTAAGCAAACCACTTAATACCTAATGAATACAATTATGTAACTGTATTACTATGACATTGACTTACACATGATTCTCCATCTCAAACACATGTAAGAAGCCATGAGTTAAAAATGCAATGTAAGTCGCTTTGGGTAAAAGCACCAGCTAAATGACCTGTAATGTGAGTATTTAAAATACCGTAAAATGTAAAAATCTTTCATCTGAAAAAACTTTCAAATGAAAGTTGGGGGAATAAGAAAAGGGGGAATTGTTTTCTTAGACACAGAGTTTCATTTTATTGCATCTCAAATTCAATTTGTCAGAGCAGTTGTTTCAACATCAACAGAAGTTTAACAACCCTCAAAATACAATTCAAAATGAACTTGGATAACAATTTAAATAAAAAAATCTTTCTTACCTGTGGAGACACATATGAGCAAGAGTCCCAGAAAAACCTCCCTCCCAATCATGATGTTGTCGTATGAATAACTGACAGAAACCTCTGAGCGTGTGTGTTTGCTGGCAACATAATTGTGTGTGTGTGTGTGTGTGTGTGTGTGTGGGAACACAGCAGGTGAAAAGAGACACACAAGCAAACTCTAGAAATCTATCGTCATCAGCACACAAACACACACACACAGACACATTTACAGTCATCTTTTGTTCGGTCAATATACAAACTTCTATTTGACAACAAGCTTTGTTGTAACAGCAGACAAAACAAGACAAACAAAATGCAAAATAATCAATGCGGGAGATGTTATTTTTTTCCAAAACGGATGATTTTATTTATTAATGTAAAGAGTAACTATACACAATGCGTAACAGACTCAAACAGCTGTTTAATACTTACAAATGTAAACAAAATAACAATATAGAGCATGAGAAGAGAAAAATCGTAATTCTGTCGTGCACGTCTCTCTTTATCTCACAGCTGTCTCCACTCTTCCCTCCTGCTGTCTTGGTCACCTGTAAGCCTGCAAATCTCCATTTCAAGTTTCAAAGCAGTGGTGCAGCTTCATTTCGTCTGAATTAAACCGGTGTTCAAAATGGTTCAAATTGACCAGAATCCCCAGTAATACGTCTTTGACACGACGGGCTAGGAAGTCTATAAAGTGCTCGCATTCAGCTCGGGGGGCTTCGGTGCGTTCCATGATTCCATGATGACACAGAGAAGCCCGTAGTGACCACGTGTCATCAGCCTAAACCCCCCGAATGCGGTTTCCTGCCCTGTGAAGCATCACAAGTGCAGCTCGAGTCCAGCTGGTCCCTGTTTATGTGCAGTTTTGGCTCGTCGGCTTGAAAGAACAGAACAGAACCTCGAGTCGCGTTCAATCGTTTGAGGCAGTCCGACGTCAGAGTGGCAGCTTATTGAAGTGGACAGACGGAAAGGTTAGAATTTGGCAAAATGACGGTTAAGAAAGAGAAACTGACGGTGGCTGAATGGGAGAGCGAGCACACGTTTGACACAATGTGTGCGTTTTGTTTCAACGGACAGAAGCCTGAAATGAAAGCACAACTTCAACTTTACAGAACAGTTGCCTCCTGCACATGATGCTGGTGGATCAAAGAGATTATATATATATATATATATATATATATATATATATCAGCTCTATTTGGCACAGATACTTGTTGTTCACTCCACTGGTAACATTTGTTTTTGTGTGCACTCAACGTCACAAAGTCTCCACTGTACATAATGTCCACATCGCGCTCCGGCTGTGGTCTTCAACGCTCCCGTATGAGCACGCGTCGCTGGAAAGGTCGCCGTCTTCGATCTGGTACAAGCAGAGCTACAGTTTCACCCGCAGGAGCATTTTCCATCCGACGCATCTCACCGTGAAACAAAAATCACATTTTGATACAGATTGCTTTTCCTTTGTTTTTCTTTTTTTGTTATTACACCAGAATTTGGGATTTAGACTCCACATACACATTATGTGCCAGTAATCCAATAATACTACATTGAAACACAACTGGAGTCCTTTCACAAGCTGACGTCACGGCATGCTTCGGTGGAAAGCATGCAGGTACACGTTGTCCAATGAACTTTGACAACACCCGCTTGGAATTCCTTTAGCGATCACCAGCTTTGTCTTGAAGTCCCAACTGCAAGTTTCCAGTGGTTTGAAGAGAGCAGGGCGAGGATGCGCATCGTGTACAGACATCAAGCAACCACGCAATTTTTTTGTTGTTGTTTGTTTTGTTTTTTGACGATGAAGGACACAGATATAAAAAAAAAAAAAGTTTCATTCATCATCATCACAAAAAGCCCCCTTTCTTTTGGGCTTCGATGGTATCTGGTCAGTCGTATACATTCCTGGGCAGCCTACATACATTGTTGTTGTTGTTTTGAATGGAGTGCTCAGATTTCTCTCTCCACCTTGATACAGTATAGGCACTGTGCTGGAAAATGTCAATGACACAAAGAACGCAAAGAAAAACCTCCTCAGAGGTTCAGTTTTTCTATTAAAATGAAATGATCGTAAAAACAAATTAGTACAAATTATTATGTTGCATGATTGTGACTGAAATCAACTGGATTGAAAATTCTTTTTTCCCGGCGTTGGCTCGATAAAAACAACTGCTCTCGGTAACAAAGAGAGCGCTCGGGAGAGGTTTGCCCCTGAATAAAAAAGTAGTCAGGCCGTGTTCCAGCAGTTGGCAGTGAATGATCTGGATTCCTTCTTGTTACGCTGTGGTGCCTTCGTGATGCAAGTACACAGTCCCCCCCCCCCCCCCCCCCCCCCCCCGACTACTGCAAACCACGTATGGAACGGGGATTAAAAACTAGACACATTTCCTTCCATCACCCCGGATGCCATGTCCAATGAGGGTATCTGCCGTCTTTTCTTTCATTTCTGTCCGTCTAGTGACGGGGAAGCACCAGTCTCCAAACCTCACAGGAATATCTTTTCTTTTTAAATATATTCATGTATCATTTTTGCATTGTTTTGCATTGAGTTTTCATGGTTTCAGTCCCTGCAGCCTTTGCCTTTCCAAGAGGCTGTGCGCTGAAGTGCAGGTCCATTGGGAAATGCCAATTAAAAAAGACTAAAAAATAGAAATAAAAAAATGACCTTTGTCCCCCCCCCCCCCACAGGTTAGTGGTCCCTGTTGTCTGGGTTGTGGGAGGGTGGGTGAGGCCAAGCGAAGCGATTCCCATGATGCTGTGCTGTGGAATCAGACGCAGCTTTCCCTGGTCTTATTGTCTGTGGGGAAAGGGTTAATCTTGGGAATGTCCACGACCACAGCGTCCCGTTTATTCAGATGGGCCTCTTTCAGGTGGTCCTCGTCACTTTGGTCCTTGGCGAAATTTACAAACACCTGCGGAAGGAGAAAGAGAAATCAGGTAAAGGAAATTAGCCTCAGCACCTACTGAAGTCACATTACAGGTACAGTCGAAGCCGTGTGTTGCTTACTTGGTCTAAAGTGGTCTGTGAGACGGAGTAGTCCTCTATGCTGAGCGCCTCCTTGTTCTTCGAGAGCAGGGAGAAGATGCGGGCGAGGGAGGTGAGGCAGGTGGGCAGCTGGTATTGCAGCATGTTGCGGTGTTTCTCCTTCAGCGTGCTGCCGGGCAGCTCCTGCTCGATGAACTCCATCACGGGCCGGAGGTCCGGGTCGGGGCCCGCCACCCGCAGGATGATGGTGTAGCCGTCGCCGAACCTGATGGGGACACAGCGAAGCACATTTCACTCAACCGAAAAGTGAAAAGTGATACTCTTTCATTTCAAGTCTGAGCTTTTGTTAAATTGGCTGTTCGTGTCCTCACCTGTTTTTGAGATGCTGCACACTTCCCAGACAGCGGAATCTGCCGTTGACCATGATGGCCATTCTGGTGCAAAGTGCTTCACACTCCTCCATGCTGGACAGAAACACACACATGGGCACAACTGGTCAGCCATGTTAACAACAAATGTATGTATAGGTCCATTAATTGAGAAGATGTAGTCCAGATGGCGAGTGGTCTAACCTGTGAGAAGTCAGGACTACAGATCGTCCCTCTTTGATGATGCTCAGGATGGCGTTCCACAGAGCACGGCGGGCTTTAGGATCCATGCCTGTTGTCGGTTCATCCTGTAAACAGGAAGCAACAGACACTCAGCTGCTGCTCCGATTTACGCAAAATAACCCAGAAGTAGTTTGTGTTCTACTGACCAGGAAGACTACAGGTGGTCCTCCAATGAGAGCGATGGCAGTAGACAGCTTCCTCATGTTTCCTCCACTGTAGCTGCCGGCTGACTTGTCCACGTACTTGACCAAACCCAGCTTGCGGATGCCCCACTCTGCCACCTGGTGGACAGGATAAGGTTTTCATGAGTGTCCTCCATTTTCTTTTGTACATGCATATTGACTACACGTGATAAGAGTCTATTTTTGTATATTTGTAACACATTTATACACTTAATGCCTCGGTACAAATGGAAAATAATTAGAAAAATAAGAATCCAAAAGTAGAGTTCATATATTATATATTAAAAACCATTACATCATGTGATAATTAATAAAGTCCATGCAGGAGTTGGTCACTGACCTCACAGACTTCCTTCTCAGGCACTCCTCTCAGGATGGCGTAAAACTCAAGGTGCTCTCTGCCGGTCAGCAGGTCGTTGATGGCATCAAACTGAGGACAGTAGCCCATGTTCTGATGCACCTCATTGATCTCTTTTGTTACACTGAAGAGAGATAAACAGGAACGTGAGTAAGTTACATAGAAAGCAAAAAAAAAAAATAGATATTTTTCCCTAAATAATCCTTGTAGTTTATGTTTTACCACTACTATCTTTATTTAAACTGCTTTGATTACATATTCTTATCTGCCCCCTCGTTGAATAAACAGTATATTGATTATCATACAGATGATTGGATGTATGGGATATTTCCATCATTACCTCTTGCCAGCTAGGAAAGCCTCTCCGCCGGTGACCAGAGAGTCTCCGGTGAGCATTTTAAAGGTGCTGGTTTTCCCGGCCCCATTGACCCCCAGCAGACCGAAGCACTGCAGGATGAGAGGGTATGTTTATGTTCACAGGAGTATTTGACTTTCTTTATGGCCTGCGTTGTATCTGCTGTATCATCCTCTTACTAAACAAAGTTTTAAATAATACACACATTTTTTTTAATCCGTACTACCGGAAACCCTGTGTTTTCCTGCTTTAGAATCACGTCTGTGTCGTACCTCTCCAGGGGGGATGCCAACACACAGTCGGTCCACCGCCGGCTTCTGTTTCCTCCTGTAAATCTTGGTGAGCTGTCGGAGCTCCAGGATGTCAGACTGGCCTCCTCCGCTCAGGATTCTCTGTCGCTCCCTGGCCACGTCCTCATCTTCTTCTACGATAGGTTTCAGATGACTGGTGGATGACCTGCGAGGTCACAGGGAGCAAAGGGAGGAGAGGTCAAAAAAAGGACAGACGGATCTGTTTGTTGCAATGTTTAGGTAATGTGCCATTGGTAAAACTCTAGAGAGATGATTGTTGAATGTTGCGCCCACCTGGCCTTGAAGAAGAAGTGGTACTGAATGAGGACGGTGATGCAGAAGAAGATGACGCCCTCGATGGCCATTGCAAACAGGTTCTTTCCCACCATGTCCCAGGCCAGAGGGAGCGGACCCGGTTTTCACCTGGAGACACAACCACACATTCGGGAAAATTTAAATTACCACCCTTGTCAAAACAAATCAAGGTACATTCGTGGTAGTCGGCAAAAATGAGTCTGCTGTAATAACCGAATCTCTCCAAAGCGTCTGCCCATTGCCTGATTCTTCACCATGTCAATCAGTCCCCTGCCCAGGCAGAAGTGGGGGAAGATGAGGAACACGTTCTTCAGGATGTCGTTGATGCCGCCGATTTCCTTAAGAAGCAACAGAGTGGATATAAACAGTTAATATTCAGTGGTGACGGGTAAATCATTCAATCACTTGTTGAAGGGTTTGCATTCAAAAGCCTCTCCACACCCTCTTGAATCCACAAACAATCAAACTATTGCTCCTCCGACTACGAGAACAAACACAACTTGGGAGACATTATTTACATTGCTTCCAAAGAGCTCCAGCACAAATGTGGAGACGCTGCCGTTGATTCCTATCAGTATGTTAACACTGGTCAGAACCACGTAGGCCGTGCTGGGGATCTTGAAGAAGAACGAGGCCGGGTACATTAGAGGGGTGATCGACCACCTGGGAGGGGGGGAGAAACAAAGATCATTTTGGATTAGCAGAGGTTAAAGAATTACAGAGAGGATAAGCAAAAACAAACCAGGCATGTGTGATGTGTACCCGTAGAACAGCAGCAGCAGCGCCAGCACGGGTAGATTGGTGGAGGAAACGTAGGCGTCTTGTTGGAAACACATGAAGATAATGATGACCAGTGTGGCTGGGACGACGTAGTTACACTGCAAGAAAGAAAGAGGGTGAAAAATGGTATTAAGTCGTAATTTGTATCAAGACAATCATTTCATATTTAGAATTTACTCAATATTATTTGAGCAGTCAAGGGGATCCGGGTCCAGCTCCTCTGAAATGTCTTACCATATCCCAGACAAAGTTGGCCAGCCAATAGAGTAAGGGCTGCACGCCGCTGATGAACTGCATGTGCTTGGCCTTGTTCACTCTCTCTTGGATGAGGAAGACCACAAAACTGGCGGGGACGAATGACATGGCGAAGATCACGCAGATGGAAACCAGCACATCGACCGACGTCGTCATCCTGAGAAACGAAGACGTGACAATGACGGGCGCTGTCTCTTCGGCGGAAAAGGCAGCTGAAATGTCATTGCATCATGAATTCACTCCCGTAATACTCACAGTGCGACCTGCGACAGCTGCTCCTTGGTGAGGTTCAGCGGGTGGTTGGAGGCAGAGATGCCAAACTTTGCGGGGTCCTGGTCGTGTTTCAAACTCGCCCGCAGGATGCCGTTGTTCATCACGTTGAGGAAGGAACCGATGCTGTGCCAGCCTTTGTTGTTGAACCAGATCTGGAAACAGAGAGGCTTGTTAGATTCTGGAACAGGGGGTCTGAAAGTATATTTTAGATCAGTCTGCAGGAGACTGAACATTACATTATGTGTTTGTAAAGAACCCCATACAACTCTCTTCCTTGTATACAGGTTTTCCCCTCTGCTCTCTTTCCTCAGAGCTTATTTTATTCACTTATTGTTTTTTTTAACTCCCGGCACTTTCTATTCGTTTTTTTGGTGGTTGAATCTCATTCCATTAGCTGCCGGATATTGTAACATAATTTGAAGAGGGAGGTCGAAGGTAAATCACAGAGCCTTGTGTGTGTGTGTGTGTGTGTGTGTGTGTGTGTGTGTGTACTAACCTTAACATTATTCTTGGTATCTAACCCTTGTATAAAACTGGAGAGACTGTGAAAGAAACGATCTGCTGCAGTTCCCTGGAGGGTGAGAGAGAGAGAAAGTCTTCCTTAGCACACGGATTAACTCTTAACGTTCAAACCACAGATCGTATATAGAAACTTAGACACATTTACATCATTATTGTGTGCTGGTGCATTAGTGCAGTGTGTAAAACAGTATTGTAATGAAATGTCTTACTCTCTCCAGACGGAAACGCCTCCTCAGCTGAGTGATGGCATCATCGATTTCGTCGCTGTGAGACGTGAGCTGAGAACTCCTGGCGCCCAACGAGAATCCACCGTATCTGTGTAGATCACAATCGTTTGAATATGTGCCGAGGACACAGCAGAGAGCCACTCGGTTCAATATTGACCCCCCGATTACTTCAAGATGGAACGTGTCTGATAACGTACCTGAA